TTGGCTTGCAAGTGTGGGTATGCCTGCAGTCATAGTAACAGCTGACTTGCAAGTGTGGGTATGCTTGTAGCCATAGTAACAACTGACTTGCAAGTGTGGGTATGCCTGCAGCCATAGTAACAGCTTGACTTGCAAGTGTGGGTATGCCTGTAGCCATAGTAACAGCTGACTTGCAAGTGTGGGTATGCTTGTAGCCATAGTAACAACTGACTTGCAAGTGTGGGTATGCCTGCAGCCATAGTAACAGCTTGCTTGAAAGTGTGGGTATGCCTGCAGCCATAGTAACAGCTGACTTGCAAGTGTGGGTATGCCTGCAGCCATAGTAACAGCTTGCTTGAAAGTGTGGGTATGCCTGCAGCCATAGTAACAGCTGACTTGCAAGTGTGGGTATGCCTGCAGCCATAGTAACAACTGACTTGCAAGTGTGGGTATGCCTGCAGCCATAGTAACAGCTGACTTGCAAGTGTGGGTATGCCTGCAGCCATAGTAAGAGCTGGCTTGTCAGTGCGGATATGCCTACATCATAGTAACAATTGGTTTGCAAGTGTGGGTATGCCTAAATCATGTGGGTTTTGTGGGTATGCCTGTACACTAAATTTCATTAGTCTACTATCCGTCTTTATCAGCAAAAGGCATCTCGGGCCATTTCTATAACTGCTTGGTTGTAGCGAATGGCCACAAATACCTCGACTGAACAAAATATCTCGGCATTTGGGTACAAGAGTAAGCAAAATGGCGATCTGTATATTAAAAAAACGCCCAAAAACAATAGTAAGAGTAATCTCCCTTCACATTTTTATAAAAGGGTATATAAAATCTCTGATATTTCAATCGAGTCCTTAATTCAGGAAAAACACATTATTTCACCTTCGTGCAATACTTTGCAATAGAACAAACCATATATTCAAAGTAGATTCAAGAAACAGAAAGACAGAAAGACGGCAATATGGAGGCTACGCTTGTGACAGTTATGTATTGGTGGACTGTATACGATCAAATATGATAGCACAAATCGGTGAGTAAGTGAGTGAGTTTAGTTTTACGCCGCACTCAACAATACTCCAGATAGATGGCGGCGATCTGTAAATAATCGAGTCTCGACCAGACAACAGTGATCAACAGCATGAACATCGATCTACGCAACTGGGCCCTTATTCTCGAAACGTTCGTAGTCTTAGAATTCTTATCTTTGATCGTAGTCAATGTGTTAAGAATGGGTTTAAGAAGTTCGTATGGCTACGAACGTTTCGAGAATAGCTTGCCTGGGATACGATGACGTGTCAACGAAGTCAGCGAGCCTGACCACCTAATCCCGTTAGTCGCCTCCTACGACAAGCATGGGTTACTGAAGATCAATTCTAGCCCGGACCTTCACGGGTCCTTTAACGGGAAGAAAGGCCAGGCGATGCAGGACTGTGACATTTACGTCTTGGTTACTGAAGATCAAATCAATGTATGGTTGATATCAAGAACATCACAACAACAACTTACAAACATGGCCATTATAGGTAACATTAGGCGACATATTACAAGCATGTTGTATAATAGGGACCTGACCTTGGATGTTACAGGTGTCACAGACTCCATTGGTGTGTATGTACGCGATTCCAGTCATTATTCTAACAAATTAAATTCATGTGTGGAATCCGAGTCAGAAAAGGGTCTCGGTGCTTCATACTTGTCGTAAGCTGAGCCTGAAATCTGGTCTACATCGGATCATTTACATGCTGCCTTAACGCAGATGTGTTAGTGCTGGCCGTGGCGTAAAACAATATCAACTCAACACTGAAGTCGCAGCGTCCTCTACATATTCATATTTGGTCCAGCGCATACCGTATTTCCTCTAATAAGCGCCCGGACGCTTGTTTTGCAACGGACTTCCTAACCTGGCGTTTATAAGAGACCCGGCGCTTACTGGGTGTAATTAATTGTCAGTGAGCGTTACGTCAAAGTCAAAGTCAGCGGGGAGCTGTAAACAAGTGTATCAATGCATGATTTTCCTGAACATTATGCGTTAAAGATCACTTAATCGAAGAACAATTCCTATCTACTTCTTGTTTCTTGAACAATTAAACATTGACGCTGAAACTCAGGAAAATCATACATGGCACACTTATTTACAACTCCCTGTCGCTGTGACTTTGACGTAACGCCCACTATGAATTGTTCGTACGCATTATACTTTACTATCTGTATCTATCAACCCCATTCTCTTCCCACAGAGGTTTCTTGTCATATCTTCCTACGAACCTCGTTCGTACGTTCGAGCGAGGTTCGTAGGAAGATATGACAAGAGACCTCTGTGGGAAGAGAATGCTATCAACCCGTGTCATGTTGAGGACAGGAAGTTTTTACTTTTTTTGTAAAGGGGCTATTCCTTAATAAAACTTTTTTTGATCAAGGGAGAATACATTTATTTAAAAAAACGTACCCGGCGCTTATTAGAGGAAATACGGTGCATGTTTATCCATGCAATGTAGTGGATCATACGAAACTGACGATATAAAATTGTATCACAGTACTAGTGCTGTACAAACCGTTGTGACGTCATCGGCTACTATGGCGTCACAATCAATTGACATCACAGATCTGTCCCCTGAAGCTTGTTATTTGTACTTATTGCACAAGATTCTTTTTATTACTGCTTACAAACTGAAAAAACCTGGAATGTTGGATGATAAAGAGAATATTACCCGTATCTCTTTTGAGGTATAATATATATATCAGTCAACACTTGTCTAGAAATGTTTAGAACTCTTCGAAAAAATCTTTAAAGACATGTTCTATATATCTCGATTTTTACATCACTATTTATACACGGGGTCCGTTGGCATCCATTTCAGAAGCGGTGAGCTAATTCTAATTCTTCCTAACTTACCTCAGAAATTCTCTCGCTCGCTTGTTTTTCATTGGTCAATATTAAGAGTTATGTCTTACCAGTCGATGCCATGGAGAACAGTTTGGAAATATATAACATTCGATAATCGAGACAATGATGGTAACCTATACGGGTTGAAATGAATGTATATTAGTATGACTATGGGAGCAGTTATGAAAACATACTCACTCAGTGAAGGTGAGGTGAAATTGGGTTTTACGTCGTGCTTGCCACTCAGGGAAGGACTAGGGTGCCGGTGGGTTAACATTTTATCACAAAGAGGTGGAGAAACAAGGTGTTTTCAATGTATCACGGCTAATACATTGCATAGTAATGTTAGCATAGTGCGGTTTGAGTTCCACACGTTCTGTTTGTTGGGGGGTTTCCCACACTGGCTCCACCCACAAGACAGGGTATCTTACGATCAGGGGGCGGTGGGGTAGCCTAGTGGTTAAAGCGTTCGCTCGTCACGCCGAAGACCCGGGTTCGATTCCCCACTTGGGTACAATGTGTGAAGCCCATTTCTGGTGTCCCCGCCGTGATACTGCTGGAATATTGCTAAAAGCGGCGCAAAACCATACTCACTCACTCACTCTTACGATCAGGCCAAGGGTCATAATCGAAGCTGATACGTGATTCAAACCCGGAGGTACCGGAACATGAGACGACGTTATAAGAGACACTGATATTAAGCATAAACATTATATATTTTATAAAATATTATATAACATTTCTCAGGTTCTATACTTAGATATATTTCCAGACAGGTTTTCACTTAAAAAACTATGTTAAACAAGAAGAAGACAATTTAACAAAGGATTCCCACATACTAAAATAGGTACATTCGTGTGAAAACAGTAACATTTATTGTTGGTATATCAATCAAATAAAGCATGCTGATTCTGTTTCTACCAACGTCTTTGTTATCACTTAAACAGTTATGTCAGTATTCATTAAAAGAGTACAGAGAAAATTCAAACATGATAATAGGAAGTACAGTTAGTGAGTGAATATGGTTCCACTTCAAATAATATCCCACCAAGGCGCGTGACACCAGAAATCAGTCTCACACAATTGTACCCATGTGGAAATCAAATCCGGATCCTCTGCATGCCGAGCGACGAGCGAATGCTCTTCCCACCGCTACCGCAAACGCCCCCAACGTTTAACAATGGACCCAAAACGTTGGGTTTTTTTCACTTTCACAGAGAAACTATATTTCATTGTCAGTCCATTCATTATTTTGATTGTCCATTGGAAAACAACGTTTGAAACCCGCTGATGGTCTCAATCGTCCTGGAGGAGTCCTTATAAAGTGGCATAAAATTATACTCAGTCTCTTCCTCATCTCTCTATATACATTTATACACGTGGATATATTTCTGGACTGTTCGTGATACAAGCAAGCTGGTAATGCTATATTGCATGTCAATACAGCGAATCATCTATGGTGCAACAAACATCACTGGAATCTCACTGACTATATTATTGTTCATAATTTATGTACAGAGTAACGATTTAGGACATATCGTCTAACCACTATAAATTGGACCGACAAGAAAGTGGTCGGCTTCCATGTGTCGCTTGCTCTATGGCGACCAAACAAGCCAGTATAAAGGATCTTGTTATTACAAATGGCAGTACTCTGGGCAATCAATACTACACGTTTTGCATAGGCTTTTCACGTAATAATTACCAGTTATTCAGCCAGCCATGAAGCAGTCGGACAATATATCTGAAAGAGTGAATGGAGTACTGGAAACTTGAATTGTTCCCTGAATAAGAAACTTAATAAAATTCATATTTCCAAAACATTGAAATGTAACAAAGATAGTTTAAACATCTTTTCAGTATTGAAAATCGATAAAGGTTGTTACACAAGCATGTCTATAGTTTATTGTGAAAATCGGTTTGCTTTTAAATTTACTTCTCCAATTTACTTGCAGTAATAATATATGATTGCAAATGTAAAATTAATCCCCTGTAAATTGTTATATGGCTACTTTCCCAAGCGGAAAGGCTTCTGTTTATTTACACTACAGTCAGCCCCTGTGCTGTGTGATAAACAAATCATTGACCCAGTTTGGATTACCCACAATGCTCCTCGACACTTGCGCACGCAGCTATTGTATGGAACCTGTTCAAAATAAGCACAGTGCTTACTACAACTAAGTGGACTTGTTGAAGGATATTTATAATATATAGGCTTTACGAATCGAATTCGGATGAAGAGCTGATACATAGTTTTTCACAGACGATGACAAGTGCGGTTCCCCCTGGAAAAAAGGCCGCACTATGCCGCTATTACTTAAACACGGGGTCATGTATTTATGGGGATGAGTGTCAATTTCTACATCAAGCCCCTCCAGGAATGCAAAATTCGTATTCGAACGGACCCAGTTCCTCAAATGGAGAACCAGGTAGGGTTATGATGAGATGGGGATGTTGTAGACGGAATGGTGGGTATTTAAGTATGTCCGATGTTGTCTGATCGTTGTCCATAAGGACATCGGACGGCATGGGGAAAACTCGGTCGGTGTTTTTTTCAGCGTCTGGCCTTGATAGTTGATCCGAGCCTGGTGTCAATTAGAACCAAAAATCGAACATTTAAAAGATGTTTAGATCAGGATTAACATCTAAGATATCATATTAACGTGTGAAATTTAAAATTTAACAAATCCAAATGTGTGTACAAATAGAAAGGAGAGGTTGAGTTAACAACATTGATCAAACAAGGGGAGGTAATTCAAGTGCCTCCGGGTTATTCAGTGTTGACATGCTTTATGAACGGAGTCATTCTACCCTACCAAGAAATGTGAATCACATCTTCATGGTAGTGTGAGTAACCAAAGAACAAGAATAAGTCATACATATGCCAACTATATGGAAGTGGTTGTGTCAGAGATGAAAGACATCCTTGGCTTGAATAAGCTGACATCAGCATTGATTTAATTATATTTAATCAATAAAAAAGTAGGTCTCCACAAACAACGAGGTTGTTTTGCCTCATGGCGGTTTGGTAATCAAGTTACTCTTACAATAACAGTTAAAGGTAACATGCCACTTACCATGGTGTATTTAGTTCCTCTAACCATGAGTTGGCATCAAACGATTTTTGGGAATACTGAAAAACACCCAAAAGACAATGGGAAATGTTGAAGATAGTAATCTGAGAGAGATAAGAATAGATATGTTTTTACTACTTAAATACTAAAAGGGTGCTAGTTTCATGTTACTTAATAACAGATGGAAGGTGGAAAAGGTAATATCCCAAGGGAATCATTAATTTTACCAAAAACACAAAATGTTAAGTTAAAGTTTAAACTGTACTTTCGTGCCTGGGGCTAATTTCTTGGCCTAGACTATAAGCAAAGCTTTGCCTCATGTTCAGGTATTGTCTGTAGCATGAGGGTACCCATCATACGATTAATTGATAGATAATCACAAAGTATGAATTGGCAGACAAACAAAGAAGGTATTGTGTAACTTACATAAAAATTGTAAGGCTTGCCAAGTTGCCAATGGCAGGTCATCGAAATCATGGCATGTATAATGCAAATGTAAATATTAACTGATGCACATGGATAATCCTAAGGATGGATCAGGGTCATAAATACTTCAAGAGAAAACTTATGGAATCGACAAGTCTTTTTAAAATTGATATAATTTAGTATCATTTAATATAAGTTAGGGCATATTTATGGAAATGAAGCGTCTTATCTTTCAAATGGCACGTGGTGTGGAAATATTTACAAAGCCTTTTAATAGGAAAATTATCTCAGAATGAAAGACCTCAAATTCTTCCAAAAAGAAAGACGGTAGGTAGAGTTTTTCACCATGTCATATGATCAAAAGGTCGGTAGGGAAATACCCCTGAAACAAATTGGCATTAATTTCTAGAAATTATCCCAAAATGAATGACTGTAAGGAAAGTGTTTAACCAAACTAAAGCGTTATTTGGAATCTGTCAGTTGGTTCTGATTGGTTCAAATTAACAGGACAATACACAAAAATTTGCTGCAGGACAGATCTCTTTCTGAACAGTTGTCCTCATTGAAACAGGTTTGCAATTGATGTAATTGAGATGATTATTGCTGACTTTTTGTCTAAGCTATGTTTAAAGTTAATATTTGTTGTCAAACCTTCAATATCTACCAACTACCATTTGTTGAATTTTGGTATCAGAAGTGATGATTCAGAGAATGAGGATTTAGTAATATCAGTGTAATGACCGAAGCTATGATCGTTTCATCCTGCCCCCACATATGCGTAAAGAGTCATCTTTATAATTATATATTTTGTGTTATAATTGTCAATATGACACAGATTCCATCACTGTCATTTTTCAAACATTGAAACTGAATGTCAGAAAATATTTACTATCTTTGACAATATGAGCATCTTTGCTTCTACTGAGATTCTCTATCCAGAGGGGCTGTGGGGTAGCTTTGTGGTTAAAGCGTTCGCTTGTCACGCTGAAGATCCAGGTTCGATTCCCCACATTTCCCATTTAAACCCATTTCTCGTGTCCCTCGCCGTGATATTGTTGGAATATTACTCACTCACTCACTCGTTCACTCTATTTACCTAGAGAAATGAATGTCTTCCGTTGTCATGGTAAGGCTTGTGATAGTAAATAAATAATGCATTGTCAGATTTACGGATTAGTGAACTCAAACAAGGGTGCAAGTGCAGACTAATGCATCCTAAACATAAAGATCCATACAAATTTAAAATGGACACACATAATTAAAACTGTGACTGTAATGTGATGCAGAAAAGGCAAGTCTGTTTGAATCATTAACATCATCAACATTTTAGAACACAGGTTTGATATAACCACCATTTCTATTTTCACACATCCCACCCCATCCCCAACCAAATGTCCTGCTAAGAGTCCTTGGATAGACCCAGGTAAATCCTTCAGTCAAGTTCCACAACATTGAAGCACCAGGGTTTTATGTGATGCAGAAATGTATGTCCAGTATGCACAAATGTATATAACGGACACAGGGAAATATATTTTGCATCCCACAATAATTTTCACTGTACCACATTCTCGACAACTAATATGAAGTTCCTGTTATAAAAATGTAATGATTACATCTTTGAAATTTTGGTCAGATTGTCTTTTTGGAGGTCAGTTTTTTTGATGGCAGTGTTTACTTGCACTGTAACAAGGTGGTGGGCTGAATCACAGACACGCGGTGCAATTTCCCTTTTTTACCACCTGCGCCAGGTGCAACCAAGTGAATTATTCAGGTTGCACCATCCAAATATTGCGTGCAAGTCAATTCTTTTAGTATCAGCAGACTGAGGTATATTCATAACAAACATCACAATCCCAGAAAAGCTCACAGTACTTAATGTTTGACAGGATGATTTATTATGTTGTTGCTATTTAACTGACATTTTCATTCATAAATTTAATTTCTTTTCTGTTTGGCAAAAATCCACTTGTCCGTCATAAGAGGTTATGTAATACACAGTGACATATAGCCTTATGAAATGTCACAAGATTGTGTACAGGTTGTGGTCAACGTGACTGATTTATTATCATGAATTATGGTAATTGATTAACCCGATACACACGATAGGAGAAAACATATATTGATGCTGGAAAATTATACTAATAAAACTGCTGCCATGCATGTGTGGTGGAAAATGTTACCTGCACAGGTGTAAACTGACAATAGTAGTTACCTGCACTAGTAATAAGTTATCAGCACTGGTATAGCGAGATGGATCCTTGAGCCATTTTTGTAAATATTTTGATTATGGCTTGTGTTTAAGATAAAGTTGTCTTTAATCATGTTAATAAGGCATGTTTTACAATTCTTAATGTGATAATCGAAACAACATATGTTCTTAAACATCTGGAAACCCAGAAGACATGATAATTATTAGGGGTCTGCTGGACCCTTTGTTTTGTAAGTGAATTAAAATGAATTAATTTCTCCTGCTTTAGAGATGGAACAACCATCAACAATGTTGACAAATGAGGCACTTTGTCAAAAATAACGATTGATGTTGATAACAGTTTTAAATTGATAACCCAAATGATCAGTTAGAAAGTATATTTACTAACCAAATATTGAAAGCAACTTTTAAAACATAATTTTTTCATTATGTCTTCAATGAAATTAGATTGCTGCCAAAAGTATATTGGTAAGAAATATATTTAATGTTAGTTGTCATTAATGATTACGCTTATGAAAGGGAATTTTTTGTGCCTTTTCTTACATGTGTTCCCAAGAAAACTACCAATAGGACAAAATTCAAGTTTCATGTGGGTAAGAATTCCTCCTGCTCCCCCATCCCAAATAATGTTTTTAAATTAACATATGCTCAGTCTAAGTAAACTTAGGCTCAGTATTATTCGTTACACTGCTATACTGAGTCTAACAAAACCTTGTGGAAGATCGCGTCAGGTAACCTTTTCAATTGACCATTCAGAACACAGCTTACCAAATCGCGAAAGTTGATATTTGCACATACCTTTTGAACGTTTACCTCGAAAAAGTTTTGTACCCGAACTATTCCGAATGCTATATTCCGTACGATCGCTTCCGAGTGGTGCACATGGAGCACGCCACAACCGTGAGTAAACAGTCGCTGAAAATAGCGTTTTGTCAGTATTCAAGGATGTCAGCTTACGGAAATATTAGCTAATGATAACCATAACCATGTCAACAGAAACCCAAAAGCATATTTTGTGCAGGTCATATATCTGTGTTTTATGCAGGTTTTCATTTGTTGTGAGATCACTGTTGGCGACCGGGAAAGAGTAAATCCATTTTGTAAGTCCCGCTGAACCCTAAATAGTTGCCGTTGTCTGATTGGTTAAATCCGTTCTGTCGTCTCGCGTTTGATTGGGCGGTTATAGGTCGCTCAAAGGTTACCTGACGCGACCTTCCACAAGGTTTTGTTAGATTCACTATAGCAGTGTAACGAATAATATTGAGCCTAAGTTTACTTAGACTGACATATGCTAAAATTATTAACAAAACTTAACACAACAATTACTAGAAACTGGAGAACTACAAAATGACTAAAAGTGCAAAATTTAAGTTAGGTTTAGGGTTAGGTTTAGAGTTAGATTTCCTTAGGGTTGGGGGAACGGAAGGAACTCTTTCCATTTTTGTTCTTTAATTCTTCCTGTGTTCTTTTATGAACTACTATTTGTTTTTGTAAATGGGCATTTTAAAAAGGAAGTACATCAGGAATATTATTAATCTTTATCTCAACACACTTAAAGTGCACAGTCTTCCTTGTCATTCCCTTTAGCATGTTTAGCCTATTTCTGTCAATCAGTGTACAAATATCACTCTAAATAGGATTCAGTGACTGGTGATTCGGTTTTCACAAACACAAATGTTTGGTTTAACATCCCTAAAGATCATGATAAAATTGATTTAAATATGTTAAAGTAGTGTTGATATTCAGCCACTTTCTTCTTTCGTTGCAATTCCCAAATATTTTCCAGTGTTTATTTTGAGGTTTATAACTGGATCTGAAGGGCCTTGTCATGCATGATACAACTAATCCCTTGTCTGTTACAGGATAAAGTGATGTCAACAGAATTTTGCTGATAGTTCTATCAATTTAGATTTCAATGTACAAGACATGCTTCAGTGCAGTTTGCAGGTTAGGCCTGTCTGCAGCTGTCATGTGTAGTGGGTAAAACGTGATATTGATCAGCCATGTTCTTTGTACATGTGTGTTGCATGTCGATTATTTTGACCTTCACAAAGATGCTTAACAATGGCAGTATGCTATTCTTGTGACATGCCCTAGATGTGTTAGACCACATATAGTGTAATCTAAGTAAGTCACATGTGATAATCAATTCAAAACATATAATCACTAGATTGTCTGGTCCAGATTTGATTACTTACAGACCGCCACCATATAGCTGGAATATTGCTCAGTGCAGTGTTACACAACAAACAAAAACAAAATCTAAGAAAAGACATTTTAAGTAAAAATATTTGATAAAATCATTCAGCATGGTTAGATTTGATGAAGTGAACATTAGAAACCTTTTCAACAAGTCACAATTAGGGGAAATGTTCTACTGAGATTCATTTCAGGGTTTAATATTCCTTTTTATAGGTATGTATTACATGAAGCCAGTGGGAAATGAAACTTCGGCACACCTAAACAGGGATTGGGATAGAGAACTTTGACAATGGATCATTTCCAGGAATATTAGCCATTTTCTGAATTTAGAATGGACCCAAACCCTTGTATCAATAGTAAACTTCAAAATTTTAATGGGCCATTTTTGTTTCTAATGTGCAAAATGGCCCATGGCCCCTGTCTTTCCCAATCCCTGCCTAAACTTCAGTGTGAGAGTATGGGGCACACTTACATTCAGAACTGCAGACTAAACCTCATTGTGAGAGTCTTGTGGCAAACTTCTGTGTGAGTGAGTGAGTTTAGTTTTACACCACACTCAGCTATATTCCAGCTATATGGCGGCGTTCTGTAAATAATCGAGTCTGGACCCGACAATCCAGTGATCAACAGCATGAGCATCAATCTATTCAATTGGGATATGATGACGTGTTAACCAAGTCAGTGAGCCTGACCACCCGATCCTGTTAGTCGCCTTTTACGACAAGCATGGGTTACTGAAGACCAATTATAACCCAGATCTTCACGGGTCACTTCTGTGTGAAAGTCTGTTGAGACACTTATATTCAAAACGGCACACCTAAACTTGTGTGTGTGCGAGTTCTGTGGCACATTTGAAAATAACACACACTCTTGTCCCTGTATTACCATTTCAACTTTGTCATTGTTGTCAAGAAAGGGGGCGGTGGGGTAGCCTAGTGGTTAAAGCGTTGGATTGTCGCGACGAAGACCCGGTTTGAATCCCCACATGGGTACAATGTGTGAAGCCCATTTTCTGGTGTGATGTTGCTGGAATATTGCTAAAAGCGGCATAAAACCAAACTCAGTCAGTCAGTCAAGAAAGAATGACTTAGGAAGATGATAAATATACTGATTGAAAGATGAAAGAATATGATTTGTATTATTTGTCCACAGTGCTTGGCTTGTATTTTTAGGTTAAAAATTTAACAAACTGACAAACATGACCAAACAATGGAAAATACTTGTTTGTGCTACAATGTACTTTGTGCACCGAAATAACTTAGCCATAACTAATAACATTGTAACAAAACATATTGTGTTGAAACATCATGGAACAATATGTTTGTCCTGTGGAAAGTGACGCATCTATGATTCCATAATTCTTCCAACACCCAGACAATCCAGAAAGCATGTCCATCCACAATCTGAAAAGCATCAATAACATCAATGAATTGATCGATGTTCATGATGTCAATACCTGACTTGTCTCGTTTACTCTTGAATACATTTCTGGTGTCCACCTTCGTGATATTGCAGGAATATTGCTAAAAGCTGTGTAAAACCATGCTCACTCACTCGCTCTTGAATATTTACAGACAGCAGTCACCTTGCACGAATACTGCTCAGTGCGGCATTAAACAACAAGCTGCCATAAGCTTAGCTTACTTGACATTCTACTTGACCCAGGCTTGGGACAAGTGACTACAGTCGCAGATGATATTTTGATTTAGCTAGCCAAGTTGTCTGGTATGATAATTGCGCTGTCAGGACTTGCGTCACTTATGTCAGGCCTTTCAGTGAACATTTGTGGATGGTTTGCATGTTTAAGGTGTCACTGACATGTTTAAAATCATTGTTGCATACAGCAATGTTGATGTACGGAAACTAGTACTTTACCTGTCAACAATACAACACGTACAAGTATTTCTGAATTTAAGCACTCAATAGGTGGTCAAAAGAAATGATTAGGTACTACACCTACTCCACCCTTAATCATGTAAATTCATCAGCCTCATGTAAATAGGTGGCCCCTTGGGGCTTTGTCTTAATTTGACTGTTATTATTGCCACACTTTGCTTTTGAAACAATGCAGTACTTTGACATCTTCTAACTGTCATATTATGGATATGTGTGTATGAAACAATTATTTTGAAATATTGATAAGTAACGTCAAGAGTTATGGTATTCCTCAAGGTTGTAGTCTGATACATAGGTAATTTCAATGATTACTCAGGCAGCCTTTTAATGTAAGTTACTGGTACTAAACATGGTGCATGTCAATCTGTTTTTTTAGATGTGGGTTTGTTATAATTTAGCAAGTTTTGTGTAATCTGCAGATATGCTCAGGACCACAGTGAAAGTAACTTTGTAAAGCATCTTCCCAATATTACTCTAATGACTTTCTACATGTTCTACAGATACGGTTTTTCAAGTACTGAACTTATCCACTTGTGTTTGTGTAACATACTTGTAAGATCTAGCATCAATATTTGTGACTAGAATAATTGAGCAAGTGGTTAGCTGAACTTTTAGGTCTGGGGCATTGGACCAGAAGTGTGGATGACTTTCTCATCAAGGCATAGGACTTCCTGTTTGTCTTGCAGTAGATATGTGTTTTGTCAAACCAGAAGTGAGGTCATTAAACTGAAAGTGTATTTATTAGTCCTGTCAGTGTTATAAGACATAATGACAGTATTGCACTATATTTTAAAAGAAGCACAGAATGGCACATCATCCCCCAAGCAACATCCTCATCATACTTGAGGCATGGGATATTTTGTGTAAAAATTGTACTGCATTTCAGCATATTGTACCCACAAATGTAAGTAATGTTAAACCGGACAGCTTGTAACTTTATTTTTAAGGTAGCTAGAAATTCCTTTTCAAAGCTGTTTTGCATTAAACATAATTTATTATGTCTACCTAAATTGGAATGAATGGACTGCTTATCACTTGTTTGATAAATTTGTACTGGATTAGATTAGGCATGTTAGAGATCAAAGATGTGTATTGAAAAATATAGGTGATGTCACCTGTCACCGGATTTGCTAAACATGATAAAAGTTTGGTTCATTATTCTGCTGGGAAAGTTTGAAAGAATTCAGGTTATTGTAAGGATGGGTCTGCCTCAGTGTTTTTGTATGTAGTTCAATGTTTGTATTATGCAAATACCTTTCTGCTTTGCATTCTGTACCATGAACATGCAAAGGCGTGGAGTATTTTTTCATCTGCATTATTTTCCTCAGAACCTAGTCACCGTATATGTTTTTATGTATTAGTCATCACGATGATTAGCCCACTTTCTCAACAACACTATGCTGTGTTGGAATTATTTGCATATGAATGGTGATTGTGTTATATATGTTTGTTAAACTGTGCATTTTGTTTGTTTCAGGTCTGGAGTCAATGCCTAACAATGGGGATCAGTATTTCAATGCTACCTTTGGTTCCATACCAGAGTTCCAGCCTTTCTCAGGGGTATGTTTGTACTGCTTTCTCTGTGTGTAATTATGATATGCTCCCTCTTAATTGTACATGATGTGCAAATCCACATTGAATATAAATGAGACAAAAAAAAAGAGTGAAATGAGAATGGACTTTTCAGTAGATACTCTAATCTTTGATGATGATGATGATGATGATGAAGAAGAAAGCATGTTTTGCATAGTAGTGAATCTGAGCATTTGTGGGAGACAGATTACGAGTTATTACCTCATGTTAGAGCACTTTTACTACAGCAGTTCACATGGTGAAAGGCTGTGGGTTAGGACATAGTTGTCCTGTTGAAGATATTGCAATTTGTAATGGAGAGATGCATCCTTTATGCATGCCGGATCCTTTACTGCTGGGTTTGATTCTCAGATTTGTCGTGGACATGATCCCCTGGTTTGTGAGCACTGTGCACTTACTTGCTTGATTCACAATGTGAGGGGGACATTTGCAGCACTTCAGGCTATTCTCTACTGTGATAAGACGGAAATACTGTTCAAAGTGGTGTTAAACCTAGCTGACATGCACAGACACAGCTGTGGGAGACAGATAAGGCTCTTTAGCCCACTTTCTCAACAACACAATGCTGTGTTTGAAATTATGCAGGAAAGTTCAGGGAGGCTTTACAAAACTAATGTTTGGATCGAGATGTCCCTACATAACGTACATGGAAATTCCATGGGAGAAAAACCTCAGTGACCCAAGGACACATTGAATGCCAACACTCTTTTCCTCACACTCACACATATAGCACTCCTATTGAACAATTTATGGATGTTATGGGCAATCTTAAAATACCAAAAAAGTAGAAAGCCTAAGAGGGAACTAATGTTGTTTTGGGGGTTGTTGATATGAAGTCATAAAGACCCACATGATGATATGATAGGACAAAGTCTATTGTGTATATTATTTCAGTCATATCGATCATGGCCAATTCTTGAATGATCCTTACTGGTGTTTTTGCAACTTGATTTTGGCCAATGCTGTAATGATCCTGCAGTGTCGGTATTGATTGAATCAATCCATGTCTGGTCGATAATGTCAAGATTAATAAATCAATCAGGATTTCTTGTGATTGATTAGCTTCCCATTGATCATATTATGAGAAAGGTGTGAAGCTTGGATCGTTGGCATTGACCCAGCTTTTATTAAATGTCAAACAAAATTGGATATTCATACATTCAAACATGTTTAATCTGCATAGAAAGATTGAAGACAAAAATACCACTCGTCAATCTATAAATAATAGTGAATGAATGTCAAACTATCTCACACTGAAACATGTTGTGATTAATGCACTGATAGCAGCCTGAATGTCAGAAGGGACCTAGTCATAATCTTTTAGTTTAAAATTTGGAGATAAATATACTGAGCTATGTTACCTGTAGATTTAAATGCACTAAATTGAATTGAGAACCGAGAAGGCATACAAATTCTATAAGAACCCCAGGATTCATTAACTCCCTTCAGGGCAGTGGGGTAGCCTAGTGGTAAAAGTGCTTGCTTGTCACGACGAAGACGCATGTCTCCTGCCATGATATTGCTGGAATATTGCTAAAACTGATGAACATGATTTGTGTTTCAACTCGATGAAATCTAAATACACTAAAACCTTGTTAATCAGGATGCTGGACACCTGGACATACTTTGAATACAGTGGTAACGCACATCTTTAACTGTGAGTGAGTGAATTTAGTTTTACGCTGCACTCAGCAATAGTCCAGCAATATGGCAGTCCGTCTGTAAATAATAAAGTCTGGACCAGACAATCCAGTGATCAACATCATGAGCATCAGTCTACACAATTGGGATGTGATGACATGTGTCCACCAAGTCAGCAAGCCTGACCACCCGATCACATTATTCAGCCCTTTTACGACAAGCATGGGTTACAGAAGATCAATTCTTACCTGGATCTTCACAGGGCAATATCTTAAAGGAACACTATCATGTGATTTACTTAAGAAATCTGCTGATCAAAATCATACTGATGGGGATTTCATTGTTTGTAAGGCCATCATGGACAAGGGAAGTGTGAAATAAATATGAAAATGAAAATGTGAATTAGGTTTGCATGAAGTTGAGATTCATGAAGCTGAGAAAAAAGCCATTAAATCTAGAAAATCCATCACTGTCACTACCCATTGTTTTAAAATTGTAAAATCACACTGTAAGCTAATAGTCGGTGATGTCATTGAACATGTTTACATCAACATATTCCAAACACTGCACATTTGTCATGTGTCCATGGCATCATTGAACTGAAATCTGATCACACATTAACATATGAAAAGATTCATGGAGATTTTATTTTGACAAGAAAGAAATTGTTCATTTTGTCATTCTGATCATGGCACATGTAATTATTATAATGTATCTTCAAAACACCAAGTACGTGCTGAACTGGCCCTGCACTCAGAGTACATGACATTGTTATTTCTTACAACAGATCAGTGTGCGTCCATATTGTTTAACAATTTTAGTGTCACATATTAATTGACCTGGATGCCGTTGTATACTGGAAAAAAATAGTTAGGGATATATGTAAATTTTGAAATTATGAATAATGATCTATTTATTCATTGACACTCTGATAAAATATCAATCATAAAATACCAATATCCCTAACTTATTTTGTCCAGTATACAAAGCGATCTTAGTGCTAAGGTGACAGTAACTCCTATACCTTAACATAGACTTAAGGTAGTCTTAGCGTTAAGGTGACCGTAACTCCCATACCTTAACATAGACTTAAGGTAGTCTTAGCGTTAAGGTGACAGTAACTCCTATACCTTAACATAGACTTAAGGTAGTCTTAAGCTAAGGTGAGGGTAACTCCCATACATTAACATAAGACTTAAGGTAGTCTTAGCGCTAAGGTGACCGTAACTCCCATACCTTAACATAGACTTAAGGTAGTCTTAGCGTTAAGGTAGTTTTGTACAACAGCCCCCTGGTGACTTGGGTGTCTGTGTGTCACTGGGTCATCATACTTTGGTTTTGTGGTATAATAGTATTAATACTATGAATATCTATAACCAGATTGATTTATCAAATTCAATGGTGAGTTAACAGGTTAAAATTTAACAATTTATCAGTGTTATTTAAGCCCGATAGCGACCAATTTTATTCACAAACACAAGTAACTCACAAATAACATGTTCTATTTAAAAGAACATTTTATCCATATGCAAACATAGCAATATTATTTACTCCTGTTTAAAATGGGGTCTATAATAGGGGTGTCGCGATACGCGAATGTATCGATGCATCGATACATTTTTACTGACGATACGATACGCGATACATGCTTGCGTGTATCGATTCCTATTTTAAAACTTTATCGATTCAAATTTTTATGCTATATTCATCTCCTTCAAAGTCTTGATAGTAAAATTATACGAGACCGCTCCGATAAATAGATGTAGCTAGCTTTACTTAAAAAATAGGTTGGAAACTAACAGCTTTTGTGATTGGCTAGACTATTTTGATGGACCAATCAGCGAGCGCGTACGTTCCTGGTAAGGTAATGCTATGAAAAGGTGTGAAAATTATGTATCGCGATACGTATCGTATCATGACCATAAAATCGTGATACGTATCGTATCGTGAGATTGGTATATCGTGACACCCCTAGTCTATAAGCCACCAGCAACCAATGCTTGGTCACCTCTGAAACATAGGGACATATAAGCTTCCTGTCTACATCAAGACATCTGATATGTTTACGGTTTCTGTGACATTGCAGGAATATTGCTGATTGCAGCCTTTACATAATTACCACATTAAGGACAATGTTTGTCTTTTTCTGCTGTAACCATTTTAATCTGTGGACATGATGGATCTTCAATATCTCTACCACTACCTCACAAGATAAACTGAATTTCTTCTCTGTTGAAAGCAATATATTTCCATTAGCTACAAACTTCTTGTGTAAGCAAGCTTAGATGAGAGCACCCAATTGAGTGTCTGGTTTAGAATTTGTCCCCTGGTCGTGGTTTTGAGAAGAGAAGTCGATCTTGTTGTCAGCTACGCTCACTTTGTTGATGGCGTGTCATTGTACATTGATTGATGCTCATGATATTAACCACAGGTGATCTGGTGTATATTCATCATTATCATCAGGTTTTATCATACAGCTTGATGTTCTTACAGACAGACATCTTACATGAAGACGTATTCTTGAGGATATCTATTCCTGTTTATATATAGTAAAAGGTAGCACACAGCTGAATGTTTAGCTAACAGTTCCAAAACACTTGCAGTGTGTAGCTATTTGTGTCCTAAATGAGAGTTCTAACAGAATAGTTTCATCAGTTTTCAACCCTATCGATTATTCAAATCTGGGATTTGAGTTTCTTGCGCATGTTAATATTGAATATAACAAGTTTAAAGCATCTGAATTATGATAAAGGATTATGAGACATGTTTTGAGTGTGATGTTCCCTGGGAGATAAGGTGGTTGGGTGGCCCAGTGGTTAAGATGGTCACTTGTCTTGACAAAAACCCACGTTCGATTCTCCACATGGTAGCAATATATGGCATCTATTTTTTGTGTTCCTTGAATATTGCTGAAACACCATAAAACCAGATATATTCATGCTAAATGAGTTTGATTTGCAGATAATACTTTGATGGCAATTTTCTGCTGATCCCCAGATTTCAGCCGATTACATTTCAAATTGATCAGTTCTGTGAATCGTCTCAATCCGTTGAGAAACCCTGATCCCACTCTTCGATGACACAACATTAGGTTTTCAGCTGAAAATAGATTTTCCTGTTGCTATCCCTGATAATAGGAAAAATATAATTTAAAAGATATCAGCCAATAGTTAAGATACTGAGAAAGATATTTTCCATTCTCATTCACAATTGATAATTTAGGAAACATTGATTGCTTGTGAAACCATTAATTGTCTTATAAATGTTAAATAATTGTGATCAGTAGTCACAAAAGAGTTGAAACTGAAAACTGAACAGAAACAACACTTTGTGACATAGACTGTATGTTAGGTAGGCCTACTGTTTGTTAATATGCCAGTCTCTTATCTGTCACTCTTGCTGTGTCATTGGTTGCTGGCTATTAGTGCTAGCATGATAAATTGTGTGATGTTTTAATCAATATGGTGAGGAAAAACATCATCAATCAAATAAGTTGTATAATCAGTAATTTTTGAATAATCATTCAATAGAGGGATACAGACTGAATGTGGACTATTTGAAATGCACACAACTTTCCCAGTGTCATGCTGTTATGTTATATTGTAGAGCCATTGAGCCAGTTGTCTTTGTAATAAGTTCTCTGGTTTCTGAGAATAAAAATGTTTTACAGACAGACAGAACAGTAGTTAAATTATAAGATTAAATAAAGAGGAGCCCAGAGACTCTTTATATTCAGAAATGCTGAGGTTGCATTAATTGTGTATTTTGCCATTTTGACTTCGGCTGTATTAGATTTCCTTGTTCAGTGTTTCTGCTGGCATTGTTTACAGCTGGACATTGTGACTGGTTAGCATTTTTCAAATACTGGTCTTTTGTAAATTTTACCAGTCAAGTGATCACGCTTTTCATTGTGTGAGAGATCTTGCACCCTAACAACCAGTCAGAAATGTAGAGGGTATCGCAATGCGTCAATGCTGCTATTTTTAGCATGGGGTTTTCCAAAACTTCTATTTTTAATTTGACAACACCTAGATGTCATCAAGGAGAAATAAAATTGACAGAGGTAATTAGAAAATTGATTTTAAAAGTTGCCGGACACGATGACCGACAACCTTTAAAGTTACCGGACATTCTAACTTTGTACCGGTCAAAGTCCGGTATATACCAGATAACAGAAACACTGCTTGTTTCAGTGTCTGTATGACAGACTACATCTGAGTATTCTCTATGTAATTCTTACATGATGTGACCCGTGAAGATCCAGGGTAGAATAGGTCTTCAGCAACCCATGCTTGCCACAAAAGGCGACTATGCTTGTCGTAAGAGGCGATTAACGGGATCGGGTGGTCAGGCTCACTGACTTGGTGGACACATGGCATCGGTTCCCAATTGCGCAGATTGATGCTCATGCTGTTGATCACTGTATTGTCTGATCCAGAGTCGATTATTTACAGACCGCCGCCATATAGCTGGAATATTGCTGAGTGCAGGGTAAAACTAAATTCACTCACTCTCTTACATGATGTGGGTTAGCTATAGATATTAGTGCAAGAGTAGGGACAGTCTGGATAGTTCATGGTTTGGTTAGCTTTCATAACAAGCATGTCTTAAAGGAGCCATGGACTTAATATTAGTGTTGTCCATCCATGTCAGTATGCTCTCTTGAACCACAATTGCTGCTTCAAGTTCATCATGGTGCAACTTAAACAATGTTCAACATGTTCAAAGTGGTGTTAAATACAACTGACTGTTTATGACAGGGAAATGAAAAGTGGAACTGTTAAAAGGGCCCTGCATAGAAAGAATATGAGGGTGACAGTTAAATATGTCCTCAGGTGCCATTTAACAGAATACTTTGATGACTTTCCATGTTTAGCACACTTGCATCATTGAATGAAAAAAGCAAGGTATAGTGTATTGCTGATAACAGAACATGTAAATAATGTTTTCCTTTGAACTGTATATCAAAGTATTTTTTGTTCACGTCAAAAATATCCTTTCATTGGATGAATTACAAAATGCATGCAAAGTGTCCAAGTGGGGATATTCATTGAATATGTGTGTTTGTTGGTTAATTCCAGATGTCAAGTACATTTGACAGGTGACAGTGTAACAGTGTTCAAAATGAAAATGGAGGATACTTGACATAACTTTAATGTTAATTTTCAGAACAAAACTGGCCCCACATATAAGTATGAGCAAACCTCAGGGATCCAGGATCTCCTTAATATGAAACATAAACATTTCTTGTTTCTAAAACTACAATAGATTCTTTATGAAGATACTACCCTTTATGATCAGGAACCTGTAAGACCAGTTAAAGGAAACAAATTGATGTCGAGGTTGATATTTTGTTGGCAAATTTATAATAGAGGCATATCATTGAAACCATGATCCTATTCCTATAATGATTAAGAAACTTATAATGAATCTAAGTTACCAACTAAGGGAGATAATTGCCTCAAGGTTGAAACCACACTGTAGGTTTTCCTATGCCTTTTTCTTGTTATGCACTCAAGGAACAGATGAAACATTTCTTTAAAACTTTCTTGTAGTATAACTCAATAAAGTAAAAGATAATTTAACCTGAATAACCTTCAGTTTTGATCATTTCATTATTTCAGAGACAAAGGCCAAGATCAAGAAACAGCGTGCTTGGATCCCTGTCCCAGAATGCCAAGCCATTTGTCCCCGCAGGGCCACCGGGTCCCCCAGGGCCTGGGGGGTTGGATCAAAACATGGCCAATGACTTTCAAGCGTTGAACCTGGCAGGAACCCCTGTTCCCCCAGGGAAGGTGCGTGGGTGCTTATATGTTCTTAAACCAATCATTAGTCCCCTTAGTAACCTTAGGTGATTTCTTGTTACTTGCATCTTTTCTTTGAGTTGAATTTAGCATTATTTCAGGCTTGAAAAAGCAGGGAAGGCAGGATAGACGGTGACTATGTAATGGATGATAAGACCGTAATGTGTTATATATTGAAATGTTTAAAATTAGAACTTATTTGGCACAGAAATTGTTTGGTTTAACAACTGCTGGTTTAAAAAAATTCATTTTTGGGGAAGTATTTTTGTACCTTATTTTTCCAATTATACTTTCTTGTGACCTTCTATAGTGTTCATTGAAGCTAATGTCTAAAAATTTTCATTGTACTGTATTATAACTATCAATGGTATGAATACACAATGCCATTTGGAAAGTAGTCGACATGTGTAACATGTTATATTAGGGATTACACTTTGTCAGTAAAGTAGACATTCTAGTACTTTGGGGGTTGAGTCCACGATTCCAACCAATCCTCTAAGAGTCAGGTACCTAAATACAAGCACACACAGTCAGTGATCTAACCCACTCATGTGCTCATGGTGTTGCAGTGTTCTTTCAAGCAGAACTTTTCCCCCACTATTCTCAAAAAAGTGAAGCCATGAGATCATTAGTCAGCATGACATGTTCGGGCGCCTTTTGGAAAATTTGGCAGTTTATCCAATCATTGAATTTGATTTTTAGTACTGAATGCAGATTAAACAGGAATTATTTCCTAGAATTGTTACTAGCTTAGGGACCAAAGCAAACCAGGATGCCATGCTCTGGCGTGAACTACGATTTTTGTGAAAAGGATAATGAATACTTTATTTTTCATGCCTGTTGTAATTCAGGGTCACGATGCAAAGTCTTCAATGCCCTGTGGTTACAAAGGGTCTGATTAAATTACAGATCTGGTGTCTTTGCTGATTATGCATAAATTGTTGCTGCTGATCACACCTAGTTTTGCACCTGGTTCACAATCAATTATTTACAGGCTGTTGTCATAGAGCTGGAATATTGCTGACTGCAGCATTTATCAACGTTAGCGTCTCACAATCATTCACCAGTGGTGGGGTATTTTGATATGTCTGGGTCAGCTTGGTATCAGATAGCTGATGTAACAGCTTTAGTCTAATTATGCTAATGACAGTCACTAATCAGGTGTCCATTTTCATGGAGCTCGTGTTTAGTTGAGCATCATTATGCTACGATTTTCATTGTGAAGAATGTACTTCACTTTACATGTTAGTGTTTGTATACATTGAAACCCTGTTGATTTGAATCACATGGATTAATATTTTTGGATTTCTTAATCAAATTTGGTTGAAAGTATTATTTTATTTTGATGTTGTTAGGAGACTTTACTTTCTCGTAAGGAACAAGGGTGGCCCATTTGTGTAGAACACATAGATTCACGGCAGTTTTGTCCATAGGGTATGTGCAAAACCTATGGTCTTTGGTGCAAATCATGGTTCACTTCAATTATGTTTGATGTTTGTCACTACCAAATCTATGTGTGGATTGAAAAAAAGAGTTTGTTCATTCCACTAGACTTTATAATTTTGGGAATATCTGTACAAAATTTGGGGTGTGGGGTAGCTTAGTGGTTAAGGTGTCGCTCGTCTCGCCGAAGACTCAGGATTGATACCCACATGGTCACCATTTCTGGTGTCCCCCACAATGATATTGCTGGAATATTGCTAAAAGCGGCGTAAAACTTAACTCACTCACTGTACAAAATTTACATGAGTTAGAGACAGTCAGTGATGTGACAATCTTGAAATTACGCTGAAACTGTATCATCTCAATTATACATTCATCAGAGACAAACCAAATGCTTGTTGTGGTCAGGCCCAGTGATGTGGTGGAGTGTCAACTCATATCCTGATGGCAGGGATTATCCTGATGGCAGGGATGATTGCTCAAACCATCAATCACTGGATTGTCTCGTCCAGACTCAATTATTTACAAGCTGCCATCATATATATACCTGGTATTTTATTGCCTGGCGCTTTAAGAAACAAATATTCAAACAACACACATATATTAACCACAGTCATTGTCTCCAGTTTGTCAGGATCACATGGTATAATTGTTTACTGTTTGTCTCGAGAGGACATGATGGTCTATCTACAATGTCACAATGCTGCTTTGCCAGATGACAAACACAGTTTACATGAAGCCTTTGAGTCATGGCACTGTAACATTCTGGAGTTGGAAGATGAAAGCATGTTATTGATTTTCTGTCCCATTAGCTCTGTTTAATGGTTAACGTAACTGAAATCAGTTGGGGGCTGATTAACTGACTAAAGAAAATTTAATGAGAAGAAGTATGATCACATGACAATCGTGATGCTTTATCTAAATATAGATCTTTTTATCCCCCGCAACGCGTTTTGCGGGGGTATTAAAATGGACTCCGTCCGCCCGTGCACATTTGTCTTTTCCGGAGCAGAACTCTAAAACCGTTCAATATTTCTTCACCAAACTTGGCACATACATGGATCTGGTGGTGTACTGGTGCCTTTTGGTAGTTTTGGAATTCTGAATAAAATATTTTTGGCGTTTCCATGGCAACAAGTTCGACTTTGACTGAAATTAGTGGTAGTGCTCTTTTCTGGAACAAGAACTCTAAAACTGTTTCTGACTTCACCAAACTTGGCACATAGATAGTGGTAGTGTACTGCTTTTTGGTAGTTTTGGAACTCTAAAAAACCGACTTCACTGAAATTAGTAGTATTTCTTTTCTGGAGCAGAACTCTAAAACCGTTCACTATTTCTTCACCAAACTTGGCACATAGATAGATCTGGTGGTGTACTGGTGCCTTTTGGTAGTTTTGGAATTTTGAATAAAATATTTTTGGCATTTCCATGGCAACAAGTTTGACATAGACTGAAATTGGTGATAGTGCTATTTTCTGGAGCAGAACTTTAAAAACCTTTCAATACTCTCCTTCCGCTTTTGTATATACACACCTAAATATTTGAGATAATCATGAAGAGTATTTTGCCATTGCGGGGGATATTGATGACTTTGTCTTCTTGTTTCTCTTTTGCCAGTGCTCATGCTGTTGATCACCTGATTATCTGGTCTAGGCTTGACTATTTACAGACTGCGTCCGTATATAGCTGGAATATTGCCTCGTGTGGCTTTAAACAATAAACAAACAAAATGTCTTTTGCCAGTATGTTATATTAAGGTTGTTATTTATGTTTCAGGGTACCCCGGCTGACTTATTGAAGTCAGCAGCATCTTTGTCTCACAGTTCCAGCACTCCATCTTTCACTCCGTACTCTTCCATGTTCAACACTTCCACGTCATCCACTCCCACAAGTCACATAGCTGCCAGTAGTGGTAAGTGTACATCAGCAGGGATTCCACAACAGGTTCTGGGGCATAGCTATTAGTATTACATTATTCCCTTGTCACACACTTGGTCAGTCATGGTGATTTTTGGAAAATGCTGATTTTCCAGTTACAATTCAGCTACAAAATGGGGCTTTTCAGGTACATGACCAAAGTTTCTGAATGAATATGTAATGATTTTGCATGCCTTGTGTACTGGTGTCTTCAGTCTGTGAGGGGGTGGTAGGGGAGCCTAGGGGTTACAGTGTTAGCTCATCACGCCGAAGACCCGGGTTTCATTCCCCACATGGGTACAATGTGTGAAGCCCATTTTTGGTGTCCCCTGCTGTGATATTGCTGGAATATTGCCAAAAGCGGCGTTAAACCATACTCACTCACTCACTCCAGTCTGTGAGGGCTTTACTCATTCCTAAGACCAGACCAATTTCATTTCTTGTTTTATGGATTTTTGCCCTAAGAAAACCTAAGGACAGGAGAGGGAAAAAAAAGAAATCACCAGTCAAAGTACTATTCCTTTTAAAAATTAAAAGTTTTTAACTTTTGGCAGTTTATGAAGTGTATATGGGGCAAAAAGCATCTAAAAAGAATTTTCTTGTAAGTTTACATTTTTGCCCAATAAAAACGTGTTTATTTTTTTTCTTATTCTTGAAAAAATTCGACCGGCGGATCCGTAAAAAATATAAAAAATTGGTCTGGCCTAACCTTTGTTGTGTTGTGTGTGTTTTTCAAATTGATTTAATACAATTCACATAAATATACACAACTGTCTTTCTTTATGTGAGTTTGCTCTTCTTGGATAACAGAAAGAGCATATAATACTTGAATAGAGATGACATGCTCTACTTAAGTTCCAACACAGTTACAGAAATTGACCCCTTGAAAAGTCACATATACAAAACTGTTTATATGGAACTCTGCCTATTTTATTGTATAGTATCTATCATGAGTGGAGAAGTTGTAGTGCCCCTTTCTTGTCTCACCTTCAGGAAATTCAGTGCAAACTACCGTATTTTTTGCACTATTACCCGTATCTTTTTCCTTCTAAAAATGCGGGCTATGTGGCAGTGCGGGTTATAATCCAGAGCGGGTTATGTGTGGATTTTACACGAAGAAAACATGATTTTTTTTTAAGGAAGTGTTATAAAATACCCCGGGAATGTAGTCGTATGTGCTATTTAAAACGCGACTTTCAATTTCAAATCGAGCGGTGTATCAATAATATGACAGTAGATTTGATTTATGAATAAAACAATCCTGCTTGTAACTGTTATGAAAATGTTCAAAGAGCATACAATGCCGTCCGGTAATTCCGTACGCCTTAGCACATCCATCGCAACCCTGGCTGGGGCCTTTCGCCAAAATGTCGAGTCGGGGGCGTGCAAAAGCGAAAACTTTTGTCGTTAATTACATTGAATCAGCAATGCTAATACATACTTTATGGACAGCAAAAGTTTATAAATGGTACTGTGAATTTACTTCCGTGATTATTTCATTTCTAAAGCGTATAAAAATAGCAATCGACATTTTGCCATGGAGGTGTCGGGTTCTTGTATGAATATTCATCAGGTCACCATGAACTTGTCGCGACATGTGGGTGGAAATGGCAGGTATTTACATTGATGTTTTTAAGTAATTTAGTCTCGTTGATAATCAATGGGGGAGGGCCACATGATTAGTTAAAGAGTTGTTAATGTATTTTGCTACAAGATAATATATTGTTTATAAAGAAACAAAATTAAGAATAAAATATTGTCAACACAATCCTAATGCAATTCGTACGATTACAAAGTGATTTCTCTCGATGTAGTGTTGTCACAACAATTAAGAAAATCAGTATTGTTAGTTGCAGTCCTTCCACCTTCGTATGTATTCACAGTCATTTTAGGTAAAATAAATATTTGAACAGTTTAGTTGCTCTCCTCCCACCTGTGTATGTGTTCAGTCATTTTAGGTAAAATAAATATTTGTTCAGTGAAGACGAAATGAACTGAAATGCTATTGTTTCCATATTGGCAGAATACATATTTAATCAAAATAATCATTTGTCAAAATAAATAATTCTAGCTCTTCAGTTTCTGCATGTTATCTATTTATATTCTTATGTGTTTCATGTTATTTTTAACCATATGAGTATATTGCTATTGCGATATGAATTTGAAGTGTTTCTACTGGCTTAATTTGTGTTGGTGTGGTTTTTTCAGCCAATCACTTGTCTATACTAAATTCATGCCGGGAAACCCCGACTGATTGGCACGTGGTAGGTCGCAGTACACACTCCGGCGCAGCGATGACTTAGCATAACATCTAATATCAGTTTTACACTGTTACGTAAATATTATGACAATACATATTTATATTTCAAACTGGCTGCATCGTTTTCTCTCCATAAAGCCTCGATGACAGCACGTGGGTACAACCAATGTAAACAAAGGATCGCCGCGCAAATCGAAATAGTGGTACACGTTTCTGGATATTTTCTCAGTGAAACTAAACCATTTTAGCAACAATGTTAAATTAGATGTGTAGTCCCATCAAACATAACAAAAGTTACGAAATATGTACATTATATTGAATGGACTGGTGGCAGAGGCTCGCCGCAAGGAATTCTGGGTAGGAGAGTTGTCGCAGTGCAGCCAGACAAAGAAGTTAGAACGACACATCAGTTTTAATCATTTATTTTGTAATAACAACAATGGATTATTTTTATTATTCAGAAGACATGATGATTTATCCCGAAAGATTATTAAAGTTGTCTGAAACATGAATTGACTACAATATTTCCATTCGGTGCGGTCTACTTCTAAAATGGCGACGCTACGCATCCGTCAGCCACACGATGTTCAATCGGTCAACGGCACTAATATTGACAATTTATTACAACAAATAATATGGAAAAAAGGATATATAAAAAGAAGAAGGATAGCAAATTATAACGATTTTGAAAACTTCTTGATGGCAACTCCCAAGAAAGGTACGCTAGATCCTGACTACTGAAAGATATTCCACGTCTTACTTTTAGTTTTACACTGAATCGCACAAAAGGTTGCGGGTAATAGTAAGGTGCAGGTTATGTGTAGACTGTGTTGTCGAGATTAACTCCAAAACTGGGGTGCGGGTAATATTCAGGAGCGGGTAATGGTGCAAAAAATAAGGTATGTGTCAGAATGCACATGACTGAGAGAGTGTGTATAGTTTTATATCGCTTTTAGCAATATAGATAACAAGGATGACATATTTGTTTGCAGTTTACTCATCTGCCAGTCCAAATCACAGCCCTGGTATATCTCCAAGTGGTTCCCCACTGACACTGAGAAGAACTGCATCACCTGTGGCTCCACTGCGACAGACTACAGTGCCCCAGAAACCTCAGCAGCACCCACAGGCACCAGGAGGGGGACCCGGTGGGCCAGGAGGACCTGGGGGACCGGGGGGACCTGGAGGTGGGGGAGGCACAATCCAGGTGAGAACTTCGTCATCTGAAAACAGGTCCAAACACAGCACTGCTTTTAGCGAAGTTTAGACTGGTGGACATGTGATTAAGAACCCTAATCTGTGTCACTGGAAACTTTCATATCAACAGAGTTTCACTGTTTACTAACATGGACATGTAAAGAGAAGTACAGTCTTTGCAATGAAAGTCCTGAGAATAATGATGCATAACTTAACACGAGCTCCATGAAAATGGACTCCTGGTTATTGACTGACTGTCATTAGCATGATTTCAACAAAGCTGTTACACAGCAAGTCAATGAATGATGAATGCACCAAGATGGCCTCAATTTACTTATGTTAACATAGACTTGCTGTCATAGTGTTAAGATTGTTTTGTTAAATATCCCAATACACAGGCCTACCAAAGAAAACTTTCCCACTGTGCAGAAAAATGCAGAAAAGCCCACATTAATTGTGGAAATAGCAACATAAACATACTACCTAGCTACTGAAACAGTATAAAAAGGCAACTTTAAACCGCTAACACTGCATCATAAAACGAGGAGCCCACAACTCCGATTTTGCGCATGTGCACATGGAAGAGGAAGTCTCACATGTTGACATTTTCCCGCTTGGACAAAAGTTTTTCTGCACAGTGGGAAAGTTTTCATTGGTAGGCCTGAATACAGCTCTCTGTTTCACAGTCATGTTGGTTACATTATGTAAGCATTGATATATTCATGCCATGTTACTGCTGTGGGGATGACAGGGCTTGGTTTCACATAGCCACCAAGATGACCGTAGCTTTGTGTATGTTAACATAGGCTTACCATGATTGAAGCACAAGATCACTTATGGAAATTGGTCCCTTGGTAGATGAATTACATCCTTCACATGCTGTAAGAGCAGATACTGATTGCTGCTCATTAGTCGCTCACAGGGCTTGATGGCCTGGATATTTATGGACTGATGTGATGTAACTTCAATAAGCTGAAGTATGTCATAATACAGGCATCTGTATTGGCTACTAATGTAACCAATGTCTACACTGGTATCAATAACAGCCTTGTAGGTCAAACCCTGGTATTATTTTATGTTAGGTTTTATAATGTGGTGATGCTGTGAAACTCTATATATACAGTTGTAGTAATCAACATAAGATTAATTCAAGCTGTTTATGGATTTTTTTGGATATTTTGTATGCAAGTTGTCAAAATCTGTTGAATTTGTTTCAGGAAAACTTTGGAGGGACAACCTACTTCTACCATCCCGATGATTTTGCTCCTCAGTATGAAGGAGTGGTAAGTGACACCATTATACTATTCTGTCACATTGGATATTAAAGTCAGGATTATTTTATTAAATCTTTATATTTCTTCAACAGTTTTGTTCGTTTATTTGTAAAATGTACACTTGTTCCTGCTTTTCTTAAAACAACACAAGACTTTCACACTTCGGCATTTGTCGAATTTCACATTATTATTCATTTATGTTGATTATGAGGTCTTTCAAGGAATATTTTTATTAATTTTTTTTCATATTTTCTTATTTTTCCCTTTATTCACTCAATGTATACGTGTTCTTGTTTTCCTTCTGAAAACACAATACTGTTTCTCACTTCAGCAACTGCCAAATTTCACCATGTACCCAGGGCTGCCTCCACACATTGCTCACATGAAGGTCAAGGTTAACATGCCACAGTTCTTCATGCCGGATGAAATCAAGATGGTGAGCAGAATTATGTAGTTTTAAGCTTGTGTCCACTTGTTTCTTCTTGTGTGGGCTTGGATTTACAGATACATTCATTTATACATTCATTAAATACATGTTTCTGAATTCTGAACCTGTAATCTCTTCTTCTCATTGCAGGAACTTCTAAACAGACATGCTTTAACACTGGCACAAATTGACCCTACTCAGAATCCAGGTAACTATGTACTTAAATCACTATTACAATTGCTGTGATATTCAGTGACACATTTCTCATACTTTGCAATTATAATGCAGACATTAGTGGTCTGAGCTGCAGCCATTTGTTACTGTATTCTGTAGCCATGTGACTGCCTCCGTGGTGTAGTGGTTAGAGCATCCACCTGGAGAGTCTAAGGTTGTGGGTTTGATCCCAGGCCGTGTCATACCAAAAGACATTAAAATATGGTACTTGTTGGTCCCTGCCTGGTGCTCGGCATTAATGGGTACAACAAGGACTGGTCGGCTCGGAGTCAGTATAATGTGTCTGAGTGGGGTATTCATGCTTCACTGGGGCATGGTATCTCAGTGGGCTAGCACTATAAAACCAGCTTAAGTCTGGGCTAGTACAAGCAGCCACACATACACACACAGGCACGTCGTCATGTGAGCGAAATATTCTCAAGTACGACATTAAACCCCATCTCACCTCACCTGTAGCCATGGTAGTGTCTATTATGGTTGTGGGTTTGGATGTCATGTCCACCCATGATTTGTCATCTTTGTCTTGAGTTTGGGTTTTCCTCCCACATTAATCTGACAAGCCCTGTTGTAATTGAAATAGTATTCAGTGGGTGCTAGGACAGAGTCACCTCTGCATTCATTCATTCGTTCAATTCTGGAGACATTCTCAGTGGCATATGTTTTGTGCAGGGTCTACAGCAAACATTGATAGTTTCCAAATTGAAATCAGAATTACCCTGTTTTAGCTTTGGAAGATGCTATGAATTTCACTGATAACAGGACCAGTTATGCAAACGAGACTTCATGTATAGTTTAGCATAATTGCATGTATTATCCCCCCGGCATCTAAAAAAAAAAAAGTAATGCGGGGGATATAGTCACCTCGTCCGTCTGTCCATCCGTCCGTAATCATTTTGTTTCCAGAGCATAACTCAAAAAAAACCTTCAACAGAACCTAAGGTGGTGCCCTTTGCTATTTACAGATTTTTGTTATTTTTATTTTCTGGGTTTCCATGGAAACGTTTTGGACTTAGTCTTAAAGGGGGTGGGCTTTGTTTCCGAGCTTAACTCAAAAAACGTTCAATGGTTTTCAACAAAACTTGGTAGATATATCAAACAGAACCTTAAGTGGTGCCTTTTGCTATTTGCAGATTTTGGCACTTTTATTTTTCCCGTTTCCATGGAAACGATTTCGGACTTAGTCCCAAAAGGGAGGGGTGGGCTTCGTTTCCAGGGCACAACTCGAAAACTTCTTAATATCTTTCAGCAAAACTTGGCAGATATATGAGACAAATCTTGAAGTGGTGCCATTTGCTATTTACAGATTTTTGTCATATATATTTTTTTTGGTTTCCATGGAAACGATTAGGACTTAGTCTCAAAAGGGAGGGTGGGCTTGTTTCCGGAGCACAACTCGAAAAGCATTCAGTATCTTTTAACAGAACTTGACAGATATATTAGGCAAATTTTGAAATGGTGCCTTTTGCTATTTACAGATTTTTGACATTTATATATCTCATGATTTCCATGGAAACAATTTGGACATAGTTTTAAAAAAAGTGAAGCTGGACTTTAAGTAACTGTCAGATGATTTGTTCTTTCAAATATGTGGGGGCCGGGGGGATATGCCATCTTCTGATGACTCTTGTTTGAATGTGACTTTAAAACACACGAAAAAATTAATGTGGGCGAAATATTGCTTTCATCCCAGTCTTCCTGTCATCAGCCTGTAGCTGTGTACTGATTTCAGGTTAAAACTGATCTCCAGTCACCAAATTGATTTGGTGCTCAGGCTTAGTGGCTTGGTAGATGACATGGCATTGTACCCCAACTGTGTGGGTTGTTGTTCACAATATTGTCTTGTCCAGACTGAACTATTTACAGGCGGCCAACAGATTAATCATGTTAATGGAATATTGCTGAGTACTATATTAAACAATGAGCAAACAAAACAAAGGTTGTCATTGTAGATCAAGCAGTCATACAAGTACTTTGTTTTCAGATGTACCGACGGAGGTGGACAACTACCACAACCTGTTCCCCTGGAGCCACCGCCCACCACCCAGCTCCCCAAGTCCAGCACCTTCACATATCCCACCACCTGCTACAAGGCTCTCAACACCAAAGATGGACTTACATACTGTCTTAGGAGGGTTCATGGTGAGCAGACATTTAACCAGATTAACACCCTCCACTTGCACTGCGTGTGATTTTATGTATCTTTGAATATGTTGGGTTTTTTTGGTATATGTATGTTAGAAGACAAAAGGACTTAAATTGTAATATTAAGCTGCATGTTTAGATCCACATCTACTGGACAGAGCAAATTAATTGCTTTGGTTCAAAAGTTTAACGTAATAGACTGTGTGATTCAAAAGTTCCTGTCTGTCATGCAGACAGACAAACCCCAGAGCAAAGACCTGTAGTCCGAATCATATTTTGACATGGAAGTTCCTGTCTGTCATGCAGACCTGAGACAAATACAAACCCTGAACAAATATCTATCCACGGGCATACAAGTCTACAGTTTGCAAGTCTATTTCGATAATTAAACTCCCGGTATATTGTTTTTTTGCCATAGAATGACATTTCAGAGGCTATATATTACTCTAAAAAGCTTCCAGCGTTTTACAATGTTTCGGACTTGATTGTGCAGTTGATTTGTTTTTCAGGCTTCCGATTGGCTAACGCAAAGTGTATGCCGCTGATTGACATGTGGAAGAAGATGTTTCATCCCAACATTGTGCAATTGAAGGAGGTCTTCACCTCTAAAGCTTTCGGTGATAACTGTAAGTGCAGTAACCCACGTACCTTTTGAACAGCATCTTGTGCATATATTAGTTCATCCTTGACAATCTCCAGGGTATATGTTACGATAAATCTCCACTATACCCTGGATGCATCTACGTCTTGGCCCGATGACTTTATTACCTCCCTTGGCTGGCTTTTTATCCCATCAGTTGTCTACGCTGGGAAGTTGAGTGTACCAATCACAACTCACTTTCGCTTCTTAAAAAATCTAACCGATTAAACTTGGCAACACAATTGATGCAGAGGTACTCTGAAGAGGTAGAAGGAGTTCTTGCATATATATTTTTTTTAAAGTTTGTCTGTATGATTTCCCCTCAAACCTGAGTCGCACTGTGAACAAACCTTCGCGGCTGCGACCGCTATCTTTGTTGGCACTGGAAAGCTCGTAACGGCGGCTTAGCTGATTGGCTACTGTGAGAATGTGGAGCCAGCAAAGGGAGATAATAAAATTATAGATGCATCCAGGGTACTTGTGGAGATTTATCGGAACATATACCCTGGAGATTATCAAGGATGTTATTAGTTAAATTTGGAGAAAGGCTTCAGTTGTATTAACTTACACTTCATGACTTTGGTGTTTAGCCATTTTCAAGACATTGCAATTGAAATAATCTTAGCTGTGGATCCTATTATCAGCACAATGTTTATGTTTGATCGGTGCATTGAAAGAACCCTTTAACTTCCAAGTTGGGTATATTGCCACATGAATAAACAAGTTGAAATAAACTTGAAACAATTTCCTATCCATGATTGTGATGGATTTATTTCTTTGTTGAAATGAGCTTGAATTAAAAACCTTACAAGGTCTCTAATGAGGCAGTCAAGCAAATTGTAACCTTTTTAGTTGGTTTAATTACCATGTTTGTTTATACAGTGTTGACATTCAGGTTGATTATCAAGAATGATTGATGGACAGCATTTTATGTGATGTTTCAGCTATTATCTTTGTGTATGACTACTTCCCTGGAGCCGAGACCCTGATGTCACGCCATTTCAACACACCGCCCACAATGAATGGTTACAGCAGCCCCTTCCAGGGTGGGGAAGGGCCCCCACCAGGAGCAGGAGCTCGCCCCTATAGTGCTGGGAAAGGGACAGGTACATACTGCCATGTTGGTGATAACATTCGGAACAAACCAGTTTGGGGTGCACGGTTTATGGATATTGATCTAGTTTGTAATTTGTGTGGCTCTGTCTGTTTGAGGTATGTTCATATTCAACAGTTTGATTACTTTCTGCTGATTTGCACTGAATACGCCTGCCAAAGGGGGTACACAAGCTACATGATATAGACTACCAGTTGTCTCATTCTGAGAGTGTGGGTTTAAATCCTGAATGGAACTCTATCCCCAAAAAGTACTAAAATCTGTACTTTCTTGAGAAAGAAATATTATGATTTTCATTGGTAGATGTATAATGAATATGAACTAGTATTTTCTCCAATGTTAGAGTTTTACTTATTGATTTGAATGTATCATGTATTACTGCATTATATTGTGGCAAGGTCTTACTAATTGTTACTGTGATGCAGAAACTAAATGTTGCGACTTGCCTTGTTCCAGGAGCAAGTGCCAACAACTCTGGCATGAATGGCCCTCGCCAACATGCTGGCCTGCTGCCCGAGTCACTCATCTGGACCTATGTCGTCCAGCTGAGTTCCGCACTCCGTGCCATACATGCCACTGGCCTCGCTTGTCGGGCCCTAGACCCTACCAAGATCCTTGTCTACAGCAAGTCCAGGTAATTGGGAAATGTGGCTTATGTTGATAGATTCTCCAAGATTTCCAGTGCAGCTTTCGAACTCATTCGCTATATCAGTGTATGGCAAAATAATAACTAATAATTAATTGAATGTTCTGATGAATTTTTAAGATTTATGGTAATTGAGTTATAGTCATGATCAACAAATTCTCCAAGATTTCCTGGTGCAGTGGGGTAGCCTAGTGGTTTAAGTGTTCGCTCGTCACGCTGATGACCTGGGTTTGATTCCCCACATGAGTACAATGTGGGAAGCCCATTTCTGGTGTCCCCTGCTGTGATATTGCTGGAATATTTCTATAAGAGCTGTAAAAGATTCCTTACACAGTTAAAAGGTGCATCATCACTGTCTATATTTCCAGGATGCGGCTGAACTGCATGGGGATTATGGATGTTCTGACGTTTGACAGTAACCAGGCCAACCCACTTGCTTTGATACCACACTACCAGGTAAGAAGCGCACTCAGCGCACCCAACCCCCTCCACTGGAGGGGTGGTTTAGACAAAGGAACCGAGAGAGAAGAAGATACATGTGTTGCTTCATGTGAATCCACCGTCGTGATATTGCTGGAATATTGCTAAAAGTGGCATAGAAACGTAACTCACTCATGTGAATCCAACACAAATGTTTTATGTTCTTCTTTGATACACTGTGTGAAGCCCATTTCTGGTGTCCGCCGCCGTGATATTGCTAAAAGCAGCATAAAACCTAACTCACTCACTCTTTGACTGGCATTCCAGAAGTTGAGAGAGGTGAAGAATGAGAACAGTTTTTATGGATTTTAAGTATTCTGTTTTAAAATAAAATGCCTATGATAAATAATATTTCTTGTGGCCTAAATGAATTCATTGGGAGAAAGATGTGGAATAGATATGCTTGATTATATAGTTGTATCAGATTGTATTTGTACATGGAATTATGCAGGATATCAAACAAAACCTCTGGGAAAAATTGGGTAAAGTATTTTTATTTTTTATGTTTTTTTATGTTGTCAATTCTAATAAACTGAATTTTTTACTGGCATTGGCTGCAGACTTGTGGCTGAACTGGCCACTGGACAGGATTAGATAAATCCCTAATGTAGTTCCCAATGACCATGTGTGTTCCAGCAAGAGGATCTGGTTGCCCTCGGACGCATCTGTCTGGCGCTTGCCTGTAACAACATCATGGGGGTACAACGAGATCACCTGCCGGCAGCCATGGATCTTGTTGCCAGGAACTACTCACCTGACCTGAAAAATCTCATCTTGTAAGTAAAGGTCTGCAGTATGGGGGTTTGATAGAAATACTGTATTGTGATACAAACATATAAACTCACTCTCCTTCAGTGGCGGTGGGGTAGCATTGTGGTTAAAGCATTTACTTGTAACTCGGAAGACTCAGGTTCGATTTCCCACATGGGTACAATGTGTGAAGCTTTTTCAGGTGTCCCCAGCCTTGATATTGCTGGAATATTGCTACAATCGGAGTAAAACTAACTCACTTGCTCACACTCTCTTTCATCTGCCCGAGGCAAGGCAGTGAACTGACTAGTATCAATCCTTGCCAAACTCGGTTTCAATTTTGAGACTCGATTGAAGTGCCACCAGAAGCTAATATATCCCTGTCTAAGACGCCATGTGTTTGTGGATTCTAGAACAACACTTTAGCATGTTGATACTCTCTGTGGACGTCCGGTAAGCATGGTTTCTGCATCATGTAATCAACTGAATCTGCATGTTCGCCAAGTTCATGAACAATTTTGTTGCGCAATTTTAATTAGACTATGCACAGTCCTATAGGTTTAGTCAAAATACCAAAAACTCAGAAATTCCATCCTAGTTCAGCAAAGGTGGAAACTATACTTTTGAAGCCAGTTAACTCCCTTGCTTAAGGAAGATGTTTTGTATGTTCCATAGTAGTGTTCTTTGAGCATGTAAGCATACATTGCTAGAAACACTGAAATATATTTGTTGATCAAGAAATAATTTATTTTTAAACTTATCCTATCTCACGACTTGTACCTCTCTCTCTTGCTTCGACTTTTAGTGGAACGACTGTAAACTTTTTTCCATAGGCCTACTTGTCCATTCGCCCGTGCACTCCATGCTGCTCTCCTTAATTAGCTTCCTAGTTCCTAATAAAGCTTGCAGCATGCTCCACTAATTGCCCACTTGACTACCTTGAATGATCATTTCTCTTTCTTGTCGCACGACGGTGTGGACGTGCTGTATGTTAGGGACATTATTTCACCCTAACATCATGGGGAAAACTGATAATCAATCAAGGAAAAGGAAAGTTTGTGCTCAATGCAAGACGAATTATTTGTCACTCGACCCTCACTCGTCTTGCAGTGACTGTATTGAACAATGTAACTGGAACAAACGATGTGGCAAGTGTAATTCACTAAAAGATGATCATTTTAAGGCCTAACTTCGTGTTTGCTCCCGGAGAATTGTCGATAGGGACAGGAAATCAACAGAATCTGACCCTACTCCCGCCAAGTGTATCAAGTTACAGCGACAGAAAATCGTACCTTCACGCAAGAGAGAGATGTCTGTGGTTCAAGAGGATTTTATGGACGCTTCATCAGATTCTTACTTATCTGAGGACGTTCGGCACCTATTACGTACGCATCAATCACCTCCTTCCATAGCGTCAGATCACTCGCGGGTGGTTGTGATCGATAATTCTTCGTTGCCTGTCCCATCTACACTACCAGGGGATCTTAGATCGACACAATCATCATCCAGATCATCGGTACATATCCCCTCGACTGTCTCAGTTTGTTTGGAGCCTGGCCAACTGCGTTCAACCAGCCAACTGTCTCTCCACAGTTCATTGAACCGGACGGAGCTGGCTACAACAGCATCGCCGGGGGACGTTCATCATGAATCAACACTTCAGGTTTCATCACCTAATCGCCGATCCAGATCGCCACAACATTCTAGATCACAACAACGATCTAGATCACCTTCACAATCCAGATCACCATCACAAGCCCAATCTAGATCACCGAATCGATCCAGATCACAGTCACGATCAGAGCACAACTACGATCCACATCACCTAACTGATCCAGATGACCAAACGGGTCCAGATCACAACATCGAAGTAGATCATCGGACCGATCCAGATCACCGAATGGATCGAGATCAGCGAATGGATCGAGATCACAACTTCGAATCAGATCACTGGATAGATCCAGATCATAGGGGTGGGTATTGCAGAGAATATTCATATTGCGATGCGAAAGCATGTATTGCGATATGCATTGCAATATATTGCATGAAGTATTTTTAAACAAAAAACTACTTATAATCGAGTTACTGCTTGATTTATAGAGCAAAAACACAACAAAATCACTATGCTTGATTAAGCTTTAATAACAAATTTTAATCATGATAAAATAAAAATGTGAATAATATTTGGCACAAATGAAACAAGGAAATATCCGAAGATTTCCGAGTGTTACGACGTTTTCCGAATGCATGTCAAAATACCGGTTTTCGATCAGCGTATTGCAATACGTATCGTTTTCATGTCGGAATCGGTAAATACCGGTAAACCGGTTATATTGTGCAGCCCTACCAGATCACCTAGCCGATCCAGCTCACCAGACCGATCCAGATCACTACATCGAAGTAGATCATCGGACCGATCCAGATCATCTAATCGATCCAGATCACCAAATGGATCCAGATCACAACTTCGAATCAGATCACCGGACCGATCTAGGTCACCTAACTGATCCAGATCACAACATTGAAGTAGATCACCAGACCGATCCAGATCACAACCTCGAATCAGATCACCGGACCGATCTAGGTCACCTAACCGATCCAGATCACAACATCGAAGTAGATCACCAGACCGATCCAGATCACCGAATGGATCCAGGTCACAACCTCGAATCAGATCACCGGACCGATCTAGGTCACCTAACCGATCCAGATCACAACATCGAAGTAGATCACCAAACCGATCCAGATCACCGAATGGATCCAGATCACAACCTCGAATCAGATCACCGGACCGATCTAGGTCACCTAACCGATCCAGATCACAAAGTAGATCGACGAAGTAGATCACCAAACCGATCCAGATCACCACCGAATGGATCCAGGTCACAACCTCGAATCAGATCACCGGACCGATCTAGGTCTCCTAACCGATCCAGATCACAACATCGAAGTAGATCACCAAACCGATCCAGATCACCGAATGGATCCAGGTCACAACCTCGAATCAGATCACCGGACCGATCTAGGTCACCTAACGGATCCAGATCACAACATCGAAGTAGATCACCAGACCGAATGGATCCAGATCACAACTTCGAATCAGATCACTGGATAGATCCAGATCATAGGGGTGGGTATTGCAGAGAATATTCATATTGCGATGCGAAAGCATGTATTGCGATATGCATTGCAATATATTGCATGAAGTATTTTTAAACAAAAAACTACTTATAATCGAGTTACTGCTTGATTTATAGAGCAAAAACACAACAAAATCACTATGCTTGATTAAGCTTTAATAACAAATTTTAATCATGATAAAATAAAAATGTGAATAATATTTGGCACAAATGAAACAAGGAAATATCCGAAGATTTCCGAGTGTTACGACGTTTTCCGAATGCATGTCAAAATACCGGTTTTCGATCAGCGTATTGCAATACGTATCGTTTTCATGTCGGAATCGGTAAATACCGGTAAACCGGTTATATTGTGCAGCCCTACCAGATCACCTAGCCGATCCAGCTCACCAGACCGATCCAGATCACTACATCGAAGTAGATCATCGGACCGATCCAGATCATCTAATCGATCCAGATCACCAAATGGATCCAGATCACAACTTCGAATCAGATCACCGGACCGATCTAGGTCACCTAACTGATCCAGATCACAACATTGAAGTAGATCACCAGACCGATCCAGATCACAACCTCGAATCAGATCACCGGACCGATCTAGGTCACCTAACCGATCCAGATCACAACATCGAAGTAGATCACCAGACCGATCCAGATCACCGAATGGATCCAGATCACAACCTCGAATCAGATCACCGGACCGATCTAGGTCACCTAACCGATCCAGATCACAACATCGAAGTAGATCACCAAACCGATCCAGATCACCGAATGGATCCAGGTCACAACCTCGAATCAGATCACCGGACCGATCTAGGTCTCCTAACCGATCCAGATCACAACATCGAAGTAGATCACCAAACCGATACAGATCACCGAATGGATCCAGGTCACAACCTCGAATCAGATCACCGGACCGATCTAGGTCACCTAACGGATCCAGATCACAACATCGAAGTAGATCACCAGACCGAATGGATCCAGATCACAACCTCGAATCAGATCACCGGACCGATCTAGGTCACCTAACCGATCCAGATCACAACATCGAAGTAGATCACCAGACCGATCCAGATCACCGAATGGATCCAGGTGACAACCTCGAATCATATCACCGGACCGATCTAGGTCCCCTAACCGATCCAGATCACAACATCGAAGTAGATCACCAAACCGATCCAGATCACCAGATCACCAGATCACCAAATCAAGCCAGATCGCAACTGCAAACCAGATCACCTGTTCGATCCAGATCACCTAGGGCTCTACAAGGATCGTCGACGGCTACGGAAGCGCCTCTTCATACCCTTGTCGACCGCTTCAAGAACTGAGGTTTCCGGACCACATTGGCCTTCTGGATGCGTGCCATGATCCTGCGAGCCTACACCTTTGCAGCGTTGCCTCCTCCAGCCGCTTCCAATCTTCATGAGGCTCGTGCACTAGCCTCGATGATGGCCCTCCATAGCAACTGCTCCTTGACCACTCTCATAGAAGGTTGCTTCTGGCGTTCTGATACAGTCTTCTCTTCACATGACCTGCGGGACCTGTCTGTCACGGATGTCCAGGGACTACACCAGTTTGGACCTCTTGTACTGGCTCAGCAGCTTACATCGGCCCAACAACGCAGATGAAGGACGGTTCCGCATTCGCGTTACTACTTCCTTGTATATACTGAATAAAAGTTGAACTGGATCTCAACCCTTTGTTCTCATTATATGAGTTTACTTCACTTGGCCTCCATACCAAGGCATCGGAATACGGCCACCTAGTTTGGCCCTATGGACCTGAGGCACAATCAGTATGACGATGCAGAGGTGTTCGACATTCATGCTTACTGACCTCTACTCCAAGGAGCAGTTACGTCAGTGAAATGTGACACTCCCGAATTCCAGTGGATTTCGTTGCGTTCTGCCTCCAAAGTTGCCAGGCTCATCCTTTGACTAAGCTTAGGCAAAGGGTCGATTTGATGCTGCCCGGAACTGAACCCTTGGAGATGCCGAGTTGTGTTTCTCTTTCACCCGCCTCGGTCGGTGTTTGAGGGGCCTTCTTGAAGCAGGGGCTGGACCGATTCTAGTCACAAGACTTTAATTACGGGGATACCTTGCAAATCGTGGCGAGGCGAGGCTTACTTGCCGAGTTGCGTCCCTTGTCTTGTACAAGGTTGCGGCCGAACTCCACATTGCTCGGGAGCACCCATCTCCCTGGGAGTCGTTGTGCTTAGTAAGCCAAGGGGTTCCGGAAACCCACTACAAGCATAGGAGTTGCGTGCATGCGTAACAGGCCTCCCTTGTACATCACTATCTACGGTTGTCATCAGTCCACACAGCTCCAATACCAGCTGTTTGCACTGTCCAGACAAAAGGGTAATCTGCGGCCCGCCGTGCAACCGTGGGATGAGTGCAAGTCGTGAGATAGGATAAGTTTAAAAATTTGGAAATTTTAATATAAATTGTATATTTATATACTTATCCTATCTCACGCGATGGATGCCCGCCCAGCCTCCCCACGACTCAGATTACAACGTTGGCTCCAAGATGAGAATGATCATTCAAGGTAGTCACGTAGGCAATTAGTGGAGCATGCTGCAAGCTTTATTAGGAACTAGGAAGCTAATTAAGGAGAGCAGCATGGAGTGCACGGGCGAATGGACAAGTAGGCCTATGGGAAAAGTTTACAGTCGTTCCACTAAAAGTCGAAGCAAGAGAGAGAGGTGCAAGTCGTGAGATAGGATAAGTATATAAATATACAATTTATATTAAAATTTCCAATTTTGCTAGTTGAAATATTTATAGCTAAAATATTACCATGCTAGACTCTTGATACTCCTCAGAACTATTGTAATAGTACTAATTATGCCGAAGTCATAACACTCACCTGGTAAACGCATGGTCCTAATTTGTTTGAGCATGTAGTATTAACCCCATTAGCACTGCACAATCCGTTGTAAACCCTTGTTAGTTAGATTGTGGATTGTGTTCTTCAGGTATCTTCTGACCAATCAGAATAGACCAAGAAGTATCAATGACGTGATGCCAATGATTGGAGCCCGATTCTTTACTCAGCTTGATGCTGCTCAACTTCGAACAGATGTGTTGGAGAATGAGTTGGCCAAGGTAAATACATGTGTGAAAAAGAGTCCTTTGTCCAGTAATTATTCCAATAAATGTGTGGAAAGTGTCCCTTGTCCAGTAATTATTCCAATAAATGTGTGGAAAGTGTCCTTTGTCCAGTATTTATTCCAATATTGCCTCATTCCCTTGGTATTTATTATTTAAAAGTATACATGCTTACAGTTCTCTATTGTTTTTGTAGGAAGTAGAAAATGGCCGCCTATTCCGTCTGCTGGTGAAACTTGGTGCAATTAACGAGAGACCTGAGTAAGTACTTATCTAGTACTGTTGTTGAGTGATGTGTGCATTTCTGTGATAAAACATAAAATGCTATAAAGAATGTTCTCATAATTTCAAATAGAGAAGTGTTATAATTACATAACAATATTTAAGAAGCATTGCATGTAAAGTGTTTGTGTCAATAGTATTCTTGCTCTCACACACTGCAATTGGTCTGAACCACCCAGGTTCAACATGGATCCAAGCTGGTCAGAAACTGGAGATCGCTACATCTTGAAGCTGTTTCGTGATTACTTGTTCCACCAAGTGGATGAGAGTGGTGCACCATGGATTGATCTTGCTCATGTCATTCAGTGTGTCAATAAAGTAAGTGAAGATAATGGCTTGCTGTATGGGATTACTTCCATGTGCTATGCTGCTATAGACATTACTTCACTTAAGGAATGTCATTTTCATGTGATAAGTCCAGGGCCCCATTTCACAAAGCTATCGTAGTGCTACGACTGTCTTAAGTCTATGCTAAAGTATGGGAGTTATGATCACCTTAGCGCTACGATCGCTTTGTGAAACAGGGCCCTGGATTACTTCGGATGAATATACCACAATATTTCATATCCCATATTTACCAACATCTAGTCATCGAGTTTGGTAAATCCATGGTTACTTATCACAAACCTAATGTTATTAGTAAAGGTTATATTGCTCCTTACATTCAAATAATTGGGCTAACAAAGGAGTCTAAGAAACACTTAATTTCCAACACAGGTCAAAGTTTGTTGGTGTCATATCCGATAAAGTAAGAACTGGTTGACACAGAGTCAGTATACTGTGTCTAAGTGGAGTACAATATTAAACTGAACCTTGGTATCTCATTGGACTAGTACTATTTAAACTAGCATTAGGCTTGACTACTGCAAGCAAGCACACAAGCACACACGCACACAAACCCTTTTCACCTCTCCTGTACATGCTCATGGGCTTCACTACATTGGTAAATATTTTAAGACCTGCATAATTTTGGACTTACCTTCATCACCAATCTTACATTTAATACTGTTAGATGTGGCGTTTACCTCACTTTACCACTGGTCATCATCCTCTCCCACACATTGTGTTACAGGTTGATGCAGGTGTCCCAGAGAAGATTTGCTTGATGTCGAGAGACGAACAGAGCATCCTTGTCGTGTCCTACGCTGAAATCAAAAGATGTTTTGAGAGTGCTTTCTCTGAGCTGTTGAATGCCGGACACCAACCGTCCCCATTCTCATAGCAAGGGGGAATCCTGTGAATGCAGCCAAACGCCATTCCTGAGGCAGCACACTCGAACAAAGGAAGAGTGCTGCGTTTTAGTCAGACTATATCAATTCAGTCATATTTGTTTGTGGAGAGATCTCACCAAGTATTGAAGAATATGTCTATTGTATTGCTTTCTGATTTCAGAAGAAAGCGATTTTTCTTTATACAGAAAGCATGTTTTCCTTCAAGATAAGGGCTTATCTCTGTTTATATATCAATTGTCATTGTACATCATGAATGTGTATAATGTAGGACAACAGATTGGCTGCCTGGCAATACTGTATTTATACAATGATCATTTTTTAAATGATTTAAAATGTAACTGTATATTTATCCTGTGCTGGTGGCTGCAGATATGAAAAGAATCTTGCCCCCAAAACTGATGGATAAAATGAAATGTAGAGTCTTCTTGTTGGATGAAACTGCCACATTAATATGTGAATAGACTCATATATCACATCGATGAACATTTCATGTACATAATCGTTGTATATATAAAAAGTACTTCATATGTCAGATGTGTTTACCATACTTCATGGGGCGTCCATCCAATTTGGCCATGACAATAGTGAATGGACAAGGTCTAAGACTATTTAAACAACGGGAGTATGCTATTAAAAACATAGTCACAAAAAGTTTTAAATTTTTGAAGAAGAGTCTCAACATTGTTTCAAATTGAAATAAGAATTGGTCGATGGTGCAAAAAAATGATTTTAGGAAGATATTCTGTCAGGGTAAACCAGGGTGGAACATTGGAGTCTTGTAATGTTTATAGCGATTCTGAGAATGCAGTTTGATGATTGAATGTGAACTTGTTGATTATTGCTGAGGTTATGGTAATAGGAACTTATGTGGAGTTCATTTCATCAGTTCAATCTGTTTTACAATTCTCAGTTCAAATGGGTCTGTGTGCAGCTTGTTCTAGTCACTGATTTGTGTCTTCTCTATCAGGGGCGGTCATAGTTCAGTGGTCGATGGCCTTTATAATGTTTTGTTCACTCTTTCAAAAAGTAATTGGTTTAAAAAATTCTGGTTTCCACACTGGTGATAAACTTTGGAAAGTTTGAGCTGGCAAATGGGTAATTTAATATTCGTGTTTGGTGTTTTGCCATCAGTGGTCTTTGTTCAGTGATGTTGAATTATGAATTTTAGGTTACTTTCTATTTTGCTGACAACTAATGGCTAAGCATACTTAAGGGAACATTGTTTTGTGACGGTGAATATTAAAACTGTGTGCTTATATGTAACTTGATCTCGTACAGACATGATATTGTAAATTCAGTTGTTAGAGTTTTTCAACAAGTGTAATATTACAAAAGAAATTCTGTAATTTGATCCATCCTCCATAGCAAATTTTAGAAACATAGAAGTATTTTTGTAGGTTTTGTCAAGAAAATCATGATCCAACAATTATTAGTATTTTCATCAATTTTGTCAGGGAAAATCTCAAGCTGTGATCAACTTTGTTTAGCATTGATTCCTGTTTAGGATTCTCCTTTCTGTCTCATTATTTAATGAAAATATTCTGATTGTGAGATCCTGTATTACTTGTTTAAGTTATTGAAGAAAGGTCTATCCATTCTGTATAAATGAACATTGGTTTATCTGTGGCCTAATCCACTGGTACACACTACATACAATATGGAGGTCTGTTACAGGACAGGGCGGTGGGGTAGCCTAGTGGTTAAAGCGTTCGCTCGTCACACCAACATGGGTACAATGTGTGAAGCCCATTTCTGGTGTTCCCCTGCCGTGATATTGCTGGAATATTGTTAAAAGTGGCGTAAAATCCAACTCACTCACTCACTGTTACAGGACTCTTCCTTTCAAGAATGATTTGAGGTCTTTCAGTACACTTCTGCTGCTCAGTTTTCATCTTTGGTATTTTCCTTGTATTTGATTTTCGTGCTGTTTGCCGTCCATGCACTCAACAGCCTTCTGTCCAGCTTGTGGTCAAGGACATACAGAACTCTCTCTCAATCTACTGGTAAGAGGTCTAACTTCTGTTTGGTGAAGTTTCTTATTTTTTATTTCGTATGTGTTAGAAAACTTGACCATTGTTGGGAGGTGTATAATTATTACAATACCAATATCAGGACGTTGACTGGTGACAACATTCCAGGAAGCTAAGGGTACAGGGTGAATTGGACTGGCTAGCTTTATCACTAGGTAGATCTGATGGGGATATTTCTTGTTGTATTAACCCCACTGACATGGCCTTAAGGTGTATAAAACTATTATCACACACTAGCGATAATCCTGTTATCAGAATGCAGTGTCATTGGTATGGGTTTCTGAAGATTGTAGATGTGCACATCATGCGTGATAAGGCTCAGTTGTGAGGAGGGCTTTGAGTAACTGAGTAACAGTCTTACCATGTCTGAATTGACTTCATTTAGAGGAAACAGGTAGGTCTACAACAAAAATATCTCAATATAAATTTTGTTGTCTACTATCGTTAGATTTTTTAATGATACAGGAAATTGGAATATTGGTAAAGGAAGGCCGTGGGGATTAAAGGGTTAACATGCATACACACTGTATATAGATGTACACTTGTGTCACAACTATGTAATACCTTGACTTGCATTCGGGCCCACTTTCACTCAAGTTATACCCATTCTCTGTAGGACATGTGATTATTGTTGTGGCTGTTTTTCCTATGGATTGTGGAACGTTGAATTTTTCTTCGAAGTCAGATTCTTATATTTTGAACAGATTTTTCAATTGCCCATTTGTGAATTATTTTGTCAAATTCTAATGTTTCAAATGATCTTGATTTTTTTATTGGTATTTTTGAAAGTGGTTTCACAGACAGCTGTCGTATCAAATGAACAGATGGTTTGGGAATGTGGTGCGAATTGTTCTAAGTCAGTGTAGATTTTTTGTGTCTAATCAATTTCGAAAGAAAATTCTGATTATTATTTTTCAAATTTAGAGAGAAATGGTTCCAAATGCAATGAATTTTGTGGAAACGATATCAAAACATATGAATTATTTCTTGGAAAGTATTTAAAGGGTTTGTAATAATTAGGATGAAGTGTAGTGCGTACTGTCGTATGAAATGTTTTGTCGTGTCTGTGGCTATAGAACCACAAGTTGCCAATGAAATGTTAAATGTGTCTGATAGCATTTCAGTGACAGAGCTTATCATGGTGTCGTTCATTTCTAAAGGTAAATCATGCTTTCATTACTATAACAGACTACATCAAAATCATGAACTTATATTTTACATTGCAGCTATCAGTATTTCATTTCAATTTTAGTAGTCACATTTTAAAATGGCAGTCATTCATTGATTTTAACAGGAAACGATGTTGTTGCAGTTCCCTTTGGGATACATTAGAGTTGATACTATAAATACCATCTCTCCATAGTTGCAGTTGTTGTTTGTGCAGATTATTCAATGAAACATGACATGAACTCTTCACATTTAATGATTATAGTGCTGATTTTGATGATAGTTCTATAATTATTTCAAATGGTATTTTTTTCTCCCCGTAAAGTGATCGTATTGGTTGAGTTTATTGACTATTTCATAGCCAGATAGCCTTTTTTCTGTAATTCCAGTAATTTTCTGTAGTCTGTATTCTGAATTCCAGTGTGTATTTGATTTGTTTGAATAGTTGCTATCCAAACCTGTACTGCAGAAGCTTGGTTTGGGCAGAGTGACAATATTCCTAATTAGGGCCATTAAGTTATGCTGCTGGGCCCTGAAGAAGGATAAGTAATCTAAGGCACTAGGGGTGCTGGGGAGTACTTTTGAAGAGCCCTGATACTGCGTATGTAACCTCAGGTATCGTGGGCACTGGGGAAGGGGGCATCCCCATGGGTTACCATGGACACCGTAACAAGGATGCATCATCATTTGGCAGGGTTTGTTGGGACATTACTGACCTCGCTTAGGACTGTAATGTGTTCAGTCCTGTCAGAAGATATGTAGCCATCATGCCTGATTATCCCAATTATGGTATACTGAGTTAGGGCTGTTCAGGAAAGCAACAGTGCCCCGATATGGGATATTTTACATTTTGCTCAGTCTCTGTGGAGCATGATGTTCAGCAGAACCAGCATGTCTTAATTTGAATAGGGCAAACAGTAGACTGTATTTGACTGCTGTATGTAGATGCTCCTTACTGATCTGTCAAAATTCTCCGTACCCAACGTAATATTTCTGTCAATACTTTCATTTTCTTGTGATCAATGATTTCATTGTTTTGGGGTGACAATCAGAACCTATTTTCTGTTAAGTCTTGGCCAAGACTGTAAAAGTACATATATCATACGTGGCATGGTGGCACTATGTGCCATTCAGTTTCATGATGGATCCATCATTAAGAGTAGGTCATTCATGAGTGAAGAAATTGCACAAGTACTTCTCAGGAATGGAGCAATAAGACATCTCTTCATTTGCTAGCGTGTTGATCAATTTGATGTTACATCAGTGAACAGACCTACGGTGCCAAGATTTACAGAGTTAACCCTTTCACTTCTAAATCAATTTTTTATAAGTAGCTTTGGTTTAGATCACTTATATCATTGTGATAAACCCTTTTCTTGTCAAATTGAAAGCTCTATTTGAAGGTCAAGTTGAAGGTCATGGAGTGTTTTGTTATTGACACAGCATTTGACCCGGGGTCAAGGTCAATCATCAAGTATTACAGAGCTAGTCCTGGCCTATGCATAGGTCACTTATATTGGGTGCCGGGAGTTATCTTGGAAATCCAATTGCATTTTAGTGCTAACTTATGAATGTGTGATAGGCCATGACATGAGTGTCTCTGAACATAGTGATGAGCTCAGGAGCATTTTATCAGTATGGAATTGAGTTTGATTAGTTGGTTCTTGTCCTTCATCTGTTTAAATCCATAACATATCAGCTTTGGAATGGTGCTAGTGAATGATGGAGTGATCATCATTTCATTTTCATCACGACGAGTTGACAGTTTGTCAGCTTTGTGGTCATTTGTGTACTCGAGCTAAGTTTTTGTGAACAAATATATCTCTGGACTTGACATTATGTCATATGCTCTGATGAATGCCACAGAAAAGAATCCCAGTTATTTTAATTGGAAAGTAAGGAATTATGTTAGCACATGTTGATTGTATAGACTACTGAACACAGCAGTTGATTTCATTTCATTGTCATGAGTATGGTCCAAGCTCAAATCACCTGGAGAGAAGTGTCATGGCCGCTGTAGACTCTAATAGCAGACGTGAGCGTTGTGATCCTTCTGAAAGTAGGGTGCTTTGAATGGGAGTTGTGAGGGCTGGGAGTTAGAGTTAGAAGTTACATCAAACAAAAACACTCAGTTTGCAAATTCTGTCCAGAAAGCAGCTAGCTTTCACAACAAACATTATGTTTGGCAATGTTTGGTAATGTTGGACTTTGGCCCAAAGATTTAACGCTGACTTTGCAGTGATGAAATGTGATGCAAGAAATATAAATTCAGATATGACATGGTGGGTCAAAATATGTAATGGTCACACAGTGTCTGATGTCAGCCCCACCTGAAGTCAGCAGGAAGATCTAAGGGCAGTTAACTCTGATCGAGAAGGACATGGATTGTTGGTGCAGTGTGCTGAGATGCATGGAGTCATGAGTGTGGTAAGCTCTGTAATGTTGATAACTTTGTCCTACGGGGTCTTCAAATAATTTTTGAAGAAAAGATCTGTACAGATTTATTGAGCAATTGTAAAATATGAGATTGTATTTTTATTGAAATAAAGGTAAAAAGTACCTGTATGTATCATGTTTGTTGTTCATTGCTGAATTGTACTGGAACAATCTAATATGCTATAGTTGCTGTAATTGAAAAATGTATACAATGACAGTGTATGAAATAAAGCCCATCCGACTGCTGAGACGGGCTAGATTTCTGATGTACGGTCTCCATGGCCTGGTAAACGTTTTAGATAACATGTTCCATACATCTGAATAAATTCACCATATCTTAAAATCTATTTTTCAAATTGAGTGTTACATTTAGACATTACACATTAGTTAGACCTTTTGAAGTTACCAGCCGTGATGTCTGGCTGGGTTTTGTCTTATTTCATACACTGACAATTAGTAAGATTTGTTAATGAGAGTGGTAATGAACTAACATTGAAATGTCAACGTAGATACGACAGTTTTAGGCATCTTCAACACTGTGCTGTTTTTGAGAAACTATAATCTGTTATGCAGACTGTCAAGTGGGGCGGTGGGGTAGCCTAGTGGTTAAAGCGTTGGCTCGTCACGCCGAAGACCCGGGTTCGATTCCCCACATGGGCACAATGTGTTAAGCCAATTTTCTGGTGTCCCCCGCCGTGATATTGCTGGAATATTGCTAAAAGCGGCGTAAAACTAAACTCAGTCAGTCAGTCAGTCAAGTAAATGTTTGGTCTTTCTATAATGAAGCATACAACTTTATGGATAACAACTTCTTGTTTATTGCATGAAGTGACGTTTAGGTGTAGATTCTTACACTGTTATCACTCTGACAGATGTTAACTGTGGTACCCCATGTTGGGTCTGGTTGGTTCAGAGACCAAATCGTCTGTATCCATGTTTAAACTGCCAGACAAGTATTATCAGCCACACACACACCTGCATGCATGTCATTATGTGTGAACAACATGTTTAAATATCCCAGAATGGATTGCAAAAACATGAACGGACATGAAAACAAGTGACTTCAAGGATTTTGTTTATTTTATTACAAACGTTGAATAGTGAACTACTGAACATCATAGATGCAAGTCTAACAAGGAAACTCTAATACAACCAACAGCTACACAGTAATACACCACATTTCTAGGAAATATATTGGGATATATATATACAACTTGAATGTGATACATCTGCTACAGAATACCTTCATATAAAGTGGCGTACAGTAGCAAAATGAAAGCATATGGTGAACTCACTATATTTTAGTAGTATATTTAGAACAAAATCTAGAGTCACTAATTAAACAAGATCTACATGGATAAATTATGTTGAGCTTGACCGGTTTGAAATTGTGACAATTATTTGATACAATACAAACTGACTCATTTAATTATTTCAACAATACAGACAACAGACAATATGATTAATGAACATTTGACAAATCTGTAAGTGGCATGGTATGTCTTCATTCAAATTATATCAAAATAACAAACCTAAAATAAACATCTATTTGCAAGGAAGAAACAGTCTGGTTTGAAAACAAATCATTACATGTTTTTTAAAGAAAGAAAAGAAATTTTCAGTTTTTTAAAGAACCATGCTACATGACAACCATCAAGATACAAGCTATGTACAAGTATCTAAAACAGCAGCAATGACATTAACATAACAAATATACTGAATCAAAACAAAGTTATGGACCAGTCAATTTTTTCATATTACTTGTAAAGATACTTTACAAACAGGATGGTCCTTAACCTTTTTTTTGAATAGTACAGAGTGTTCTCTTTAAACAATGCAAATTTGATTCATTTTTACTCCAATTGTATGTGAGAATGAACTTCTAACACCAAATTTTTTATTTTTCTTCATGAATTCTTTCTTTCATAGGAAATGTGGAATTACAATAAACAGTTTTACTGAAAATACTGTTGCATACTCATTGAGTGACATGGACAGACGAATATAGTAAAATTGCAGCCATCAAATGCATCATTGTTGTTCATGCATAAATTCAACATCAACTATTTTTAAGACAAAAGGACAAATGAACCAAATCAGCTGAAAAGTTAATATTTTGGACATTTTTCAAAAACATAATATCAATAACAAATCAAAATGCGAGGTCGAAACTTATCTTTAAAATATTCATAATTACTATTAAGGAAGCTCCTTGTAAACATCATTAAGAAACTGTATAAAATCTGCTGATTGCCCATTGTCATTAACAGTCTCCAATAATGGTGGTGCCCATGGACTGTGTTCTTTGAGCGTTTAAGACTGAAATAAGAAAAAAAACACAATATATAATTATTGTAAAACAAACATTAATATTAGATTGTTTAAAACTATTTATATATAAATAACTTAGAAGTGAATTAAACAATTCAATAATATTTATAATTCAGTTGACTTTTTTAAAGTTGTGTTGTGGATTGCATTTGAATCTCCAGATGAGAGTCACTTAACAAAGTAGAAATGTTCTGAAAGGACCGTTCAAAAGGAAAACTGCATTCAAAAGTAACTGAAACACAATTGTCAAGAGAGATCTTTGAAAAACTAATAAGGAATATGATCGTAAAGTCTCCCTACCATATTTGGGCCAGGGAATCCCCCTGGAAATCCGCCTGGAAACCCTCCGCCTGGTCCTCCTGGTCCTCCTGGACCTCCTGCTTCACCACTGCTGCCATCACCACCGCCGCCGCCACCGCCGCCACCACCGCCGCTGCCACCGCTGCCAAACCTGGAAGCCATCTTGTTGATGACAGCCTGCACTTTGGGGTTGTTCTGATACTTGGAGACATTGGCTGGGTTAGCGGCAACATCTTGGAATGCTTGGACAACCTCAGGGTCCTGTAGATATACAAAGTTAAGAATGTGAGCAAAGATACTTCAGTAATTGTCTCTATCACAGGGGACAATTGAAACTACAGTTTTAGCATGTTGTACTGTTACCACTATTTTGTCCTCTCCATTACAGTAATAGCATGTATGGTGTGATATCACCAATATTACAGTTATACCATGCAGGCTTGCAGTATATATCACCAATATTACAGTTATACCATGCCAGCCTGCAGTATATATTACCAATGTTACAGTTATACCATACAGGTCTGCAGTATACATTACCATTGTTACACTTATACTATGTTGGCCTGCAGTAAATATTACCATTGTTACAGTTAAACTATGCCATCCTGCAGTATATATTCCCAATATTACAGTTATACCATGCCAACCTGCAGTATATATATCACCATTATAGGGCCCGTAAGTAGGTCACGGCACTTCGAGAGAGATTACTTTGTTTAGTACTTCTGGTGACAAACAACGTTTTTAGGCAATGGCGATAACACTGTTACATGGGATATGCCGTGGATAATCATACTCGACACTGGCTGTGTGAATCAGAAACCTATGCCATGTAACAGACTATGGACTGCTAAAGCACTAAGGCAATGTTGCATGAACAGCACGTGAATATTTGCCAAACAGATGCAGAGTTGTCACAGCGTCGTCTTCAGGCTGGCCCATTCATTAGTCGAGGTAAGTTTGTTACATGGATTTCTTTGTTTTCATTTAAAGGCTGGTATTGTTTAAGCATGGCACGCTCAGTTGACATGTGTGCAGATTGGTGAATCGTTTGATTGCATTTGATATCTTACAGTGGGATTTTATTGTCCCCCGGAGAGGGGACCTAATAAAATATGGCAGGCAGGTATCCGGTATAATGCATGTGTACCCAAAAAACTGTGTTAATAAATAAAGTATCTTGCAGTTGGAATTATCCAGAAGATAACTTAATGTGCAATGAAAATCCAGGTGTAATTCTAAAAAAATAAATGTAATGAATTAAATAATAATTTAATAATGATGATTATATCCACACTTTGATTGACACCAATATCTCAGAATAGGTGTCTCTCACAAATGTATTCTGTAATATGAGCTTGATTAATATATTATTACAACCCCATTTAGCATTTGGTTATGGTACAGCATGTTCAGTTAAACATAACATCCACATGCTTAATATATCAATAATATCTTGATGTCAACATTGTAAGGAACTGTTTACATTTTATTAAGTATATCATACTTGGTCTCACGTGTGTTATGTATTCTTTTCAGTTGGAACAGATGCACATCTTTAAGAGGAGAAAGAAGGAGGAATAGATTTCTTTATCACCACAATTACCATTGACATCAAGAGCAACACAAACTGAAACAGATCTTCAGATTTCTTTTAACATCTGGTGGTCAAGCAATATACATTGCAAATGAAGAAACAGCAAGTCATTGAAGTGTTGTATATACAGTTATAAAACATATTAAAGACCTACACACCATCCTTTGGACACTTGCTTGAACAGGAAATGCTTGTAACCAGCAAGGTGTTGTGGAAAGTCTTGTGACATCTTGGGACTCTCACTAGTCTCAGATAATTCAGTGAGAATTTAGATGAGTGACCATGAAAGAATATTTGTATTCCAGATGATACTGTTACAGTATTTTTTCAGGTTTAGCATCTGGGAAATGCGAAGAATGTTTGATATGTTATGAGTAATTATGTCTTTGGAATAAAATTGCAGAATAGTTCTAAAACTTGTTTATTGTTTTTTAAGTGTGGATAAAGCAAGCACAAATTGAATGGTTTGGAAGATTTCTGCTTTTAGCCATGATATTGATTTGACAGTAAATATACAAAGATGGATGTAGGAGATTAGATTTTCAGTGTATATAGCAAAGGTTTCCAAGTGAGAGAGTTGGGTTTTACACCGCTTTTAGCAATATTCCAGCAACATCATGCTGGGGAGAGCAGCAATGGGCTTCACACTTTGCACACGTGGGGAATCAAACCCGGGCCTTCAGTGTGACAAGTGTCAACAGTTTAACCACTAGGTTACCCTACAACTCCAGTTTCCATGAAAACAAGAAGACAAAGTCATCAATATCCCCCGCAATGGCAAAATACTCTTCATGATTATGTCTACGAGTTATGATTATGTCAAATATTTAGGTGTGTATATATATAACAAGAGTCATCAGAAGATGACATATCCCCCCGGCCCCCACATCTTTGAAAGAACAAATCATCTGACAGTTACTTAAAGTCCAGCTTGATTTTAGACTAAGTGCAAATCGTTTCCATGGAAATCATGAAAAATAAAAATGACAAAAATCTGCAAATAGCAAAAGGCACCACTTCAAGATCTGACTCACATATCTGCCAAGTTTTGCTGAAAGATATTGAGAAGTTTTCGAGTTGTGCTCCGGAAACGAAACCCACCCCTCCTTTTGGGACTAAGTCCGAATCGTTTCCATGGAAACCGGGAAAAATAAAAATGCCAAAAATCTGCAAATAGCAAAAGGCACCACTTAAGGTTCTGTTTGATATATCTACCAAGTTTTGTTGAAATATATTGAACGGTTCTTGACTTATACTCCGGAAACGAAGCCCACCCTCCCTTTGGGGATTAAGTCCGAATCGTTTCCATGAAAATCGGGAAAAATAAATATGCCAAATAGCAAAAGGCACCACTTTGGCATCTGCCTCACATATCTGCCAAGTTTTGCTGAAAGATATTGAGAAGTTTTCGAGTTGTGCTCCGGAAACGAAGCCCACCCCTCACTTTTGGGACTAAGTCCAAATCGTTTCCATGGAAACCGGGAAAAATAAAAATGCCAAAAATCTGCAAATAGCAAAAGGCACAACTTTAGGATCTGTTTGATATATCTACCAAGTTTTGTTGAAAAATATTATACAGTTTTTGAGTTGTGCTCCGGAAACGAAAGCAATCCTTACTTTTTGAGACTAAGTCCAAAATGTTTCCATGGAAACCAAGAAAAATAAAAATGCCAAAAATTTGCAAATAGCAAAAGGCACCACTTAAGGTTCTGTTTGATATATCTACCAAGTTTTGTTGAAAAATATTGAACGGTTCTTGAGTTATGCCCCGGAAACGAAGCCCACCCCTCACTTTTGGGACTAAGTCCGAATCGTTTCCATGGAAACCGGGAAAAATAAAAATGCCAAAAATCTGCAAATAGCAAAAGGCACCACTTAAGGTTCTGTTTGATATATCTACCAAGTCTATCTGTGTGCCAAGTTTGGTGAAGAAATAGTGAACGGTTTTAGAGTTCTGCTCCGGAAATAGGACTACCACCAATTTCAGTCAGTCGAAATTGTTGCCATGGAAACGCCAAAAATATTTTATTCAGAATTCCAAAACTACCAAAAGGCACCAGTACACCACCAGATCTATCTATGTGCCAAGTTTGGTGAAGAAATAGTGAACGGTTTTAGAGTTCTGCTCCGGAAAAGACAAAAGTGCACGGACGGACGGACGGACGCACGCGACGCACGGACGGAGTCCATTTTAGTACCTCCCGCAAAACGCGTTGAGGGGGATAAAAACATACTTACCAATGAAAAGTTACACTTAATCAATGGCATAGGCATGTGATTCTACATGACATGGAATTTTGTTGAAATATGAAATTCTTTGTTTTTATTTGCTGTAAGATTACAACACTGGTTCATAGCACAATAACCAGTACACATTATTCTTTTCCATTATTTTAAAACATATTGGTCTAACTGTATAGTGGAAAATATGGAATGCCAGTTACCAACCTTGGCCTCATTGGCAGAATATTTGGAATATATAAGTTAGTAAAAATGGGTGAAAAACACTATATTACATGACAAGTAATCATACTCATGCTGCTATCAGCCAGTGTCTGCAGAATCTACAGTCATGGCATAGTATATATGCACATTTAGTTTCCCCATGTATTGATCAGTATATTTTACAATACAGGAAATGTCTTTGAGTGATTACTCCATATTTTGAGTGTATTTGGTCTTGCATTTTTGCCAATTGTGACTTGAAGGTGCTGTGTGCTGCTTCATATTTTGCTTACAGCATAGCAGAACCTCACCCCTGCATAACCAAGAACTAAGTAACACTCATGTACTTTAGATCATAGTACATAGTTCACTCACTCCAAGACATCTAGTACAAAGTGTAATAAATATTGTCCAACAACCAGTTTTTATATATCACCTCTAAAATAATGTTTACATAATTTGATAAATAATTGTTTCATGATGAATATTCATATGGCTGAGGGTTTTCACATTTTTGTTTTGAATATCTGACAGTAGTAACCGAAATAATTGTAAATTATAATGTTACAAGAACTGCTATTTATTCCAGGCATTGGGAAAGACAGGGGCCATTTTGCACATTAGAATAAAAATGCCCCATTAAAATTTTGAAGTTTACTATTGATACAAGGGCAGTGGCCCATTCTAAATTCGGAAAATGGCTAATAATCCTGAAATTGTCGAAGGTCTCCATCCCAATCCCTGTATTCAATATATCATTATCAGTATATTTACAGCATGGCAAAGAAACAATTTGACACATGCAGATCCCTGTCATCTATCCAAAGTAAACTTTATAATGCATTTTCTTTCACATTTGCAAAACAACAAACAATTATTTATATTAGTACCTCAAGTATTTATACACATGCATTTTACATTGCATAAAGCCAATTGTCTCTATTGAATATTTTGTAACTATTCCAAATTAAAAAACTATTTTTTACATATCAATATTGATATTTGTTAGGAACTATTTGATCTCAAATAGTTCCTAACAAATATAAATATATTGAATATGTAAAAAATAGTTTTTAATTTGGAATAGTTACAAAATATTGCTGCAGCATAACAAATGTATTTAGAAAATAAATAACAAATTAAACAAACAAAATATTCTAATTTGAAATTACATACTTTAATTGAAAGGGAAATGACAGAGTCAATGTGGCCAAATATGAATAGAACATCAACTTGATAAAGTTGGTAACACATGGCTGTTTTATGAATAGCAGTATATTAATTAATAGTTTTATTAATTCAATATAAATACAGATTACTCAAATGCATTTTACGTTAACCATGTCATTGATTCCCGAAATATGTTTTGTGACAAACACTGTCCGCGATACTGAAAAGAAACACGTTTAGCGATAGAACTGCACTGGTTGTCAAAAATATATTATAGCTAAAGAAAGGTACTCATATGTTTTCGAATTGACTCATGGTTGTCGGTTGTCAGTAAGGAACCGATAATCCTTGAAGGAATAATAATTTTTCGATCGTATCGTCCCCAAATGATCCAATTATTACGACTGTCACCAGCTGTGACAGCCAAGCAAGGTAGTACACTTGGTCCGGTCTAGTAAGGTCATATTAGGCGGTCGCGCAATTTGGCACCACAACTGGTTCTTGCCTATTCGCTTGTCACAGGAAATCTAGTAGCGGAAGTAGCGCCTCGCGAGACTTACGGGCCCTATTACAGTTATACCATGCAGGCCTGCAGTATATATCACCAATATTACAGTTATACCATGCAGGCTTGCAGTATATATCACCAATATTACAGTTATACCATGCCAACCTGCAGTATATATTGCCAATATTACAGGTAAACCATGTCAACCTCCAGTATATATTACCATTGTTACAGTTATACCATGCTGACCTGCAGTATATATCACCCCCATATTACAGTTATACCATGCAGGCCTGCAGTATATATCACCAATATTACAATTATACCATGCAGGCTTGCAGTATATATCACCAATATTACAGTTATACCATGCCAGCCTGCAGTATATATCACCAATATTACAGTTATACCATGCCAGCCTGCAGTATATATCACCAATATTACAGTTATACCATGCCAGCCTGCAGTATATATATCACCAATATTACAGTTATACCATGCCAGCCTGCAGTATATATATCACCATTATTACAGTTATACCATGCCAGCCTGCAGTATATATCACCAATATTACAGTTATACCATGCCAGCCTGCAGTATATATATCACCATTATTACAGTTATACCATGCCAGCCTGCAGTATATATCACCAATATTACAGTTATACTATGCCAGCCTGCAGTATATATTACCAATGTTACAGTTATACCATACAGGTCTGCAGTATACATTACCACTGTTACACTTATACTATGTTGGCCTGCAGTAAATATTACCATTGTTACAGTTAAACTATGCCATCCTGCAGTATATATTACCAATATTAGTGTTTTACCATGCCTGCCCGCAGTATATACAGTCAAATCCCGATGAGTCGAATGCCGGTGTCTCGAATATTATGCATAACTCGAAGTACCTGTCGGTCCCGACCATTCCCTGTTACAGTTGTCATCATTTGAATACCGGTTACACGAATTCGTCTCATGAATACACACGATGACTCGAAAAGGAAATTTGGTCCCATGAGATTCAAACAACAGCAATCTTGTATACATAAGCCGAAGTCAGTCAATGAGAAGTTGATTGGTTTAGCAAACTGATCCAATTTTAACAAACCAGCGCGGCTCACACCTTTCCGTCATTGACGGGTGAGTTCAAAAGGCAGATTAGTGCTAATCGGGCTGGAACTGATAAGGTGTCCCTATTAGTTATATGGAAATCATTAGATAAACAAATGCTTAGGCGGAGAAATTAGGACTGGATCATCTTTTTTCTACCCTCATAGGCATACTTATGTCTCGAATACATCGATAAGTCGAATTTATTACTTGGTCCCCAGCGATTCGACTCATCAGGATTTGACTGTATCACCAAATTACAATCATACCATGCCGACCTGCAGTATATATTACCATTGTTACAGTTAAACTATGCCAGCCTGTAGTATATATTACCATTGTTACAGTTAAACTATGCCAGCCGTAGTATATATTACCAATGTTACAGTTTTACCATGCAGGTCTGCAGTACACATTACCATTGTTACACTTATACTATGCCGACCTGTATATATCACCAATATTACAGTTATACCATGCCGGCCTGCAGTATATATTACCAATATTACAGTTATATGACTTGTTTGAGAGGCATTTCAGAAGTTGTATAGATGAAGGAAAACCAAGTTCTATGGATAGTCAACTCCTTTATTGCAATGTACGTTTTGATGTAGGTACTAACACCGTTTTCAAGCAAGTGATACAAAGAGTTAATCCAATGTATAACAACCTTGTCAATTGTATATATACACACTATGCATCAATGTATATATTCTCCACGTTACAACTCTTTGTATCACTTGCTTGATAACAGTGTTAGTACCTACACCGAAACGTCGCACTCATTGCAATAAAGAAGTTGACTATCCATAGAACTTGGTTTTCCTTCATTACAGTTATACCATGCCCACCTGAAGTATATATTACCATTGTTACAGTTATACCATGCCCACCTGAAGTATATATTACCATTGTTACAGTTATACCATGCCCACCTGCAGTATATATTACCATTGTTACAGTTATACCATGCCACAGAAACTCAAGACGAGAATTAACAAAGGAAGGATGCATGTGTACCTGGAAAGCCTGCATCAGTTCAGGGTCACTGAGCAGCTGGTTGAGATCAGGCATGCCTGCCATGCCGCCACCACCTGAAACATGAGAGTGTCTGGTGTACAAACTATGTCTCCTTGTCTGGACAACACTTTCTGTTTGGCCAGGATGAGAAAATATGACCTGTAGTAGATAATCTTAGAATTGTACACACAATGAGTGAGTGAGTTTAGTTATACGCCCCTTTTAGTAATATTACAGCAAATCATGAGGGGTACACCAGACTTGGGCTTCATACATTGTACCTGTGGGGAATCGAACCTAGGTCTTCAGAACGACAAGCAAACGCCTTAACCACTAGGTTACCCAACCACCACTGTACATACAAAGAAAATGAACACTTGTTTGTAATGTACAGTCAGTAATAAGAAACATTCATGCCTCCCTGATTATCTGTACAACTCTAAACTATAGTTAGTTTCATGACAGATTCACTACAATAACAAGGCTGGTGGGGTAGCCTAGTGGTTAAAGCGTTCGCTCGTCATGCCGAAGACCCAGGTTCAAAATCCTCACATGGGTACAATATGTGATGCCCATTTCTGGTGTCCTTCCGCCGTGATATTGCTGGAATATTGCTAAAAGTGGCGTAAAACCATACTCACTCACTCATTCACTACATTAACATCTAGAATCTGTTTTACTCATATACAATAATTTCACAGAATCATTTGATGATTCAATCTCATTGATAAACAATAAAAAAATGTTTATTTGCACAGCAACAGACACACAGTGATAGAATAATTTGTCATGCACCAATTTCAGATTCAAACACTGACCATTCAAGAATGTTCTAATCAATGTTTGTTGTTCTGCTTTTTGAACAAATGAAAATTCAGATTCAAACACTGCGTTGTTTTATACCATTCAAGAATGTTCTAATCAATGTTTGTTGTTCTGCTTTTGAACAAATGAAAAGTCAGCGAGCCTCCATTATCAGGTGAAGGTAGAAGTCAGTTTTTGTTTGTACCAAGAGTGAGAGTGAGTGAGTGAGTGAGTGAGTGAGTGAGTGAGCATGGGAGCGATGCCACAGATACCTTTGGCATATTTGTATCACAAATACTTGTTGTTTTGCGCCGCCCTCAGCAATATTCCAGCTATAGGGCGGCGGTCTGTAAATCATCGAGTTCGGACCAGACAATCCAGTGATCAACAGCATGAGCATCGACCTACGTAATTGGGATATGATGACATGTGTCAACCAAGTGAGTCTCACCATCCGATCCAGCTAGTCGCCTCTTACGACAAGCATGAGTTACTGAAGACAATGTGACATCATTATTCAGATTGATACAAAAGTGCATCAAAACAACACAATCTGTGTAAATCATCTCAATATGAAAAATGTTGATAAAATCTGATGCAGTTTGACACTTGCCCTCACATACACAGGTGTTTTCTTAAATGTTATTTGCTTCATGAGGTGAGGTGAAATTGGGTTTAACGTCGAGCTGGAGAATATTTCACTCATATGACGACGTGCATGCGTGTGTATGTGTAGGTGAAGCTGCTTGTACTAGCCCAGACTGAAGCTGGTTTTATAGTGCTAGCCAACTGAGATACCATGCCGCAGTGAAGCATGAATACCCCACTCAGACACATTATACTGACTCTGAGCCGACCAGACCTTGTTGTACCCATTAATGCCGAGAGCCAGGCAGGGACCAACAAGTACCATATTTTAACGTCTTTTGGTATGACGCGGTCAGGGGTCGAACCCTCGACCTTCCGCTCTCCGGGCGGACGCTCTAACCACTACACCAAGGAGGCGGTCATTTGCTTCATGAATTTTCCCTTGTTACGTTCACCTTGAAGTGAACATGGTTTCTAGTTTACAAAATGGTTACCTGGGAAACCACCTGGGAAACCTCCAGGAAATCCCTCTGCACTGGTCCCTCCACTCTGTTGGCTCTGTTCCTGAAAGTCACAAGATTGGATTTCAGACATTTAAGATTAAATGTGGTGTTTGATATTAAAGGGGCCTTAATCAATCATGTCCTATATAAAAGCATATCACATATGTTATATATACTGCAAATCATGGTAAATCATGTCATGTTTAACATTAAAGTGAGTGAGTATGGTTTTACGCTGCTTTTATTCCAGCAATATCACAGCAGGGGACATCAGAAATGAGCTTCATACTCAATATGCCTTTGGAGAATTGAACCTGGGGTTCAGTATTAAAGAAGATGTTTTTAAGTTAACTGCTTCAGATCTGGAATCAAGGGAACTTTCCATGCTATGGTTTTGGATGAGTGAGTGAGTTTAGTTTTGTGCCGCTTTTTGCAATATCACAGCGGGGACACCAGAAATGGGCTTCACATATTGTACTGATGTGGGGAATCGAACCTGGATCTTTGGCGTGATGAGCGAGCAATTTAACCACTAGGCTACCCCACCACCCCCTACTGTTATGGCAAGGACCCCTGGAAAAATCACTCCATATATGATCGCACTTTAAATCACATGATATATTCTCTCAATCATGTATCACATAATATCCTTCACAGATCTCATTTCATATCACAGGATATAGCTTATCAATCATGTTTTATCAATCTTCTCTCACGATTTAAGAAGTTTCCTCTGATTCTGAATCCTCAGTACACATGTTTTCTGTTACACTGAAATGTATCTAGTTACAAAATTATGATCTGGAAATGGTTTCAGTAATGCACCTTTTTCTGCTGTTCGTATTCCTCTCTGGCCTTGCGGATTTTCTCCTTGCGTGCCTTCAGCTCTTTCTCTTCTCTCTTCCTCTGGTATCTACGATTGTGCTCCATGATCTTTTTGGCCTGAAACATCCACACTGTACATTGACATAGGTCAAACAACCACTGTGCATTTACTTAGGTCAAACATTATAACTGTGCATATACTTAGATCAAACATTACCACTGTACATTGACTTAGGTCAAACATGACCACTGTGCATATACTTAGATCAAACATCATTGTGCATTTACTTAGGTCAAACATTATCACTGTGCATATACTTAGATCAAACATGACCACTGTACATTGACTTAGGTCAAACATGACCACTGTGCATTTACTTAGGTCAAACATGACCACTGTACATTGACTTAGGTCAAACATGACCAATGTGCATTTACTTAGATCAAACATTATCACTGTGTATTTACTTAGATCAAACATTATCACTGGCATTTACTTAGATCAAACATGACCACTGTACATTGACTTAGGTCAAACATGACCACTGTACATTGACTTAGGTCAAACATGACCACTGTGCATTGACTTAGGTCAAACATGTCCACTGTGCATTGACTTAGGTCAAACATGACCACTGTGCATTGACTTAGGTCAAACATGTCCACTGTGCATTGACTTAGGTCAAACATGTCCACTGTGCATTGACTTAGGTCAAACATGTCCACTGTGCATTGACTTAGGTCAAACATGTCCACTGTACATTGACTTAGGTCAAACATGACCACTGTGCATATACATGGGTGACCATGATCACTGTGCTACATTGGTAGATCAAAACAGGTTAAACAATGACACTTCATATGAACCAAGATCAAACCCTGACACAAGATAAACATTGATAGAGTATATCAACCCAGACCAAACTCCACTGTACATCAATACAAGTCAAACATTGACATCTTCCATCAATTGTCTTCCCAATCTGTGAACCAGGTATAAAGGTGTTTGTTTTGGCAATCATATTTGGCACTATAGGATATAATATGGTACTATGAGTTGTTTTTTCCATCTAAAACTGACTACAAAAGACTGTTATCCACACTGAGTAAAATGGAAGTGGTGCTGAACCCACAAGATTTCATTGGGTGTTTCATGGGAAAGGGGTACCTAACACTAATGTCCATAAAGGGGCAAACTGCAATGTCATATTTTCCTAAATGTAAATGAACAGCTAGCATCTTTCAGACATATTCTGATGTAACTATCTCAGTTCTGAATGGAGTCAAACAGATTTATTTTACTAGAAAAGTATCAGAAATAGTTATAGTTGGGATAAAACCTGACGAGGGACGAATAAAACCTGTATACCCCGAATCATAATGCTACAATGAATTTATCTTACCGAATGTTTAAACCTCTCATTATGTAAATATAACATTAAAACAAACTGAAATTCTATCATATATTTTACTAACATGGTACTGACTAGTCGATCCGAACCACTGGTTCACAGTTCACTGACTGCCGTGGATGAATGCTTTTTCCATGGGGCGGGGTATAAATGATTTATTCTCCCTCGCAAAGAGTAATACCCCACTAGGGTGGTGTACAGCCATGCACCGGCCATACATGGTAATTTGTTCAAGATCATGTGAACCAATCAGAGATGTACATTCTTATATGAGGTATGATAATCAAGTTCTTAGAAAGTCAAGCAAGACTCAACATACCTTCCTGTCAATCTGATTTGACAAATAACAACCACTAGTTGTCCTCCAAATATTTTTTTATAATTTTGTGCACCTCTATCCCTCGTAACAAGGAGAAAAGTGACATTAGTCTATTTTACTTTATAACGTGATTTAAATTGAGTATCAGAAATAAATAATTATACTAGGTATAGGTGATATAATCCTTATGTAATCCTATTATTTGTCTTGTCTGTCCTTAACATCCTCCTTTTAAGGAAATCCTGCCATAATAAATGGCTAGTAAGATACACTTTGTGAACTTTAGCATTAACAAGGAAACAGCTCTATTTATTCCATATGCTATTATGTGATATAATGTGATATTATCTAATATAACATCTCAACAAATCCTATGTACATGTATTTGCAATCCCACCAATATCCCATTACTGTTCCATCCCTACTATATCTTGTAATGAACCATACCATCACCCCTACACAATTAGTAGACCGGCCCAGTTGGCTGACAGCTCTTCTTTGTTGTAAGGGGCATCAGATGAATTCAAGATGGCTGCCTCCACTTGCCACATTGTGAACCGGTGTCTCTTGCTTTTGGTGGTTAGAGCAAGTTTGGAGGGAATACTTGCAGTAGATAAAGGTAGTAGCATCCTCCTGTTTTCATCCAGGCATCTTGTGTGTTTTATGTTACAACTGTCATGATCATTCTGATTGAAATATTTTCAGGTGGTTTTCTTGCTATGCATGATTTGCAGACATAGAGACTTAGCTGTACTGCAGTATCTACAGGGTACAAGGTGTTAGTTTCTCTTTCTTAAAATCCATTCCTTCAATATGACTTCCAGATTATCGTGAGGAAAATTATATAGTGTTTATTTTTTTTTTTTAAATAATAAGAAAAAAGATGCTTTAAATATTAACTTAATATTTAATGAACCAGAGTAAGATTATGGTATGTAGAAATCTAGATCTTAACTGGGCTTATCAAATTGATATATGAGAAATTTTATTTACAATATTGTAAGGAACAAGTGTTCTGTGATCTCAGTATTCATACAGATATGCTAAGATTCATTTGTGTTATCTTCCAAGAGTTTGGCCTATTTCTCTGAATTTACAAAGTGAAAATAAAAGTAGAAATCTTGAGGAATTGAAATATACTATTTAATCTCAGTTTTAAAAGATAGTTCGATGATGACATCATTTTCTAATGATTACATTCTTCCTTTCAAAAAGAAAGTAGAAATCCTGGGCAATGAATAATTCAGACATTTTGATGTAACTATCTCAGTTCTGAACAAGGGTAATGCAAGTCTATCTCAAACCAATAAAAATGTAGAATTTGTATGTTAAAAGAAAGCGGAATCCTAAATATGACAGTAACCAAATCTGAAGCATGACAAAATAAATCTAAACATACTTTTGATAATAGATCGATAATTGAATTTCACATTCTATGCCCATACTCTTTAAATTTTCTTTCAACAGTCAGTGCGTCATGATCATTCTCCATGTGGGCCAGCTGTTCATTGATTTTTCACTTTATTGCTGTATTCATCAATGATATTCATATTTCAAAATAAATGTATTTTTCTTCAACAGAAATGCTACAACAGTTTTATTATTGCTTGCTTCATCGTGGAAATAATTATTCCAACATGCCTCCATTAATTACCTATCCACCACCCCACTTTCCTCAAGCCTTTTATGGCTGGGAAAATTTGGCTTTGTTGTTTGTTAGACATTCCTATACACTGAGCACCTCCCTCCTTACCCTATTAACATGAATGTAAAACACCAGTATCAAATGAACAGATCAATCCATTTGTTGAAATGGGGGTGAAAGTGATTGATTCCACCTATTGTTGTTGGCAGAGTATCAAACATGTGTTACTGGTGTAACAGCCTATATTGCCGAAATGAAAATATTCTTATTCAACTGATGTGTCAAACAATCAAATTTCTGAAAATACAAATGAAATACAGTATTATAAAAAATATGACATACCCTAGATTAGACATGTTATACAGATTCGTAATGAATGGTTATGTTTATCTCCTGAGAGCCAATGAAAATCCAAGTGAACAGCACTGAATACCATGTGTAACATGTGTTATTGCCAGTATCACTATGGCTAAATACATCAGTGCTGATCAATGACTATTTCCTCAGGAACATAAACAAGTGTACACTTACAACTCTACGTGAGATGTGTTTACAAAACCATGGAACGGTCAACATGTCCTTGGGTTTTTTCAAACTGATAATTAAACAATCAAGCCTTCTAACCATTCTTACCTACTCTGATAACTTAAATATTTTTTTCAAAATAAGCTACACTACTACACATGATGTATTGTTTACTGGGTAAAAAACAGACACTACACCTGAGAAAGTTGAATCAATAAAAATGACTCATGACTACTAACATTCTCTCTGGTTACATAAATCACTCATCCAAAATGAGCTGTGGACTAGCAAATGAATCATGATACTGTCAGACATTTCCAAGGTATTCACATGTTGGAAATGCCATGAATGAATATCCAGCCTTAAGGTCTTAAATTTGTATATCTGTTTGAAAAAGGCTTATGATATAATAAAAGGTGTTGCTTGGGGAATTATGTTTCTTTAACTTTCAAATAAGGTTAGAATGCCTAAAGATTCTCTTTGCAAGCATCAATGCAAGAAATTTCTTTCTTTGAGAATTGTTCTAGGAATATTCAGTGCTAATTCATCAAGACCACAGATTTAATATATTTATTATTACTGGGATTATGATGATCAAATCAGTGCCAGTTAATCTGAACATTGAAAACATATTTACCAGCTTGGTACATCTATTAAATGCTTGGTACATCTCTCTTCTCCTCTACTAAATGACCTCTCACAGGATTCCCTGCATTCCTTATTATTAGATGGTGTAAAGCCAGGTACAGGTAACTTTGCACCTGTAAAAACTCCTGCTGCAGGTGTACAGGGCTAATACTGACACCCCTCATTTCCTGCTTGCAAAGCTATCAGAGAGTCTGCCTGCTGGTGCTACAGTAGTATGCGGTCTATGTATATCTATACTGTTCCACTTTTGGTAGGGGGCACAATGTGTTAAGCCCATTTCTGGTGTCCCCCGCCGTGATGTTGCTGGAATATTGCTAAAAGCGGCGTAAAACTAAACTCAGTCAGTCAGTCAGTCCACTTTTGGTAGGGATATGTTATCTTCCCATGATACACAAAACCTCTTAATATGTCAAGAGTATTTTCAAATATATCTAAAATATCTGATAGTGGAGATTCCAAAACAGAACTGGTCACCAGTAATCTATGGTTATCCTTATGACATACTTCCCTGCTGGGTTGATAGTGTGTTATTGTATTCAGGTGAGGTGAGGTGAAATTGGGTTTTACGTCGTGCTTGAGAATATTTCGCTCATATGACGACGTGCATGCGTGTATATGTGTATGTGCGGCTGCTTGTACTAGCCCAGACTGAAGCTGGTTTTATAGTGCTAGCCCACTGAGATACCATGCCGCAGTGAACAGTAGAGGACGTTATGTGTACGCGAGACGGTCCCCCGTTACGCGTACAAGTGACTACCTGAGAGGGGGTCACTCATTCGCGTGACTGCCTGATCACAGACAGGGAAGTTCTGCATGTCACACAAAAACGCGTCTAAAATTGTTATTTATGAAAATAATGGAACAAAATTTGCTACAGTCATTAATAGGTGTTCAAGTTATTGATTGACAACGTGTAAAGAAAACATTAGATAGTCAAATTTTATTTTCTGAAAGCTCATTCAATGGAGATTTGCCTCGTGTAAGTACTTTTCCATGTAACGAACGCACATAGGTGTGCCATCGTGTTGAAACATGTCTACTTTCCTCCCACTGCTCGCCACAGACAAACAAACCTTCCTCACAGATCCGTTACGCGTACGAGAGACGCCTCTCAGAATCACGGGCAAAAGTAGTCAGTTTTTTACGACAATTCTTATCTATGTGCCAATTTCACAGAATTATGATTTTAACATTTTCTGAAAGCTCATTCAATGGAGATTTACCCTATGTAAATACTTTTCCATGTACACGAACGCACATAGGTGTGCCATCGCGTTGAAACATGTCTAAGTTCCTTGTAAATTCGGCTGCTCCTCAGGAAATATGGAATTTACAAGGGTCTTACAGTCCCGCACACTCTTTAAAAAAAACTGTGTGACTAATAATATTATCATTGTACACAATCTGAGTCAGGCTACACTGTTATCTTGTAGGACAGCTGAGTCACACCAGCCAACAGCTATCCATGTATTACCTACTGTAAAAGGCATAATAACATCTATTTCAGAAAAGACAGTAGATAGTGTGCCCAAGGAAAGACCACCTGTTGCGTCTGTGGACGAGAGCCATTTCAAAGAAGAACAAACTGGAAGTAGGAAAGACCCTAACAAGAGCCATGATCACATTGACAAAATCCTGCAGCTGGACAGACCAATCACATCCACAACAGTGCAAGGTCAATCACTGCTCACAAGGCCATTCTTCAAGGCTTTTTTCAAGTCCTTTTAAACTTTAAATAAATAGCTTCATGTTGTCCTAGAGATTCCCATAAACAGTAGCAAAAAGGTTTAAAAAGAATGAGTTCACTTTTAATATGTTTCACTGGGGTTTTATAGTATTCAAGTCATATCGCAATGTGACATCCTACTACCAGTGACTATGGGAGTAAAACCCAAAGGTATGCAGGTCTTTGGTATTTATCACTTTGGTAGTGTTGTTCCAAATTTGTACTGAATGCTTAGCCTATAGATGTATAGTAAATCTATACATTAAATAGGCACGTATAGACAAGTGGACAGTGCATGGAATCTAAGGACGCTAGTCTGTTAGACGGACAATGGATTGTTTTATTTATATTTCTTTGAAATTACCACTCTAAAACTACTGATTATTACCTTAGAGACATCAGCAAGTCTACTACTTTAGTGAGTGAGTGAGTGATTTTACATAGCATCAGCAACATTGCAGCCATATAGCGATGAGAACAATTTGAATAATATTAAAGGTCTGTCTACAAAGGACAGTAAAATAGTATGTTTAGTATCAGTCTACCACTTTAGTGAAATGTGGGTAAGAGCATGGGTATTGTGGTCACAGACCTAGAAACATAATGAGGGTGAACTTGGGATTCAAACCCAGAATCATAAGTTTTTTGGCTTGTCAAAGGTATGCAACTCTACACACCAAATTTTGGCACCTCATTATGGGCTGCCCATGCCAAGTTTTTAAAGGATACAAATCAGTATACATTTCACTGTATCATATACAGAGGCCATATAGTCTAATCTACGTAATCTCATCGGCATCGATCAACAAATATCGTCTTACTACATTGAATTCTAATCAATGACTAACGGGATCGGGTGGTCAGCCTCGCTGACTTGGTTGACACATGTCATTGGTTCCCATTTGAGTAGATCGAAGCTCACACTGTTGATCACTGGATTGTCTGGTCCAGACTTGATTATTTACAGACCACCGCCATATAGTTGGAATATCGCTGAGTGCAGTGTAAAACTAAACTCACTCACTTTAATCAATGAGGGACACTTGTCTGAACACACTTGTAGTTTGCAGTTGTTCACATGCATGTGTCAGTTGGCGGTAGTACTGATCCTAGTCTGTTCACGGATTCTGTTCACTGTTCACATACACTGATCACACTAAAACACTGAATTAGCAAACAGGATATGGTCAACTATCACATATGATAACTCTATTTAGTGAACTGTCACACTTGGTGACCTCAGTGAATTACTTTTCCAGACTTCAAGATAAAAGACACCCTACAAACACTGCTGAAAATCTACAATGATGATGTCAAACCTTTGGAAGATGCCTATCGATTCTCTGACCTCAACAGGGATGCAATCTCAGGTTATTCTAATACTGCCTTTGTTTATTCATTTCCCAGGTTTGGTATAATCTACCAGAATTATTCTTTGAGCTAAATATTATTATGATTAGAACAATGAATGAATATTGTTTTACACTGCATCAGCAAGTATGATTAGAACAAAGCCACATTAATATGTTTTATCTTCTCATATTACCATTACCATGTATTAACATTGTTCTAATATGCCATGCATTAACATTGTTCGGAAACAACATATTGAAGTATTGTAAGTCATGGCAGTTTTTAATCTCTGATCAGGTATAATCTTTCAATATCAAATGCAATTTATTATTTGAGCTATATAACTGAATGACTCTTTACTCATATTCCTTCATCTCAATTCAGAGGGTGAGATATTTGCCAAGCCAATGGTGTTGTTCCTGGGTCCATGGAGTGTTGGCAAGTCCACCATGATTAACTATCTTCTGACTATGGAGGACTCTCACCAGAGACTGCATACAGGTAAAAATGAAATTCTCAGGTAGTGGCTGAAATTCCCAAAGGAAGGTGGCTATATATCCCAAGGAAGCGGTAAATCATAAATCCCCAGTGGTGGGACCAGGAAGGATCCTCCAGTGGTGGGACCAGATATCCCAAGGAATGGTAAATACAAGCTGTAATCCTCCAGTGGTGGGACCAGCTATATATCCCAAAAGTGGTAAATACAAGCTGTAATCCTCCAGTGGTGGGACCAGCTATATATCCCAAGGAATCCTCCAGTGGTGAGAAATACAAGGAAGCGGTAAATACAAGTAATCCTCCAGTGGTGGGACCAGCTCCCAAAATATATCCCAAGGAAGGAAGTGGTAAATACAAGCTGTAATCCAGTGGTGGGACCCAGGAAATACAAGCTGTAATCCTCCTAGGAAAGCTGTAATCCTCCAGTGGTGGGACCAGCTATATATCCCAAGGAAGTGGTAAATACAAGCTGTAATCCTCCAGTGGTGGGACCAGGCTATATATCCCCCAAGGTAATCCAGTGGTGGACCAGGCTAAATATCAAGCTGTAATAAATACAAGCTGTAATCCTCCAGTCGTGGGACCAGCTATATCCCAAGGAAGTGGGTAAATACAAGCTGTAATCCTCCAGTGGTGGGACCAGCTATATATCCCAAGGAAGTGGTAAATACAAGCTGTAATCCTCAAGCAGTGGTGGGACCAGTGGTAAATACAATAATCCCAAGGGACCAGTATCCCAAGGAAGTACAAGCTGTAATCCTCCAGTGGTGGGACCAGGCTAAATATCCCAAAGGTAGTGGTAAATACAAGCTATAATCCCCAGTGGTGGGACCAGGCTAAATATCCCAAGGAAGTGGTAAATACAAGCTGTAATCCTCCAGTGGTGGGACCAGCTATATATCCCAAGGAAGTGGTAAATACAAGCTGTAATCCTCCAGTGGTGGGACCAGGCTAAATATCCCAAGGAAGTGGTAAATACAAGCTGTAATCCTCCAGTGGTGGGACCAGGCTAAATATCCCAAGGTAACAGGAAATACAAGCTGTAATCCTCTAGTGGTGGGACCAGCTGTATATCCCAAGGAAGTGGTAAATACAAGCTGTAATCCTCCAGTGGTGGGGCCAGCTATATATCCCAAGGTAACAGGAAATACAAGCTGTAATCCTCAAATCGGACCAGCTATATATCCCAAGGAAATGGTAAATACAAGCTGTATCCTCATGTGGTGTATATTCCAAGGTAACAGGAAATACAAGTTGTAATTATTAGCTTAATTATACAGTTATTATCTCATGGAATCTCACCAGTTTTAATATCTGGAAGTGTGACAGAGTGACTTTTATGTTATTATATCCCATCAGGAGCTGAGCCTACAACCAGTGACTTCACCGTTCTACTACATGGACCCCACTACCGCACCATCAAGGGCATGGAGCTTGTCACAGATAAGACCAACCACTTCTCCCCTCTTCAGAAGTTCGGCCTTGTAAGTTCAATTTCAGGCCCAAATGTTTGTCTGGTACCTTAATAAGATTAGTTCATGCAATAAGGTAAAGAATATTATGAAAAATCAAATGAGTATATTATTGACAAATCTTTTCAGAATCTCAGAAACCACAAGTATCAGAGAGCTGACATACCTCTGAAAATATATAAACAATACATCAACACAATGTATAGCACATAGGAATAGACCTCCAATTATATCACAGATTGTCACCTTAGTCTTTGAGGAAAGACCAAAGTGATGCAGGTACCACTTTCAGGAAACCACGAGCAAGGGCAGTTCTGACATATAAAGATGTATAATTTTGGCAGTATTAAAAGTCAATTAAAAGATGCTGGACTACAAAATATTCCATCTCTATCCAGGGCTTCACAGAACGCTTGCAGGGTAAGCAGTTTCCGTCAAGGCTCCTGGAGAAAGTCTCCATTGTCGATACCCCAGGCATCATCGAGAACAAGAAACAGCAACAACGTGGATACCCATTCAATGAAGTGTGTCAATGGTTCATCGACAGAGCTGACATCATATTCCTGGTTTTCGATCCAACCAAACTCGATGTTGGATCAGAGTTGTCCATTCTCTTCAAACAGGTCAAAGGTCATGAGGCGAAAATTCGTCTTATCCTCAACAAAGCTGACACTGTGTCTGCCCAGGAGTTGATGAGGGTATATGGAGCCCTGTTTTGGAGCTTGGCTCCTTTGGTCAATGTGGTGGAGCCACCAAGAGTATATGTCGGAACATTCTGGACCAGTGTAAATACAGATCACAGCATGGCAAAACTCTTTTATGAAGAAGAGCTTGCACTTCTGCATGACTTAAACCAAGTGATGCAGAATCAAATAGAAAACAAAGTGTCGTTCATCCGACGACATGCGTTTTATGTTCGACTGCATTCACTTATTATTGACAGGTATATCAGTGTGTTTAATGAAAACAACTGGTGGAAGTTTAGCAAAAATGAGGAGCTATTCAAGAAGATTGTCACAGATCCAGACAACTATAATTTATTCAAAAGTATTTTGTCCAACAAAGACATCAGTCGACATGACTTACCGTCAGCCACTGAATATATGGAATTCTTTTCGATAAATTCTCTTGATTTGTTTAAACCTTTAAGTTACTATTGTCCGTGGACACCCATGTCCTCCTGTGATATGGTCAAACTGGAGGAAGCTATTAGTGCCAAGCTGCCACAACTTCTGGCTTCTCTCAAAACAGAAACGTGTACTAGGGACACTTGCAAGAAGAAGCCGTAACATGGCGCCAACATGTCGTAATTCCTTACCCTTTCTGTGATAGGTAACCATGGTAACCATGGTAGCCATGGTATTGTCCCCGTGCACTTTTTCAAGTTTAATTATTATGGATCAGACTTTTTAAATTTGAAAAGAAAAGAAGAACAAATCATAAAGCTGCTTTGATTGTAATTTTTTCTTGTTTTGAAGGAATATTTTAATACATGATACAATTATTCCACACTAGTTTCTCAATGTTTGTATGCTAAAACAAATTAGCTTGCTGATTGGAATATGACTGCAAGATTAAATTTTATTCTGTAAAATTTATTCTGATGTATCAACACTTTTACTATGTTAATAAATTATTAGAATGAAAAAGAAAGTTGTACACATAGTTGAAAGGGATCAAAATTCAGTTTAACAGACTTGTCATTGGTGGCAACTGTTTGCATAAGTTTGTGTACTGACTAAATCCTCACTGAAATCTACATCCTGTTTGAACAAGGCCTAAAGGGCCATTGATTTGTGGGGCAGACAGTTTGGTTCAAGATCTGGTTCTTATTCCCTACTGAATGTATTGTTTGGCTGTTGTTTCCCTTATTTGTGTATGGCTGATAATTGCAACTCTCAGAGTCCCACCATCCTCTGCGTTGGAAACGCGTGCATGAGAATTGTATGTTGACAGTAAATTACACTGGTCTAAAATGTATCATGAAATTAATGTGTCACATGATGAATATGTTAAACCCTGGTCTAAAATGTATCATAAAATTAATGTCGTGATGAATGTGTTAAACCCTGGTATATCAAGAAATTAATATGTCACATGATGAATGTGTTAAACCCTGGTATATCAAGAAATTAATGTGTCACATGATGAATGTGTTAAACCCTGGTCTAAAATGTATCATGAAATTAATGTGTCATGATGAATGTGTTAAACCCTGGTATATCAAGAAATTAATGTGTCATGATGAATATGTCAAACCGTGGTCTAAAATGTATCATAAAAAAAAATGTGTCATGATGAATGTGTTAAACCCTGGTATATCAAGAAATTAATGTGTGATTGGTGATGTAAATAAATAAATAGATTGTGACTCAGTGTTGTAGGTATGATTTTTCTATTTTTGAAGGTTGTCTGTTTAATATTTGTGATGTGTCAGTGGTATGTGAGTAAAAGTATTTTACTATGTATAACAAATCTTTTGTTCTGTTTTTATATTCATTCCTATATTGGTTTGAAACGCTTTGTTTTGTAACTTTTACTGTAGGGACCTTCCAAATCTCTAATGACAGCATAATAAAGGTAACCACAATGTCGGCACATTATTGTCGGCACACCAAATTATCAATGTATCTGGCAAGCTTGCTTAAAGTGATAATGTGTTCAGGATATGAAGTTTTTCACTTTACAACAAAATTACATCTACACTGAGATAAATAGTATGATTAAATCCTATGTATATATTTAGAAACACTGCAACATAGTCATGGATAATTCTACATTTTGGAGTTAAACATGTTTAAGAAATATATATACTTGCCCGCTCTCTATATAATTGGCATGAGGGACTAGACCGAAAGTCTACAATCATCTATCTAAGACATTCATAGCTTTTTGTCCTAACATAGGGACAATTATTTGCTGAGCTGGGATTGGACTTCATGAATGATTCATGCCACCTCGTTAAACTTGCTTAACATGCTGAATATTAAGGAAATACCTTGACTGGCTGATCAACAAACCAACAGAGTAATGGCAGGATCAAAGATTGATTTCAGGAAGACATTTTCATTGATTTTTGTTGCAACAGATGGTAGATAGTTGACCTTACTTATCACAGTACAAGATTCAAACTTCAGGTAACTAGCTGCACAGATTGAAACATACAAAATTGATCAAACTTTCTGTTCTGTGGAAAAAGAAAAGCCACAATCTGTCACTAATGGGATCCTTATCTCTTATACTTCCTCTAAAAAGACTGACTGACTGACTGAGTTTGGTTTTACGCCGCTTTTAGCAATATTCCAGCAACATCACGGCGGGGGACACCAGAAATGGGCTGCACACATTGTGCCCATGTGGGGATTCGAACCCGGGTCTTCGGCGTGACAAGCCAACGCTTTAACCATTAGGCTAACCCACGCCCCCTCTAAAAAGAAAGCTGAAGCTGTCATACCTGGAGAGTTAATTAACAGGGTTTCAGAGAGGATAAATTCTTTGATACTGACTGTCATCCAAAATTTACTTGCGATAATTTTCAATTTTCATAATTACAAAGAGAAACGTGCAATCAAAATCTGATAAAATTATAAAAATGGGGTCATGAAATCTCTCTTACAAATCAGTGTACAAGAGCCAAACTTTCCTTTCAGATTCTTTGGCAATTTGATATTGCCCATTTTAGAGCTATCAATGTACATGTTGTATGTTGAAGTTGTGTATTACCATTATTATGCTGAGAATAAGACCTGATCTACGCGTGTGTATAGATGTTGGGTGTTTCAGTGAAGGACAACATGGCTGTGTTCTGAGTAACTGATTCTGTTGTCTGTGTAGTGAATGTGACAATAAAAGTGGTTTACAAAAGCTACATTTGGTTATGTGTTCCATTGTCAGTAGAGAAATTAGACCCAACCCATCAATACCAAATCTGGTTCATTACACTGCGATACTGTTGCACATCTGGATTATAAGCTGGCGATGCTATAGACATAATCAAGGCATTTGTCGCGTACATAGTCTGCAATACTTTCATACGAAAACATGACACTGTCATGTTAAGTGAGTGAGTGAGTGAGTTTAGTTTTACGTTGCTTTTAGCAATATTCCAGCAATGCTGGCAGGGGAAACCAGAAATGGGTTTCACACATAGTACCCATGTGGGGAATCGAACCCGGGTCCTCGGCGTGACAAGCTAACGCTTAAACCCCACTAGGCTACCCCACTGCTCCAGTCATGTTAAGAACAGTGTTATTTCATCATACACTGACTGACTGACTGAGTTTAGTTTTACGCCGCTTTTAGCAATTTTCCAGCAATTTCACGGCGGGGGACACCAGAAATAGGCTTCACACATTGTGCCCGTGTGGGGAATCAAACCCGGGTCTTCGGCGTGACGAGCCAATGCTTGAACCACTAGGCTACCCCACCGCCCCTCATCATACACAGTGAACTTGACCCAACTTGGGCCATAAGGTTGCGATCCAATACATGAAAACACAAGAAATCGTGAAGAAATGTATGCCTACAAAAAACAAAGTCTAACTAGACCAAATCAAGCAATACCATTTAAATCTGAATTATGAGGTTGCAATCTATCACATGAAAACATTTTGAAACCTTATTTCTTCAAGAAACTGACAATACCTTGACGACTTGTACACATTGTAAACTCTTTGCAGCAAAGCCATAACATTAGTCACAACCATATTTCCATGAACTGGGCATTTTTTGCAGACAGGGGGCCGAATATTTTCCCCTTACCAGGTCCATGATGAACTTACAGGAGTACCGGTACAGTGTAAAAAGAAGTGCACTTACATTGGGAGTCACATCATGGAGCAGAGCGTTGGCATCGTCGTCGTAGTCCAGCTTGCACGCGAGTGTGAGGTCGTGGTAGGCGTTCTCCCACTGACCCAGCATCCTGGATGAAGAAGTTAAAGGATGAGTTTCACGAACAAGCTTAGCCTCAAATTCGAATTCAGTGACCGTCATCAAGAGAGATTTACCAGAAGGGGTATTCTGTATCTCAACCATCAAATTTGAAAATGTATGAAATAAGTACATGGTGTATTCACTGGTACCCAAAAAAACTTACACGTGAGTGAGTGAGTGAGTGAGAGAGAGCGAGAGAGAGAGAGAGAGAGAGGAGGATGTGGTTTCATGTCGCTTTTAGCAATATTCCAGCAATATCACGGCTGGGGACACCAAAAATGGGCTTCGTATATTGTATCCATGTGGGGAATCAAACCTGGGTCTTCGGCTTGACAGGTGAGCACTTTACCCACTACGCTACCCCACTGGCATAAACTTGCATGTTTGTCTATAAATGAATGCTGGTAGTTCATTTATAAAGTACTTCAAATTCATATCTGTATGCAATAATTCCAAACATAACGTTCAGAGCCAGGATCTGCTAGCACTTGCACTTGTGAATGATGGTCTTTGAATATGTGCAATCTGAGGTCACCTGTGGTAGAGGACTACATGTATTGTATATTCAAATTTTAACATTTCTCTGAGACTACAATTTCGTAACCTAGGACCCCTATAATTGAAGACTTTGAGTCCCTTAAAACCAAAATAAGTAACCAAGGTTAAACCCTGTATACAGACAAAAGAATTGTATTTCAGTACACCCAGATACAGGTAACTGTATTTGAATTATTTAGGGATAGCATTGATCCTATTTACTTTAGGCAAAAGTGGCACCATTTGTCTTTTCCTGTTAACAGCTTGGTCATACTCAACATGGTCAGTTATTACCATTTTGTCAATCTGGGAGATAACGTGAGCTGTCATTTGGTTAATCAATTTTAAGTCATTTGTGAATGAACTTCTGAACAGATTTTAGCGTATGATACAGGTACTAATTACACTTGCCATATTGTTTTACCCAAGATATTGGAACACACATAAATTTTACAATAAGTATTATTTGAAAAAGCATATTGCAGTATATATTGTCTATATAAATGGCCATTTCTCACATCCTACAGGGAAGTCAATCATAGAGTGTTACCAGGAAACTGAAAGCCAGATTTTCAAAACTCTTATTTTCAAATTGAAATCCTCTTCGCTGACAAATTTCCTGGCTAACTCATCACTGATGATGATGATTTGGAGATTAAACATACCTTTTCCAACATAATTACATATTTTGCACACGGTAAAAGCTCATCACTGAATATGAAGTGATATATATTTGTATATATACAGAAGTCAGAGGGTGTGGCTACCAGATTAACCAATCACTGGCTGGACTGACAACTCTCAGAGCACAGTCCTCACCTGTAGGCCTTCCCTCTCCACTTGTAGCCCGGAGCAGAGTCAGGATTCAGCTCTATAGCTTTCGTACTGTCGTGAATCGCTTTGTTTGGTTTGTTGAGCTGAAGAAATACCCTGAAAGAATAATGTGAGAAGAAAATTTCATACACAAGTTAAGAATGATAGTAAAATAATAGCATATTTGTACTGGTCATATATCCATGCCTAAGGATGCTCAAAGCGCACAAGCAATCTGATCGTTATTACCCCTTACAACCCAAGCTGCCTGTGAGGCTCTACAAGGTTCATAGCCACATGAGTTATCTCTTTTGTAACTTACATGTGTCATGAGTGAGTGAGTGGGTATGGTTTTACGCCGCTTTTAGCAATATTCCAGCAATATCACGGCGGGGGACACCAGAAATGGGCTTCACACATTGTACCCATGTGGGGAATCGAACCCGGGTCTTCAGCGTCACGAGCGAACGCTTTTACCACTAGGCTACCCCACCGCCCAAATGTGTCATGGATTGTTCTCACCAGTAAGATTTAGCTATTATTATAGGATATTTATATAGCGCACATATCCACGCACTGGTGCATGCTCAAGACGCTGGTATTTTTTCCCTCGATCATTGGATGTCAATATCAACTGCACATTGTATTAGCAATCTCATCTCCCTGGGGAGTATACAACTCTTGCTGCCACTAGGCGCACAGAGTTATTGTGGCTTTCTCATCCTCATGAGGTACCCATTCACAGCTGGGTGGACTGGGACACATAGTCACAGTACTTTGTCCAAGTTCACTGCACGTTGCTGTACCCGCAACTAGGTGTTTGCACGTATTCATGTGGCCACCATCTGGTCATATACCAATGGATTCGTGGGTTCTTTTAAGTGCACAGGGTTGTGTACTGTACACTAGGGGTTGTGACAACACAGAAAGAGTCTGCACACAAAGTTGACTCCAAGGTTTTTACACCCGGTCACAGGTGGGCTCGATCCCGGCACCTCAACCTCGCTGGATAAGTAGCCTGGCGCCTTTGCCAGCTCGCCCACCGCGCCCCTATCCATTTCAAGTTATTACAGTTTATGACCCTCCCAGTGATGCCTATATTAGCCACAGTGTGACGGACAGTTGTTCACCCTACTGTTATCTACTATTGAATATCACATTGATATACCAGACAATACTTACTTAGCCCTCTTGGCATACATGGCAGCAGACAAGGGGTTGTTCTTGATGCCTTCTGTGTACAGCTTCACTGCCTCATCTAGTCGACCTACAATAACAGTGAGTGAGTTTAATATATAGCAATATCACGGCTGGGGTCACCATAAATGGGCTTCACACATTGTACCCATGTTGGGAATAGAACATGGGTCTTTGGCGTGACGAGCGAACACTTTAGCCACTAGGCTACCCCACCTCCCCCTTAAATAACAGCATTATGACATCTCATGTATGGATTGTTTCATATTTTGGTATCCAGAGTTTGGCTGGCAGGTGAAAAAAATGATTCTTCATGCTGAACTATCTGAGTTTATTACCAACGAGGGCGAAAATATCGGGGTTAATATGTTTCATACGATGCCCTAGGGCAAAATATCACTTTGTCATGGTGATGTGACGTCATGAACAATGCTATGACATCACATTTCTTCTGTGACGTTGCATTAGACATGCAGTGATGGCGGGTAGCAAACCTATGTTTGAAAGTAGGTTATGGTTTATTGGGTGCCTAAAATATCAGTATATCCCTCGCTCTCACTCGGGAAATACCAACATTAGGCACTCGTGTTGTAAAATTAGTATGACATGGGCACTCATATAATATCCTCTATATCTTGTCATGCAGTGTTATTAATATTGTCTACACCTGTGTTCTGCTCATTACTTTTTGTCTCATGATACCCTATTGTCTTGAAGGTAAACCCATTGTCTTGAAGGTAAACCTATTGTCTTGACGGTAAACCTATTGTCTTCTCATTACCTATTGCCTTGAAGGTAAACCTATTGCCATCTCATTACCTATTGTCTTGAAGGTAAACCTATTGTCTTCTCATTACCTATTGTCTTGAAGGTAAACCTATTGTCGTCTCATTACCTATTGCCTTGAAGGTAAACCTATTGCCATCTCATTACCTATTGTCTTGAAGGTAAACCTATTGCCTTCTCAATACCTATTGTCTTGAAGGTAAACCTATTGCCATCTCAATACCTATTGTCTTGAAGGTAAACCCATTGTCTTGAAGGTAAACCTATTGTCTTGAAGGTAAACCTATTGCCATCTCATTACCTATTGTCTTGAAGGTAAACCTATTGCCTTCTCATTACCTATTGTCTTGAAGGTAAACCTATTGCCTTCTCAATACCTATTGCCTTCTCATTACCTATTGTCTTGTTTACCCATTGTTTTGTAGTAAACCCCACTGTCTTCTAGTTAAAGCTTCATCTCGTCATTACCAATCAGGGGTCAATTCAAGCATTTTTAACATACACTGGTTAAACCTGATATTTACATACAATTGCAACCAGTGCATGTTAATATTTTACTGTTCATAGTACACAGATTTCAACTGGCAAATAGAATGAGGAACTGGCTTGGACCAGTGACTCTGATGACTACAGTCTGTTTGGGTTCAAATGAGAACGATGAATGATTAAATATCTCGAAATACGGATAAGTGCACAAAATATAAATAAGACACATGGTCCTGAAAACCAACAGGATATGAAAAAGCGATCGAAATAAGAAACCATCATGTAATATTGTGCTATTTTCACATTTCACTAGGTTTGAACCCAAACGGATTATACAGACAGTGACTGAATTACTGTTTCTGTTCATGTCATAAAATTTTCTGAAGTAAAATATCAGACCCAGAATAAGTTTGCTTGTTCTAAAATATCAACATCCAAGGTGCATCATATATGATATCATACTGGTGCAACCTGTTTTTGTCTGGTGCAATGAAGTTATTTTAATTGCACAAGGTGAGGTTTCATTTCCTTTAATTAAGACCTTGTAGTGAAACCTATTGTCTTGCATTTAATACACATCACGATATTTGTTACTAATGCCCTGCTGTGAACGCTTTCGTCTCTTGTCATAAGCTGTTGGGAGTTAAATTTATTGTGTGCACATTTGTATATTGCAATGAAAACATTTGTCAAATTATGAATAAATAAGTGCTTTTCAGAACATATTTTTTCTACACTTTTTTCACAGTTGACAAACTGTAAACCCTTTTTTTCAAACACGCAACCTTTAGATGATACATATCAAGTGGTTGGACGTTTGCTGTAGTAGACTGTTGTTCCCATTCTGATTGAAAATCCTAATTAAAATGTGCTAACTGAATATATTACTTACAAGCAGGTAAAGAGCAAGTGTGTTTTTCAAATAACTGCAGTCAAACAATGGGTGCTCTTTAATGTCTTTTGAGTAGTATATACAATGTAATACAAATGTTAGGCATGCCACATGCAGCTCAGTTCATATGTGACACACTGTTGTAGGGTGAGTGGGCTTGATAAAACACTGCTCTGAACAATATTCCAGTCATATCGGAGGTCTTCAGTTTCATTTGGAGTGAGTGAGTGAGTATGGTTTTACGCCACTTTTAGCAATATTCCAGCAATATCACGGCGGGGGACACCAGAAATGGGCTTCACACATTGTACCCATGTGGGGAATCGAACCCGGGTCTTCGGCGTGACAAGCAAACACTTCAACCTTCAGGCTACCCCACCGCCCCAGTTTTATTTGGAAGAAAACTCATAGTGATGAAGGTCTGAGAAGTTTTCCACTTTGGCATTGCTGTGGAAGACAGTTCATGAATACTGCCACACTGAACCATCAATGTAGGTCAACATACCCTTTTGTTGACTGTTTTGACAGTGAGTGAATGAGTGAGTATGGTTTTACGCCATTTTTAGCAATATTCCAGCAATAATCACGGCAGGAGACACCAGAAATGGGCTTCACACATTGTACCCATGTGGGGAATGGAACCCGGGCCTTCGGTGTGACGAGCGAATGCTTTAACCACTAGGCTACCCCACTGCCCTCCAAGTACAAGGTCACACAGGAGTTAGTGAGTGAGATGGGTTTATTGCCAGTTCGAATAGTGAGTAAGTGAGTTTAGTTTTATGCCGCTTTTAGCAATATTCCAGCAATATCACGGCGGGTGACACCAGAAATGGGCTTCACACATTGCACCCATGTGGGGAATCGAACCCAGGTCTTCGGCGTGATGAGCGAACGCTTTAACCACTAGGCTACCCCACCGCCCCGCTAGTTCGAATAGTATTTCAGTTATATCACAGTGTGTCAGCTTGATGAGAGGATGATAAACCAAAAGATCCTAATGACAGAGTATATGGGATTCAAACCCAATTCCAACAGTTCCTTCCATACAAGCTACTGTGCCACCTCCACACTGAGAATGATTGAATAGATGTGGAGGAGAAAAGAGAGAAAACGCAAACCAACAAGTTCTTCACATTTATTGATCAATCAACAACAAATGTAAACAGACTAACACAACAATATTTAAGTCTGTAGTGTTACCATGGTGAATATCACATAGTTTTCGTGGCATGGTGTGTACCAAAATGGCAAGACAAGCTTTTACAAGGGTGGATATCTCCAGAAGAATATTTTTTATTTCAGCAACAAGGACAGCTTCACACATTATTATTATTAACTAGGACCTTAGCCATGAGGATTAAACACCTTGACCACTACCAGGTCACTTCTCAGTCTCTTCTTTTTACCGCATACATGAACAGGTATGTCGTTGACAGGTAAAACATTAAATGAAATAATAATGGGACATTGGATGAATGCAAATACAATCAGAATAAAATGTTACAAAATCAAACAATATTTCAAGATTGAAGACAGAAATTTATCTTTCATTCTTTCACCAGGGCCTAGATTTTCGAAGCTCTCTTAGCGCTAAGATAGTTGTAAGTCAATGTTAATGTATGGAACTTACGACTATCTTAGCGCTAAGAGAGCTTCGAAAATCTAGGCCCAGGATCTTAAAACAGCAGCATTTTAATCATATAGACTGTTCAGGTCTATGAACATACATGTATAATCATTAATACCAAATGGAAACACTTCGGCAGACATGTTGGATTAAAGGAGAAAGAACAGACATTTCATTCTATTTCACTGAGATATTATACACTACTTAACTTTTGATAAGGATCATCAGATTTTATTTAATAATTATACAGAACTTTTTTTATGAGTTTATGCAACAAGGACATTTCCTACCACCATATCTAGGCAATTCCACTTAAAACATTCGTATAACATGCTAATACAATGCTTGGCTGACTATTGTTTGTTTATATTTTCATTTACCATGGTCTTTGATGCCACCATACCCCAATACAGTGAAACAACCTTGTGCTTGTTACTGTAATTCATAACACAGGTTCCTTTTGAATATATATATTATTGCTTTTGCATAACAAAGCACTACTATTTATATATATAAATCCACATTATACATGTACATTGATTTTATCGGACAATCCTACCCACAGTACTTTGCCACAATGCATTCCAGATTCTGTGTATTTGCAATGCCGATCAGTCTTCAGGGCCCCGTTTCACTAAGCTCTCGTAAGCCTAAGATCTCGTAACTTTTCTCGTAGCATTTGTACTCCCTATGTTACAGTATAGGAGGTACGAATGCTACGAGAAAAGTTACGAGATCTTAGGCTTACGAGAGCTTTGTGAAACGGGGCCCAGGCATGTAAACATTTTTGTTACAAATCCTGACAGTCTTTCACGAAAGAACATGGTTTGCCCCGCATGCGCCAGAGAAATTTACAGTCTAATCGTTCAACTGCTGCTGCAAACAATGACAGGTGGGTCAGAGATCGACTCAACAACTGGTCATCCCAAGTTTTGAAAAGGTAGCTGACGGGCATGGGTGTACTCGTACCGGATAATTTAGCACAGAAACTGTTTCAAACGTTGTTACTGTAGTTGTTTTAATAGCTTAATTGTTTAGTGGTATCTAGTATTGACAGAGTTACATCCCTTAGCCCGTCCATGCTGTCAGCAGGTGTGCTCGAATTGTGACAAGTGTGATACTGTAGGTGCTTTTTTCGTCACTTATACCCGAGAATATTTAACTGAGTTTGACAGTGTATACATGTTTATGACTGTGATATTGTGTTACTAAATATGTGAAAATGTATGCAAAGTCTTTGGAATGGATCAATAAACTTTATGAAGACTTTTCATTTGCATAGAGCATGCAAGATGGAATCAGTGCCAAGGCGTCTCATACAAGTGAAGTCGAGTGCGAGCTGAAAGTTGCTACAAATGTACTTGTTGAACACCAAAGACCAGCCAACTGACACTCCCTGCAGTCATCAAGTTGCTGCCAGCTGTCTGCTATGATCATTCAAGCTGAGCAGGAAACAGACAGAGGAACGAGAAGAAATTCCGCCACCTGTCCAACTTCTGAGAAGAGAAGCCGGAACCGACCCTCAACTACATTCTTGCAGAATGCCAAGAATCACGGAAGGTGGAGGACATGGAGACCAAACAAGCTCAGAGTTCCCATAATAATTCTCCTGATATCACTGGACATGATCTACACACACTGATACACACTGCAGTTGATAGTACACCTGAAAGAATATGCATGCTCTCAAAACCTTAGCTTCAGACTCCCTTCCCCAAATAGACAGTGAAGTTCAGGAAAGATACCATATAGACCTAGTGAAGACTGACGTTTGGTTTTTAATACAGGAAAGATATAATAGAGGGCAGGAAATCGGGTCTTCAGTTTTTGGCGAAACTGCTATTGAGTTTTCGCCGCTTTTAGCAATATTCCAGAATCTGGGGACACCAGAAATGGGACAGACATGTCTGAAGTCTTTTCTTTAAACTAGGCTACCCAAGGTGAGCAAATAACCATGAAGGAGCACGCAAGACTGACGCACCCTGTTAACTTGGGGAATTCATCAAAGCCTTTGGCATGTACAAATCAGTGTTTAGTTAGGCGATCCCGCACTGCAGAGATGAGATGGACAAATATGAGTGGTTACTTGTGGATATGGCATTGCAGTATGGTGGATCACTGTTCTATGAATACTACTGCATGTTTGCAACCAGGGCAGCATCTTTTGTAGGCAAAGGCATCATCATCGACTGGACCCGCTTCGATACAGTCTCACGCACACGTCAGAATTCTGGTTTTGACCAGCAAGAAGGAAAGGAAAACATCTTCCACCCCTATCCCTGAAATCATGACTCTCATGGTCCACGTAATATCATTGAAGGAGATGAAGTTTGCAACAACTTCAATGATAGGGGTTACAAAAGAGAACCGTGCATCTTTGCCCACAAATGCATCACCTGCTATAAAGATGGGCATGAGGTCAGATGGACTGCCCCAAAACTACCTTCCGGAAAGAGAAGAGGAAGTGGCAAGAGACATATCCAGACAGTCCAAGATATTTTTTTATGGATTTAACTTCTTTTTTATTTCCCTCACAGCGTTTCGGGACCATTACAGATCCCTTCATCAGGTGAACGCCCAAGTAAATCCAGGTAAATCTGATGAAGGGACCTGTAATGGTCCCGAAATGTTGTGAGGGAAATAAAAAAGAAGTTAAATCAATAAAAATATCTTGGACATCTATATACAACTTCTAAATGCCACTAAAAGACATTATCCAGACAGTGTTAGAAAATGACCTTGGTATAAAGAACCTCATGGAAAACCCTGGATTACCCCAGGAAACTTGCTGAAAAAAAAGAAAGAAAAACATTCATAAGGACTTACATGAATATTATTTTTGTCCATTTCAAAGGCCATATATCTATAGAAAGGATGGAAGTGGAAAAAAACATATTTATCCCATCAATTAAAGTCAGTTAAGTCTTTGGTGTGAGGAGCGAACGCTTTAACCACTAGGCTACACCACCGCCCCCTGCTGACCATGAAGACCAGCAATCAGTAGGGAATATTTCTACGAAGGTATTATGTCATAATACACATATTGCTTTGCATATAGAAATTAATTCATATGTTAATATCATTTTTGGCAACTTATTTGGCCAAGCAAATGGGGAGACATGGAAAGAGAACAACTGTATTTCTATACTTCAAGATGAACATAGCAACACATTAGAGATCAGAGCTCAAGACTCAATATTGCGAAGCCCTGAAGAAATGGACTATTGTCAAGTATAATGTCAAATTCAATGAATCTCTTTTCCCCTTGTTCACTGTCAGGTGGTATTACACATCAGGATGAGTGCTCTGACCTCAAGATTCAGTACAGAAAGGTCCTGAGGTCCTGAAGGTAGGCACCTTTAGCCAAGGGTGATGAGACGTTTAAGGAAGTTCTCCTCCCTGTGTTTACTGTCAGGCAGCCAGGTGGCCACACATTCCAGATAAGAATAAGTGCTCGGACCACAACATTCAGTACAAGGTCATGAGGACCTGAAGGCATGCACCTATAGCTAAAGGTTATGAGGAGTTTAGAGAGGCTCTTCTCTCCATATTTGGTGCTAGGCAGGCACTCATTACAAACCAGAATGATTGCATTGACCTCCAAATTGAGAACATCACGCAGACCATGAAGACCAGCAATCAGTAGGGAATATTTCTACGGAAAAAATGTGTCATATAGTTTTGCATATAGAAATTAATTCACATGTTAATCTTAAGGTCATTTTGGTCATCTTATTTGGCCAAACAAATGAGAGGGTCATGGTAAGAGAACATCTGTATTTCTATAATTCAAGATGAAGATAGCAACACATTAGAGATCAGAGCTCAAGACTCAGTAAAATTGCGAAGCCCTGAAGACATGGACTATTGTCAAGTATAATGTCAAGTTCAATGAATCTCTTATCCCCTTGTTCAGTCAGTTGGCCACATATTAAACATCAGAATAAGTGCTCTGACCTCAAGATTCAGTTCAGAAAGGTCCTGAGGTCCTGAAGGCATGCACCTTTAGTTAAAGGTGATGAGGAGTTTAAGGAAGTTGTTCTCCCTGTATTTACTGTCAGTCAGGTGACCACAAATTACAGATAAGAATGAGAGATCGGACCTCAAGATTCAGGACAGGAAAGTCACGCAGTTCTGAAGACATGCACCTTTAGCCAAAGGTGATGAGGAGTTTAAGGAAGTTCTTCTCCTGTGTTTACTGTCAATCAGTCAGGTGACCACACATTACACATCAGCATGAGTGCTTTGACCTCAAAACTGAGACCATGACACTGACCATGAAGATCAACATTCAGTAGGGAATATTTCTACGAAGATATCGTGTCATAATAGATATATTGTTTTGCTAATTGAAATTAATTCACATGTTAATATTTTGGTTATCTTATTTGGCCAAGCAAATGAGGGAGACATGGAAAAGGAACAACTGTATTTCTTTTATCCAGATGAAGATAGCAACACATTAGAGATCAGAGAGTTCAAGACTCAACATTGTGAAGCCCTGAAGTCATGGACTATCGTCAAGTATAATGTCAAGTTCAATGAATCTCTTTTCCCCTTGTTCACAGTCAGGTGGCCACATATTACACATCAGGATGAGTGCTCTGACCTCAAGATTCAGTTCAGAAAGGCCCTGAGGTCCTGAAGGTAGGCACCTTTAGCCAAAGGTGATGAGGAGTTTAGAGAGATCTTCTTCCATGTTTGGTGTCAAGGCAGCCAGGTGACCACACATTAATGATCAGGATGAATGCTCTAACCTCAAGACTCAGTTCAAAAAGGTCCTGAGGTCCTGAAGGCATGCACCTTGAGCCAAAGGAGCTGAGGACTTTAAGGAAGATCTTCTTCCTGTGTTTACTGTCAATCAGTCAGGTGACCACACATTACACATCAGAAAAAGTGATCATGAAGATCAACATTCAGTAGGGACCTCAAGACTCAGTACAGGATGGTCCTGAGGTTCTGAAGGCATGCACCTTTAGCCAAAGGTGATGAGGAGTTTAAGGAGGCTCTTCTCCCTGTGTTTACTGTCAGGCGGCCAGGTGGCCACACATAACAGATCAGCGTCAATGCTCTCACCTCAAGACTCAGTTCAGAAAGGTCCTGAGGTTCTGAAGGCATGCACCTTGAGCCAAAAGTGAAGAGGAGTTTAAGGAAGCTCTTCTCCCTGTGTTTACTGTCAATCAGTCAGGTGACAACATATTACAGATCAGCATCAATGTTCTGACCTTAAGACTCAGTTCAGAAAGGTCCTGAGGTTCTGAAGGCATGCACCTTGAGCCAAAGGTAATGAGGAGTTTAAGGAAGTTCTTCTCCCTGTGTTTACTGTCAATCAGTCAGGTGACCACACATTACAGATCAGCGTCAATGCTCTGACCTCAAGACTCAGTTCAGAAAGGTCCTGAGGTTCTGAAGGCATGCACCTTGAGCCAAAGGTAATGAGGAGTTTAAGGAAGTTCTTCTCCTGTGTTTACTGTCAATCAGTCAGGTGACCACACATTACAGATCAGCATCAATGCTCTGACCTCAAGACTCAGTTCAGAAAGGTCCTGAGGTTCTGAAGGCATGCACCTTGAGCCAAAGGTGATGAGGAGTTTAAGGAAGTTCTTCTCCCTGTGTTTACTGTCAATCAGTCAGGTGACCACACATTACAGATCAGCATCAATGCTCTGACCTCAAGACTCAGTTCAGAAAGGTCCTGAGGTCCTGAAGGCATGCACCTTTGGCCAAAGGTGATGAGGAGTTTAAGGAAGTTCTTCTCCCTGTGTTTACTGTCAATCAGTCAGGTGACCACACATTACAGATCAGCATCAATGCTCTGACCTCAAGACTCAGTTCAGAAAGGTCCTGAGGTTCTGAAGGCATGCACCTTGAGCCAAAGGTGATGAGGAGTTTAAGGAAGTTCTTCTCCCTGTGTTTACTGTCAATCAGTCAGGTGACCACACATTACAGATCAGCATCAATGCTCTGACCTCAAGACTCAGTTCAGAAAGGTCCTGAGGTCCAGAAGGCATGCACCTTTAGCCAAAGGTGATGAGGAGTTTAGAGAGACTCTTCTCTCCATGTTTGGTGTTAGGCAGCCAGGAAGACACACATTACTGATCAGGATGAATGCTCTCACCTCAAGACTCGGTTCAGAAAGGTCCTGAGGTTCTGAAGGCATGCACCTTGAGCCAAAGGTAATGAGGAGTTTAAGGAAGTTCTTCTCCCTGTGTTTACTGTCAATCAGTCAGGTGACCACACATTACACATCAGCATCAATGCTCTGACCTCAAGACTCAGTTCAGAAAGGTCCTGAGGTTCTGAAGGCATGCACCTTTAGCCAAAGGAGATGAGGAGTTTAAGGAAGTTCTTCTCCCTGTGTTTACTGTCAATCAGTCAGGTGACCACACATTACAGATCAGCGTCAATGCTCTGACCTCAAGACTCAGTTCAGAAAGGTCCTGAAGGCATGCACCTTGAGCCAAAGGTGATGAGGAGTTTAAGGAAGATCTTCTCCCTGTGTTTACTGTCAATCAGTCAGGTGACCACACATTACAGATCAGCATGAATGCTCTGACCTCAAGACTCAGTTCAGAAAGGTCCTGAGGTTCTGAAGGCATGCACCTTGAGCCAAAGGTAATGAGGAGTTTAAGGAAGTTCTTCTCCCTGTGTTTACTGTCAATCAGTCAGGTGACCACACATTACAGATCAGCATCAATGCTCTGACCTCAAGACTCAGTTCAGAAAGGTCCTGAGGTTCTGAAGGCATGCACCTTGAGCCAAAGGTAATGAGGAGTTTAAGGAAGTTCTTCTCCCTGTGTTTACTGTCAATCAGTCAGGTGACCACACATTACAGATCAGCGTCAATGCTCTGACCTCAAGACTCAGTTCAGAAAGGTCCTGAGGTTCTGAAGGCATGCACCTTGAGCCAAAGGTAATGAGGAGTTTAAGGAAGTTCTTCTCCCTGTGTTTACTGTCAATCAGTCAGGTGACTACACATTACACATCAGAATATGTGATCGGACCTCAAGACTCAGTACAGAAAGATCCTGAGGTTCTGAAGGCATGCACCTTTAGCCAAAGGTGATGAGGAGTTTAAGGAAGTTCTTCTCCCTGTGTTTACTGTCAATCAGTCAGGTGACCACACATTACAGATCAGCATGAATGCTCTGACCTCAAGACTCAGTTCAGAAAGGTCCTGAGGTTCTGAAGGCATGCACTTTAGCCAAAGGTGATGAGGAGTTTAAGGAAGTTCTTCTCCTGTGTTTACTGTCAATCAGTCAGGTGACCACACATTACAGATCAGCATCAATGCTCTGACCTCAAGACTCAGTTCAGAAAGGTCCTGAGGTTCTGAAGGCATGCACCTTTAGCCAAAGGTGATGAGGAGTTTAAGGAAGATCTTCTCCCTGTGTTTACTGTCAATCAGTCAGGTGACCACACATTACACATCAGCATGAGTGCTTTGACCTCAAAACTGAGACCATGACACTGACCATGAAGATCAGCATTCAGTAGGGAATATTTCTACGAAGATATCGTGTCATAATAGATATATTGTTTTGCTAATAGAAATTAATTCACATGTTAATATTTTGGTTATCTTATTTGGCCAAGCAAATGAGGGAGACATGGAAAAGGAACAACTGTATTTCTTTTTATCCAGATGAAGATAGCAACACATTAGAGATCAGAGCTCAAGACTCAATATTGCAAAGCCCTGAAGTCATGGACTATCGTCAAGTATAATGTCAAGTTCAATGAATCTCTTTTCCCCTTGTTCACAGTCAGGTGGCCACATATTACACATCAGGATGAGTGCTCTGACCTCAAGATTCAGTTCAGAAAGGCCCTGAGGTCCTGAAGGCATGCACCTTTAGCCAAAGGTGATGAGGAGTTTAAGGAAGTTCTTCTCTCCTGTGTTTGGTGTGTCAGTCAGCCAGGATGGCCACACATTACTGATCAGGATCAATGATCTGACCTCAAGACTTCAGTTCAGGAAGGTCCTGAGGTCCTGAAGGCATGCACCTTGAGCCAAAGGTGATGAGGAGTTTAAGGAAGTTCTTCTTCCCTGTGTTTACTGTCAATCAGTCAGGTGACCACACATTACAGATCAGAATAAGTGATCGGACCTCAAGATTCAGTACAGGAAGGTCCTGAGGTTCTGAAGGCATGCACCTTTGAGCCAAAGGTGATGAGGAGTTTAAGGAAGTTCTTCTCCCTGTGTTTACTGTCAATCAGTCAGGTGACCACACATTACAGATCAGCCTGAATGCTCTGACCTCAAGACTCAGTTCAGAAAGGTCCTGAGGTCCTGAAGGCATGCACCTTGAGCCAAAGGTGATGAGGAGTTTAAGGAAGTTCTTCTCCCTGTGTTTACTGTCAATCAGTCAGGTGACCACACATTACAGATCAGCATCAATGCTCTGACCTCAAGACTCAGTTCAGAAAGGTCCTGAGGTCCTGAAGGCATGCACCTTGAGCCAAAGGTGATGAGGAGTTTAAGGAAGTTCTTCTCCCTGTGTTTACTGTCAATCAGTCAGGTGACCACACATTACAGATCAGCATGAGTGCTCTGACCTCAAAACTGAGACCATGACACTGACCCATTAAGATCGCAATCAGTAGGGAATATTTCTACGAAGATATCGTGGTCATAATAGATATATTGTTTTGCTAATTGAAATTAATTCACATGTTAATATTTTGGTTATCTTATTTGGCCAAGCAAATGAGGGAGACATGGAAAAGGAACAACTGTATTTCTTTTTATCCAGATGAAGACAGCAACACATTAGAGATCAGTTCAAGACTCTCAAGACTCTAGCCAAAATAATGTCAAGTTCAAATCTCTTTTCCCCTGACAGTCATGGACATATTACACATCAGGATGAGTGCTCTGACCTCAAGAAGTAGAATGTCTGAGGTCCTGAATGCACCTTTGAGCCAAAGGTGATGAGGAGTTTTTCTCTCCATGTTTGTTAGGCAGCCAGGAAGCCCACACATTGTCAGGATGAATGCTCTCACCTCAAAACTCAGTTCAGGTCCTGAGGTCCATGCACCTTTGAGCCAAAGGTGATGAGGAGTTTAAGGAAGATGCTCCTGTGACTGTCCTCAAGATTCAGTTCAGTGCTCTCACCCTCAAGACTCAGTTCTGAGGTCCTGAGTTTCTGAATGCACCTTTGAGCCAAAGGTGATGAGGAGTTTAAGGAAGTTCTTCTCCCTGTGTTTACTGTCAATCAGTCAGGTGACCACACATTACAGATCAGCATGAATGCTCTGACCTCAAGACTCAGTTCAGAAAGGTCCTGAGGTCCTGAAGGCATGCACCTTGAGCCAAAGGTGATGAGGAGTTTAAGGAAGTTCTTCTCCCTGTGTTTACTGTCAATCAGTCAGGTGACCACACATTACACATCAGCATCAATGCTCTGACCTCAAGACTCAGTTCAGAAAGGTCCTGAGGTCCTGAAGGCATGCACCTTGAGCCAAAGGTGATGAGGAGTTTAAGGAAGATCTTCTTCCTGTGTTTACTGTCAATCAGTCAGGTGACCACACATTACAGATCAGCATGAGTGCTTTGACCTCAAAACTGAGACCATGACACTGACCATGAAGATCAACATTCAGTAGGGAATATTTCTACGAAGATATCGTGTCATAATAGATATATTGTTTTGCTAATTGAAATTAATTCACATGTTAATATTTTGGTTATCTTATTTGGCCAAGCAAATGAGGGAGACATGGAAAAGGAACAACTGTATTTCTTTTTATCCAGATGAAGACAGCAACACATTAGAGATCAGAGCGCAAGACTCAGTAAAATTGCGAAGCCCTGAAGTCATGGACTATCGTCAAGTATAATGTCAAGTTCAATGAATCTCTTTTCCCCTTGTTCACAGTCAGGTGGCCACATATTACACATCAGGATGAGTGCTCTGACCTCAAGATTCAGTTCAGAAAGGCCCTGAGGTCCTGAAGGCATGCACCTTGAGCCAAAGGTGATGAGGAGTTTAAGGAAGTTCTTCTTCCTGTGTTTACTGTCAATCAGTCAGGTGACCACACATTACACATCAGAATAAGTGATCGGACCTCAAGATTCAGTACAGGATGGTCCTGAGGTCCTGAAGGCATGCACCTTGAGCCAAAGGTGATGAGGAGTTTAAGGAAGTTCTTCTCCCTGTGTTTACTGTCAATCAGTCAGGTGACCACACATTACAGATCAGCATCAATGCTCTGACCTCAAGACTCAGTTCAGAAAGGTCCTGAGGTCCTGAAGGCATGCACCTTGAGCCAAAGGTGATGAGGAGTTTAAGGAAGTTCTTCTCCCTGTGTTTACTGTCAATCAGTCAGGTGACCACACATTACAGATCAGCATCAATGCTCTGACCTCAAGACTCAGTTCAGAAAGATCCTGAGGTTCTGAAGGCATGCACCTTGAGCCAAAGGTGATGAGGAGTTTAAAGGAAGTTCTTCTCCCTGTGTTTACTGTCAATCAGTCAGGTGACCACACATTACAGATCAGCATCAATGCTCTGACCTCAAGACTCAGTTCAGAAAGGTCCTGAGGTCCTGAAGGCATGCACCTTGAGCCAAAGGTGATGAGGAGTTTAAGGAAGTTCTTCTCCCTGTGTTTACTGTCAATCAGTCAGGTGACCACACATTACAGATCAGCATCAATGCTCTGACCTCAAGACTCAGTTCAGAAAGGTCCTGAGGTTCTGAAGGCATGCACCTTGAGCCAAAGGTGATGAGGAGTTTAAGGAAGTTCTTCTCCCTGTGTTTACTGTCAATCAGTCAGGTGACCACACATTACAGATCAGCATCAATGCTCTGACCTCAAGACTCAGTTCAGAAAGGTCCTGAGGTCCTGAAGGCATGCACCTTGAGCCAAAGGTGATGAGGAGTTTAAGGAAGTTCTTCTCCCTGTGTTTACTGTCAATCAGTCAGGTGACCACACATTACACATCAGCATCAATGCTCTGACCTCAAGACTCAGTTCAGAAAGGTCCTGAGGTCCTGAAGGCATGCACCTTGAGCCAAAGGTGATGAGGAGTTTAAGGAAGTTCTTCTCCCTGTGTTTACTGTCAATCAGTCAGGTGACCACACATTACAGATCAGAATCAAGTGCTCTGACCTCAAGACTCAGTTCAGAAAGGTCCTGAGGTTCTGAAGGCATGCACCTTGAGCCAAAGGTGATGAGGAGTTAAGGAAGTTCTTCTCCCTGTGTTTACTGTCAGTCAGTCAGGTGACCACCGCACATTACAGATCAAACTTAGACCCATGACACCTTGACCATGAAGAATGCTCTGACCTCAAGATTCAGTTCAGAAAGGTCCTGAGGTTCTGAAGGCATGCACCTTGAGCCAAAGGTGATGAGGAGTTTAAGGAAGTTCTTCTCCCTGTGTTTACTGTCAATCAGTCAGGTGACCACACATTACAGATCAGCATCAATGCTCTGACCTCAAGACTCAGTTCAGAAAGGTCCTGAGGTCCTGAAGGCATGCAACTTTAGCCAAAGGTGATGAGGAGTTTAAGGAAGTTCTTCTCCTGTGTTTACTGTCAATCAGTCAGGTGACCACACATTACAGATCAGCATCAATGCTCTGACCTCAAGACTCAGTTCAGAAAGGTCCTGAGGTCCTGAAGGCATGCACCTTTAGCCAAAGGTGATGAGGAGTTTAAGGAAGTTCTTCTCCCTGTGTTTACTGTCAATCAGTCAGGTGACCACACATTACAGATCAGCATCAATGCTCTGACCTCAAGACTCAGTTCAGAAAGGTCCTGAGGTCCTGAAGGCATGCACCTTGAGCCAAAGGTGATGAGGAGTTTAAGGAAGTTCTTCTCCCTGTGTTTACTGTCAATCAGTCAGGTGACCACACATTACAGATCAGCATCAATGCTCTGACCTCAAGACTCAGTTCAGAAAGGTCCTGAGGTCCTGAAGGCATGCACCTTGAGCCAAAGGTGATGAGGAGTTTAAGGAAGTTCTTCTCCCTGTGTTTACTGTCAATCAGTCAGGTGACCACACATTACAGATCAGCATCAATGCTCTGACCTCAAGACTCAGTTCAGAAAGGTCCTCAAGCATGCACCTTGAGCCAAAGGTGATGAGGAGTAAGGAAGTTCTTCTCCCTGTGTTTAGTCAATCAGTCAGGTGACCACACATTACAGATCAGCATCAATGCTCTGACCTCAAGACTCAGTTCAGAAAGGTCCTGAGGTCCTGAAGGCATGCACCTTGAGCCAAAGGTGATGAGGAGTTTAAGGAAGATCTTCTTCCTGTGTTTACTGTCAATCAGTCAGGTGACCACACATTACAGATCAGCATGAGTGCTTTGACCTCAAAACTGAGACCATGACACTGACCATGAAGATCAACATTCAGTAGGGAATATTTCTACGAAGATATCGTGTCATAATAGATATATTGTTTTGCTAATTGAAATTAATTCACATGTTAATATTTTGGTTATCTTATTTGGCCAAGCAAATGAGGGAGACATGGAAAAGGAACAACTGTATTTCTTTTTATCCAGATGAAGACAGCAACACATTAGAGATCAGAGTTCAAGACTCAATATTGCAAAGCCCTGAAGTCATGGACTATCGTCAAGCATAATGTCAAGTTCAATGAATCTCTTTTCCCCTTGTTCACAGTCAGGTGGCCACATATTACACATCAGGATGAGTGATCGGACCTCAAGATTCAGTACAGGATGGTCCTGAGGTTCTGAAGGCATGCACCTTTAGCCAAAGGTGATGAGGAGTTTAAGAGAGTTCTTCTCTCCTGTGTTTACTGTCAGTCAGCCAGGTGGCCATACATTACAGATCAATGCTCTGACCTCAAGACTCAGTTCAGAAAGGTCCTGAGGTTCTGAAGGCATGCACCTTGAGCCAAAGGTGATGAGGAGTTTAAGGAAGTTCTTCTCCCTGTGTTTACTGTCAATCAGTCAGGTGACCACACATTACAGATCAGCATCAATGCTCTCACCTCAAGACTCAGTTCAGAAAGGTCCTGAGGTCCTGAAGGCATGCACCTTGAGCCAAAGGTGATGAGGAGTTTAAGGAAGTTCTTCTCCCTGTGTTTACTGTCAATCAGTCAGGTGACCACACATTACAGATCAGCATCAATGCTCTGACCTCAAGACTCAGTTCAGAAAGGTCCTGAGGTCCTGAAGGCATGCACCTTGAGCCAAAGGTAATGAGGAGTTTAAGGAAGTTCTTCTCCCTGTGTTTACTGTCAATCAGTCAGGTGACTACACATTACACATCAGAATAAGTGATCGGACCTCAAGACTCAGTACAGAAAGATCCTGAGGTTCTGAAGGCATGCACCTTTAGCCAAAGGTGATGAGGAGTTTAAGGAAGTTCTTCTCCCTGTGTTTACTGTCAATCAGTCAGGTGACCACACATTACACATCAGCATGAGTGCTTTGACCTCAAAACTGAGACCATGACAATGACCATGAAGATCAACATTCAGTAGGGAATATTTCTACGAAGATATTTTGTCATAATAGATATATTGTTTTGCTAATAGAAATTAATTCACATGTTAATATTTTGGTTATCTTATTTGGCCAAGCAAATGAGGGAGACATGGAAAAGGAACAACTGTATTTCTTTTTATCCAGATGAAGACAGCAACACATTAGAGATCAGAGCTCAAGACTCAGTAAAATTGCGAAGCCCTGAAGTCATGGACTATCGTCAAGTATAATGTCAAGTTCAATGAATCTCTTTTCCCCTTGTTCACAGTCAGGTGGCTACATATTACACATCAGGATGAGTGCTCTGACCTCAAGATTCAGTTCAGAAAGGTCCTGAGGTCCTGAAGGCATGCACCTTGAGCCAAAGGTGATGAGGAGTTTAAGGAAGTTCTTCTCCCTGTGTTTACTGTCAATCAGTCAGGTGACTACACATTACAGATCAGCATCAATGCTCTGACCTCAAGACTCAGTTCAGAAAGGTCCTGAGGTCCTGAAGGCATGCACCTTGAGCCAAAGATGATGAGGAGTGTAAGGAAGTTCTTCTCCCTGTGTTTACTGTCAATCAGTCAGGTGACCACACATTACAGATCAGCATCAATGCTCTCACCTCAAGACTCAGTTCAGAAAGGTCCTGAGGTTCTGAAGGCATGCACCTTTAGCCAAAGGTAATGAGGAGTTTAAGGAAGTTCTTCTCCTGTGTTTACTGTCAATCAGTCAGGTGACCACACATTACAGATCAGCATCAATGCTCTGACCTCAAGACTCAGTTCAGAAAGGTCCTGAGGTTCTGAAGGCATGCACCTTTAGCCAAAGGTAATGAGGAGTTTAAGGAAGTTCTTCTCCCTGTGTTTACTGTCAATCAGTCAGGTGACCACACATTACAGATCAGCGTCAATGCTCTGACCTCAAGACTCAGTTCAGAAAGGTCCTGAGGTTCTGAAGGCATGCACCTTGAGCCAAAGGTGATGAGGAGTTTAAGGAAGTTCTTCTCCCTGTGTTTACTGTCAATCAGTCAGGTGACCACACATTACAGATCAGCGTCAATGCTCTGACCTCAAGACTCAGTTCAGAAAGGTCCTGAGGTTCTGAAGGCATGCACCTTTAGCCAAAGGTGATGAGGAGTGTAAGGAAGTTCTTCCCCCTGTGTTTACTGTCAATCTGTCAGGTGACAACATATTACAGATCAGCATCAATGTTCTGACCTTAAGACTAAGTTCAGAATGGTCCTGAGGTCCTGAAGGCATGCACCTTGAGCCAAAGATGATGAGGAGTGTAAGGAAGTTCTTCCCCCTGTGTTTACTGTCAATCAGTCAGGTGACCACACATTACAGATCAGCTCAGAAGTGCTACAATTCAATGCTCTGACCTCAAGACTCAGTTCAGAAAGGTCCTGAGGTTCTGAAGGCATGCACCTTTAGCCAAAGGTAATGAGGAGTTTAAGGAAGTTCTTCTCCCTGTGTTTACTGTCAATCAGTCAGGTGACCACACATTACAGATCAGCGTCAATGCTCTGACCTCAAGACTCAGTTCAGAAAGGTCCTGAGGTCCTGAAGGCATGCACCTTTAGCCAAAGGTGATGAGGAGTTTAAGGAAGTTCTTCTCCCTGTGTTTACTGTCAATCAGTCAGGTGACAACACATTACAGATCAGCATCAATGTTCTGACCTCAAGACTCAGTTCAGAAAGGTCCTGAGGTCCTGAAGGCATGCACCTTGAGCCAAAGGTGATGAGGAGTTTAAGGAAGTTCTTCTCCCTGTGTTTACTGTCAATCAGTCAGGTGACCACACATTACAGATCAGCGTCAATGCTCTGACCTCAAGACTCAGTTCAGAAAGGTCCTGAGGTTCTGAAGGCATGCACCTTTAGCCAAAGGTAATGAGGAGTTTAAGGAAGTTCTTCTCCTGTGTTTACTGTCAATCAGTCAGGTGACCACACATTACAGATCAGCGTCAATGCTCTGACCTCAAGACTCAGTTCAGAAAGGTCCTGAGGTTCTGAAGGCATGCACCTTTAGCCAAAGGTAATGAGGAGTTTAAGGAAGTTCTTCTCCCTGTGTTTACTGTCAATCAGTCAGGTACACCACACATTACAGATCAGACTCAGACCAGTGAAATTCCTGAGGACCTCAAAACTCAGTTCAGAAAGGTCCTGAGGTTCTGAAGGCATGCACCTTGAGCCAAAGGTAATGAGGAGTTTAAGGAAGTTCTTCTCCCTGTGTTTACTGTCAATCAGTCAGGTGACCACACATTACAGATCAGTGTCAATGCTCTGACCTCAAGACTCAGTTCAGAAAGGTCCTGAGGTTCTGAAGGCATGCACCTTGAGCCAAAGGTAATGAGGAGTTTAAGGAAGTTCTTCTCCCTGTGTTTACTGTCAATCAGTCAGGTGACCACACATTACAGATCACAGATCAAAGCTCTGACCTCAAGACTCAGTTCAGAAAGGTCCTGAGGTTCTGAAGGCATGCACCTTTAGCCAAAGGTAATGAGGAGTGTAAGGAAGTTCTTCCCCCTGTGTTTACTGTCAATCTGTCAGGTGACAACATATTACAGATCAGCATCAATGTTCTGACCTTAAGACTAAGTTCAGAATGGTCCTGAGGTCCTGAAGGCATGCACCTTGAGCCAAAGATGATGAGGAGTGTAAGGAAGTTCTTCTCCCTGTGTTTACTGTCAATCAGTCAGGTGACCACACATTACAGATCAGCGTCAATGCTCTGACCTCAAGACTCAGTTCAGAAAGGTCCTGAGGTTCTGAAGGCATGCACCTTTAGCCAAAGGTAATGAGGAGTTTAAGGAAGTTCTTCTCCCTGTGTTTACTGTCAATCAGTCAGGTGACCACACATTACAGATCAGCGTCAATGCTGTGACCTCAAGACTCAGTTCAGAAAGGTCCTG